GACATCGCTGAACACACCCAAAAAGACAAAACGTTACGAAAGGTTCTGAACTGGGTGTTGAGGGGGTGGCCACAGGAGAACCTGGGGGAGGAGTTCAAGAGTTACCACAGCAAGCAAACCGAACTGTCAACCATTAAGGGCTGTTTGCTGTGGGGAGAAAGGGTCGCCCCGAGGAGCACGCTCAACTGCCGGCCAGGAAGCAGACGAGCAGGAACCAGGCCTACCCGGTGGCCCAACAGGGGGACTACTCGCCAACCATGGTTCTTTGGGATCAAGGGCGTCCAGCGGGAAGTGACGGTTTCAGAAGCCGAAGGAACCAGGCCGGAAATCGACTCGCGGGCCAAGGAGCTCCAGAAGGTTCCTTCCCAGGCAGCCGGAGGATCACCAGACTCGACCGCTGCAGCCACGATCCCGGGGACAAGTGGACTATGCAGGTCCAGTAGGAAGCCAGCGCGCCCCGCCTACCTAGAGGATTACATCACATACGTAGGCAGGGGATTGGACACTGTTCATTCTAGGAGGGGAGGGGTGTTATGTACGGATTGGCTAGAATTTACATAAGGTTTCATGCTCGCCACAGATTGGCTAAAATCTGCATAAGGTTTCATGCTTATTGCTAATTGGCTGTCCAGACCGTGGGAGATTTAACCTGCTGTAATTGGCCGGCTGGTCTGCTTGGAGCTCCTTAAAAGGCGAGCTCCGGCAGCCTAGCCGGCAGAGCACAGTCACATTTTGCTGGAAATAAAAAGGTGCTGAATTCACTAACGACTCTCGCCTGTTGTTGTGCGCCGATCTAACAGACTCAATAATTCCTCTGTAGAACTGTATCTGCAGCTCCTTGGGCAGTTTGAGCTTTCTGAGTTGGTGCAGAAAGAACATTCTTTGTTGTGCTTTTTTGACGACATTTTTGATGTTAGGTGTCCATTTTAGGTCTTGAGATATGGTAGAACCTAGAAATTTGATTGGACACTGTTCATTCTAGGAGGGGAGGGATGTTATGTATGGATTGGCTAGAATCTACATAAGGTTTCATGCTCACCACGGATTGGCTAGAATCTGCATAAGGTTTCATGCTCACTGCTGATTGGCTGTCCGGACCATGGGAGATTTAACCTGCTGTAATTGGCTGGCTGGTCTGCCTGGAGCTCCTTAAAAAGGCGAGCTCCGGCAGCCTAGCCGGCAGAGCACAGTCACATTTTGCTGGAAATAAAAAGGTGCTGAATTCACTAACGACTCTTGCCTGTTGTTGTGCGCCGATCTAACAGACTCAATAATTCCTCTGTAGAACTGTATCTGCAGCTCCTTGGGCAGTTTGAGCTTTCTGAGTTGGTGCAGAAAGAACATTCTTTGTTGTGCTTTTTTGATGACATTTTTGATGTAAGGTGTCCATTTTAGGTCTTGAGATATGGTAGAACCTAGAAATTTGAAGGTCTCTACTGTTGATACTGTGTTGTCTAGTATTGTAAGAGGTGGTAGTATGGGAGGGTTTCTCCTAAAGTTTTTCATACAAACCTTTGCAGCATTTTATTGGCTGGGAGCACACAGAACCCCTGATTATTTTTTTGCCTGAGTGGGTGCACAGTACAGTATTTCTGGCTGCTGCAACTTTACCTGGAAGAATTCTAAGAAGAACTAAATTTTAACTATAAATTAACTATATTTTTATGGCAGGTTGATGAAGTATTTTGTTTGTTTGTTTATATTTACTATTTCCTAACCACCCATCTTTTTGAGATGTTCTCTGGTTATAAAAATAGTTACACTATAATTGTTAAAGTAAACAGAACCAACTGCAACTAATTAAAAACTTAAATTTTAAAGGCTTTGAGGAACAAAAGAGTTGTAGCTTGAATTTGCAAATACTGGGTACTGTAGATACATTTAGAATTTTCTAATTGCTTAGTGTTACTTTTATTGGGACTGTAAATGTGTCATTGATGTTACGTAATTCTAACTTTTAGTTAATTTTTATTTTTATTTTATTGTGTCTAAGCCTTTTGTAGATATTTGGGTAAAGGTGAAATTGGTTGACTAAATCTTTGTAAGTATTTTTGTAACAATTTCCTCTATAAAATGCCATCTTCCTGGCAAGCATTCATCTACCTTCATTTTTTCAGGGGCACTTGGAGAAGGCCTCTAATTGCAAGATTTAGATATAGGCAAGATGGTCTTCCAGGTAAATGAACCCTGAAGTTGATAAACAAGATTTGGATGGTGTTTGTACCACATATGCAGTGGTGGGATTCTGCCGGTTCGAGGGAGTTTGGCCGAACCCTTTGTTAAATTGCTGGCTCGCCCCGCCCCTTGCCCCGCCGCTCCGCACCACTATTTATTGCCAATAAATAGTGGTGGGCGAGGGGCGGGCGAGTCAGCAATTTAACAAAGGGTTCGGTGATTTTTGTAATTTTATTGGCCCGCGGAGCTTCAGCATAGGCTAATTAGCCCTTGCTTAGATCGGCTCCCGACTCTCAGCTGATTTGCTCTCAGCTGTTTTGCTCAGGGCTCTGCTGCTTGCTTGCAAAGAGTGCTGATTTTTTCCCCCTAGCTATGCTGAAAAACGAAACAGAAAGTAAAGCAGGCTGTTGGCTTTGCTGTTGTTGCAACGTTGGAAAATTAGGCAGGCAGATTTCTTTTCTTTTTCCTGACCAAAAAAGGTAGGTGCAAACAATGGGAAATTTAGGGGAAAAGAGGAGAGTTCAAGATTTTAAAACACAAAAGAAAAAAAGCTCTAACTAGGGAATTGTAATAATTGAGATACTATTAATTGTATATTGTGTTGAAAGCAGAAATGATTAAGTTGTGGTTTGGAGGAATATATGGGGGAAATTATTTGGTTTATTATTATTGGTAAATATAATTAATTGATTTGTAAGAAATTGGATTGCATGGAAATAATTGGAATATTCATGTTCATATTGATTAATATACAAAAAAGGTAGTTATATAACTAATTGATTTATATTAAAATGTTGAATTTATATTAAACTACTGTAATATTACATAATTAACCAATGTGAGGATGGATATAAAAATAGACAATGGGAAGGGGTATAATATAGAATAGAAGGGAAAAATTGAATTTGATTAAGATTAGAGATGAAGATAAAGGGTAATATTGGTTTTTTACAAAAATAGATGAGGAATAAATATGGCAAAAAGGAAATATAGAAATTGTAAATTTAATTGAAATGACTAAACACTGTTTAAATTTGTGAACTGGCCAAATACTCTGTTCAAAGAAAATACATTGAATGTTTGTATGTGTGTTTCTAATTACTGTTATTTATTCATATTTGTTCCCTTTTATTCTTTAGTTTTAACAATTCATTCTTTATCTTAATATCTTTATATTTGTTTGGGGTTGGCTTTCTTCCCTTTCATCTTTTTTATTGTACAGCAATCTTTCTCCTCAAACCTACCACCTCTCTCTTTTCTTTCCTTCTTACTTTCTCTTCCTCCCCTTCTTCTTCTCCTCCCTACTTCCTCTTCCTTTCTCCTTCTCCTCCTCTCTTCCTCCCTCTCTTACCCTCACTCCTACTCTAATTTCCCTTCCCTTCCTTCATCTCTCTCTATTGCTGTATCCTTTTATGCATATGGACTACTCAGGGGGCTGAAAAAATTATTTCTGACTGGTCCTCGCACTTTTGACCAGTCCTCGAACTTACGACTGTCCTCACATTTTACGTTTTTTGCCCTATCTTGTCACCATGGTGAAGAGAAGCAGTTGTGAATGATGGGTGACACGGTTGTTGTTAAGAATGCTACAATGGGCATAAATGATGACCAGTCATAAGTGTGAAGACCGGTCAAAAGTGCAAGGACCTGTCAGAAATCACTTTTTTCAGCCCTCTGGGTAGTCCTTTTGTGCATGGATGGACTCAGAGGGCTGAAAAATAAAAATGTTATTTTTGACTGGTCCTCACACTTTTGACCAGTCCTCGAACTTACGACTGTCCTCACATTTTACGTTTTTGCCCTATTTTGTCACCATGGTGAAGAGAAGCAGTTGTGAAATGAGTGACATGGTTGTTAAGAATGCCGCAATGGGCATAAATGTGAGGATGGTCATAAGTGCGAGGACCGGTCAAAAGTGCGAGGACCAGTCAGAAATGACTTTTTTCAGCCCTCTGTAGTCCCTATGCAGATAGCCACGCCCACTGGTCACATGACCAGCTAGCCACACCCACCCGGTCACATGACCAGCTAGCCACGTCCACCCGGTCACATGACCACCAAGCCACACCCCCAACTAAGCCACGCCCACAGAACCAGTTGTTAAAAAAATTGAATCCCACTACTGCACGTATGGAAATATAAACTAGATAAATGCCCTTTAACCTAACATATTATAGAAAATTTAGGATATTGTGCAAATCCGTTCAGTAAGCTATGGGTAAGCAGGTCATACAGATGCAACCTTTGAGTTAGAATTCCAGAATGCAATGCAGAATGCAGAATGTTCTAGAAAATCAGTGAAGCAGATAAATTCAAGCAAAGCTATATGGAAAAGGAAGGATAGGTGCACCGGACTAATATAATAGACTTGAGCTGTGTTTGTCCATGTGCTGACCCACAAATTGGCCAACTATATTTTAGGCCAGTGTGTATTGGGGTGAATTCAGTCTATGTGATTAGTTCAGTGTGTTGTACAAACCTAAAAAAGTGAATTAATTGATAAACTATGGTGTGTGAGCACAGCTAAGCCATCTGTTCAATTTTTGGTCATGGAAGAATTTTATATGCAAAAGCTCAACTATTCTGTCCTCAACATACTCAGTTGTTCTATCTTGCATTGGGATAAGGCTGTATCCCTTTTTCTAATGTCACAGAGGATCAGGACTACTCTCTGGGCCACATCCTGTTGTTTGATTGCGATGTCCCTACCTCTCCACAAACTGTGACCTAACCAGCTGTGAGCTCCCTCCTCCCTTCCTCCTGTGCTGCCCTTTAAAGTAGGCAATCTGCCTTAATCCTCAACCCAGTAAGGGAAAGGAGGGAGAATGACAGAGAGAGAGCAAATGAGCATGAAGTAGACACAAGGGGGAAATCTGGTTACTTTCTGAAAAGTCCCTATAGTGAAAGCAAGAGGTGCATCTGGGGACTGGTACTCCCTTTTCATGAGGCCATTAGCTTTTAACTTGGCCCTCCCTTCCCATCTGGGGAGAAATACTAAAGTAATGGAGATCCCTCCTTGCACAGTGGAGAGATAATCGATCTGAACTGCTAGATTTTTTTTGGAAATTTACACATCTTCTCCTTCCCCTTTACACAACCAACCTGCAAGATGTCTAAGTCGGAGTGCAATGGAGGACGTGAGTAACCCCACGTTAATATGTTTGGTGATAGGAGTAAGAGTATGGACAGATGGAGATTTTATAGGGCAGCCTACGCATATCGAATTAGAAGCATGTAATGGACTGTATCCTCAGGGGATCGTTCCAAAAATGAGAACTGATTAGTAGTGGGTGTTCAAATGAACAGGTTTGTTGGATTTAATAAAGGATGGGGCAATTTGAGTCCTACTGTTAGAAGATTGGACAGAACTTTGATGTTACAATGGTTGTTTGAAATAAAATCCTGTCACTCTAGAAAAGAAGTTAAAGTAAGGCATTTGTGATATAGTTTAAGATTGGAATTTGGAACCGTACCGGAATAACAGAAGTATATAGATTTGATATTAAAATCAATAGGGGATATACACTGGGACAGAAATGGAAGAGAAACTTATAAATAGATTGACCTCATAGAGGCCTTCAGCTTGGATTAGTTTTCCAGGCTGAAGCATGCTGTATTGTATTTTACATTAACTGCTTCTCTTTTTTCAGATTTTTTTTTAAAAGAGGAGATTAAGTTATTTTGCCCCTTCACTCACACTCGCACACAAATTTTAAACAAGATGATGGGGTCCTACTTAATTCCTTCTGTCTCTTGTCGCCATACTCTTCCTTTGCAGCTTTGGGCTCTCCAGAGGCACCACACCAATCAGCAGCCACGGCTTTTGTGGAAGCATCAGGCCAGGCCATAGCATGGACGCTTACGAGTGGGGGTTCAGATACTTTGGGCTCTACTGGCAGCCTTGCTCAGAAGAAGCGTCAGCAGCAGAACAAGCATAAGACCCAGAGCTCCAACGTGGTGCACCGTTCACCACGAGCCCTCTTCTGTCTACATTTGAACAATCCCATCCGCAGAGCTGCTATCAGCATAGTAGAGTGGAAGTATCCTAAATTTGCAAATTAGCAAAAAGAAGAAAGGAGGGTGGGAGAAGAAATTCCTGTTTGATACCTTAACTTGAATGTCTTCCAGACCTTTTGACATCCTCATCCTTATGACAATCTTTGCCAATTGTGTGGCCTTAGGAGTCTATATTCCCTTTCCAGAGGATGATTCCAATGTCTCCAACCACAATTTGGTGAGTGCCTTTCCTCAAGTTATGAGTGGAAAGAAAGTAGATGTATGAGCAGTGGGAAGTGTGTGTGAACTTAATGAATGAAACATGGACTTTGCATGTCAGACTGAAGATCTGAGTTCCTTTAGAAGGGTTTAAAGTGTAGAATTGAGAAGTGCCTCTGGAAGGCTTCTGGAGCCTGAAAAATTGCTGCTAAGCAGACAGTACTGTGTTAGAGGGATCCGTAGACACCAAAAGACAGATTCCTGCGAATTTAAGAAGTCTGACTTTGACTTCTGCTTCCTGGTTCTAACGCTACTGTGTTAACTATAGTTTCTTCCCAAAAATCCTGCATAACAGTCGCTTCACTCCTTTCTTAATGGTTCCATCTTTACCTCTTGATTTCTGCCCAAGGCAATACCTTAATACTAATTAAAACTATTATCTCCTAATAGGCATTAATCTACCCATGTGACTCATGGCAGCTGAGGTGACAGTTTCCTCTCTCCACTGCCAAATCAGATCAAATTAAAATCTTAATTATGGTCATAGATTAACATAAAAATACAATTTTTAAAACTAATATATAGTTTTAGTTACGCAAGTATCTAAAAAAGCAAGTTTTTGTATTTAATGTTTTTATCCCTTTTATAGTTTTTTAAAGATTCATTTTAGATGTTATCTTTTTACAATATAGTGATTTTTAAAATGTTTTTAACCTTCTGTATGTCATATTTTTAGTTTTTAAATTTGTATTTTTTTATGCTGGTCTATCAGTGTAATAAATATTTTTATTTGAGTTGACCCCACTGCACATACCACTCTGGGTCTGGTCACTCCGACCAAAAGCTTTCAAATGCAGCTGTTCATCTGCTAATTGCAGCTGGGGTTAAGACTAGAGTTGGAGTTCAACTTCCTTGGAATAAATCCCAAATAATCCATTGACAGAAACTGGAGGTGGTGATTGCTTGTTTCTCTGAGGCAAAATTCAGAAACACCTGTAAGGTCAGGCACAATCCAATTTCCTAATCAGTTTATTGTGTGTGTGTGTGTGTGAGTGAGACTTAAGCATGTAAAGTTGTGCAATTGATACAACATTTGGTGAAAGGAGAGGTATTTCATAAATTATGATGTCAAGGCAGAGTTGGTTTTAACCATTTAGTTGTTAGTAAGTGAAAAGTGAGCATTAGTTGGTACAGAAAGCTGTGCTGAGACTACATTCTTTTTTCCAGCACTTGGAAGAAGTAGGATGGGAAAAGAATATGGAAAGAATAGGCAGCGTTCTGTGCTGCAGACCTATGCTTCTTTTTTGCTGTGTGTTATGCTTCCCTAATTTTGGATGCTAGGATCTGGGCAATTTTTGCAAGATGTGCTTCTGTGTGTACAGATATCCAGCATGCTGCGCTTCTGTCATTTGTGCCTCCAGTATATGCCTCTGTTCTTTCCTAGCAGGTTCTGTAAAACACTCACGGTGGTGTTGAGCTGAAATAGTGTTAATCCAGATAAATCCTTGTCATTTTTCCCTGACTGGAATTTCCAGTCCTTTTTAGTGTGGGTTTCCTGGAACCTACAATTTGGATCTTATAAATGGATTTCTTAGGGATGGCTCTGATTTTGGACTATTTGTCAACACACTTGTTTTCAAAATACAGAATGAAAGTATAACTTGGTGTTCCTGCTGCTATTCTTCTCAATTCTACAGGAACAAGTGGAATATATTTTTCTCATCATCTTCACAGTGGAAACTTTCCTCAAGATCCTTGCCTATGGTCTGGTCATGCATCCTAGCGCCTATATTCGCAATGGCTGGAATCTTCTTGATTTTGTCATTGTTGTAGTGGGGTAAGTTTTTAAAAACTATTTATTTTAGTTCGGTATATGTGTTGACTCACAGTGGTCTGATTCTTAAATATAACTTCCAAGTGAATCATCTGTTAATATAAAAGAAAGAAAAATCTATGGATACATTATGGATTATGGGAGCGAGAGGGCGCTCCCATGTGACACCTCTCCTGCACGAGCTGCATTGGCTCCCGGTGGACTTCCGGGTGCGCTTCAAGGTACTGGTTACCACCTTTAAAGCGCTCCATGGCATCGGACCTGGGTATTTGCGGGACTGCCTTCTGCCGCCAATAGCCTCCCATCGGCCAGTACGCTCCCACAGAGAAGGACTCCTCAGGGTGCCGTCAGCTAGGCAGTGTCGGCTGGCGACCCCCAGGGGGAGGGCCTTCTCTGTGGCAGCACCTGCCCTCTGGAACGATTTGCCCCCGGAGATACGGAGGATATCAGATCTCCGGGCTTTTCGCCGCGCCCTAAAAACTTTTTTCTTCCATCAAGCAGGGCTGGCGTGAAACACCCCCCCCCTTTTTGAGATATTAGATTTTTTAATTGTTTAATGGGTTTTAGTCGTAAGGTTCTTAATTTTCGGCCAAAGGGTATAATTCTTTTAAATTTTTACATTTTGTATTGGATGTTTTTTACTTGGCTGTGCACCACCCTGAGTCCACCAGGAGAAGGGCGGTATACAAATTTAAATAAAATAAAATAAAATAAAAAAAAATAAATTAAAAAAAACCCTATCTTTAGCTTAAGTGGAAAGAAATACAGTAGGCAGTGCAAGCAAGGATGTACCGTAGAACAGAAAGTAAAATCCTGTCCTGAGCGACTTCTTGTGACTTAAAGAGTTGCAGAGGAAAATTTGTTTGTTATCCGAGTATTATAATTGGAAAAATGCAGCTATCGTAATTTTTCCTCCTATTACATTTTCAGAGTAAAACAAGAGGCAATGGAGCTGTCTGAATAGCCTGCATACTTTTTTTGTATATACCTGCTTATTAGGGTTTTCACCCCCCCCAAGCGGTGTTGTTCTATACAAAGTTGGTTTATTGCCCCACAATCCGGGTCCTCAATTTACCTACCTCGAAAGGATGGAAGGCTGAGTCAACCTTGAGCCTGTTGAGATTCGAACTTGCACTAATTGCAGGTAGCTGGCAGCTAAGTGCTAACACTTAACAGCACTTTAGTCGGCTGCACCACCGAGGATGTATATTTTGTATACATCTTGTTTAACAGACTCTGAAGCAGATTGTCTGTTAGACTGTATTAAATTTTTTAAAACTTTGGCATAGACCAGGAAAAGCAAATAGTTTGGAACTATGAATACCAAAATAAAAAGGGTCATTTAGGATTGTCATTTTGGCATTAGATTTATAGAACATTTTTAAAGGGTGGGAGAAAGTAGAACTGGAAAAATTTACAGAAGCTTCACTGTGAAATTCTTCACTGACTGGAGGCAGGGTCCCACATCAAACTGTATGTATATCATGACCAGCTGTAAGCTGGGGGTTTATACCAATCCAGTATCCATTTTTTTTCATGTCAACGGTGCTGCACTTCAATGGTTAGATGGCCTAGACATTGGCATCTGAATATAGATCTTTTTAACAATCATATTCAATTGTGTTTTTTATAATCTAGGCAAAATGTTTATATTGCAAGTCCATGTATGATATGCCATATGCTAAATAAATTAATACAGTGGTTTGTCAAACATTTCTAACACTCCATTGTTTAGATGATAGTAGAATAGTTTAAAAATGATTTGATTCTGAACCTAATTTTCCCCTACTTGAAATGTCTCCAAAATGTGGCCTTAGCTCCCAAAATTCTTTAGTGAGCAAAACCATTGGTAAGAATTCTGGAATTTAAAGTTAACAGATCTTGAGTTACCTAGGTGGAAGATATCGTTTGTATAAGGTATCCTGGTGATTTCAGAATGCTGGTGAAAGGAAACTTGGTCCATCATCCTGAAATCAATCTTCCCCTGCGTTGTCTTGTCCTTTGTTTTCCCTATAGTCTCTTCAGTGTCATTCTGGAACAAGTCTCTCACAAGCCTGGGGAGGCCCATCACATGAGTGGGAAGCCAGGTGGCTTTGATGTCAAAGCCCTGCGAGCTTTTCGTGTCCTGCGACCTCTGCGTCTGGTCTCTGGTGTCCCTAGTAAGCATCTCCTGTACTCATGCTTCTCAGATATATGCCTATGAGGGAAAGGCTGAATAAAAAAAACATGTCTCTTAGTATGCACTTATATGTTGTGATGCCAAACTCTGCTGACATGCTGAATGTCTCTTATATGACTGCACATTATGAACTTAATTATATATGATTTGTTTTATTGCTGCTGGTTGCACAATGGCCATACTATACTTTTTGTTACCAGTATATCTTATTAAGCACAGAGGCTGTTACTTCTGTTACCACTGTTATCCCAAAGATGCTTTTTCAAGAGGCAACTGGACTTGATGTCATGTTTTCCAACTCATTTGTTATTGTTCTAGAATACAATTTAAGATCACGTTCCAGCTCATATTAATTCTTCTGTACCGCATCGGAGATACTGAATCACATAAAACTAGACACGTATAGGACTATGTGTAGGTTTATATGCTGGTGCATTGCACAGGCTGAAGTGCTCTCCACTTAATCATTGCTGTTCTTGATGCAAACTGTGTACTTCCTGTTCAGGGCCACATGACACTATTACTTTGCCATTCTGACTCCACACTGTATCCTATTATTAGTGGTGCATAGCACACTGTTATGTTTGCTATTCTCTGCATCACTACATGATAAATTCTAATGAACTACCTTGATGATGATGATATATATGAAGTTTAATTAGGTGATCTAAAAACAATTGACTTCCATGTTTTCCACAAATCTGTTTTGTGCTAGGGCAGTATTTCCCAACAGTGGCAACTTTACCATGGGTGGATTTTAACGGGGGAATTCTGGGAGTTGAGTTCCACCCATCTTAAAGTTGCCAAAGTTAGTAAACATTGTGCTAGGGGAAAAGAGAAATTCCTCTATTCAGCACTGTATTCCTGAGATGGGCCAGTTGAAATTGTACCCTTCATGTGGAAGAAGTTCTTGTGCTCTGAAAAGCTGATGTTGTATCCTAAACATTTCTGTCTCATAGGTCTGCATATTGTCTTGAATTCTATCATGAAAGCCATGGTGCCCCTTCTGCACATAGCACTACTAGTTCTTTTTGTCATCATCATCTATGCCATCATTGGCTTGGAGCTCTTCATTGGTCGCATGCATAAGACCTGCTTCATCATTGATTCAGGTCAGGTATAATTCACCAAGTATAGCACAAGTCTGTCAGATCTATATTTTAAAAACTCCAGATTATGTAAAATGATAGCAAAAATGTGGTTTTCAGAATACCCTTCACTGCATCCTGTGGTAATCTGTATTTTTACTGCCCGGTAGCCCTAGCCAAGACTTCTCTACTTCCAAAAACAACACAGTTGAAAGTTAGTTCTGTTCAAATATGAAATAACTGGAGGAAACAGTTCTGCTTCATCCTTGTAGAATAGGGTACAGTATGCAAGTTTTGGTTAGAAAGTAATCATTTTGAAGATTATGAAAGATTTCTGTAATACATCTTTTCCTACTGGTTTAAATAATTTTCCACTTTGATTGAAAGATCTTTTTAAGATAAGTCATACAGCCTAATCATGTGCCTAGATTTAAAAAGCGGTATGCTAATATGTTTTTATGTTGAATTTAACAAAATTACAGAAATTGTAAGTTAATTTTATTCATGTGCCTACTTTGGGGTGGTCTAGGGGTGGTCTAAGGTATGACGGGGAGAGTTATAAGAAATTTTAGCATACTTTGGAAGTTGATTCAGCTCAGCAATAAGCTGTTAGATGATCCTGTTTCTCTCATCACTGTGATTCATCTTCTACTTGTTGCAGATCTGGAGGCTGAGGAAGACCCGTCACCTTGTGCTTTTTCTGGACACGGTCGGGAATGCACAGTAAACAATAGCGAATGTCGTGGCAGGTGGGATGGACCCAATGGTGGAATCACCAATTTTGACAACTTCTTTTTTGCCATGCTTACTGTCTTCCAATGCATTACCATGGAAGGTTGGACTGATGTTCTATACTGGGTAAATTGTGTCCTTCTGGCAAAGAAACAGAAAGCTCCTCTGTTCATACTTCCTTGTAGTAATTCATACAATTCAGCCTCTCTTGATGTATGATTCCTTAAGTATTTTTTTTTTTTGTTTGATTATTCCAGATGCAAGATGCAGTGGGTCATGAACTACCGTGGGTTTATTTTGTCAGCCTTGTCATCTTTGGCTCTTTCTTTGTGCTTAATCTGGTTTTGGGTGTGTTAAGTGGGTAAGTCAGATTTGGAACATTGGACATGTGACCAGAATGTGTTCATCTTCCTTGATAGAGAAAAAAAGCATGTAAACTAAGGTTTTCACATCTGCTTAAATTATGCAAACAATTTTTTTACATTTGTGTCTCGTTTGCTTAATTTATCCTACTTTTGTTAAATATGAATCAAGGGCAAAGAACTGCAGTAAGCAATGTCTGGATCTCTTGTCTTTTGAAATCTTTTTCAGATTTCAACAAATATGGCTTACACATTTTCAAGTCTAGCAATGGGAGCTAGAATGTGATTCTGTGTACTTTTGCATTTTTAGAACAGCCTTCTTTCTCATTAGAAAAACCCTAAAGGATCTAGAATAAAAAGGAAAAACAGTAGAAAAAATAAGTAACAGGTAACGTCCCATGTTCTCATTGTCTAATTAAACATGAGACACATGAAGGAAGAGGTCAGGAAAAATAATTGGGCTACAGCTAGGACATTTCAATTATAAAACAGGAAACAAGATCTAAGTTAATATTTTGCACATAATAGCTAGCTGCATCAAAGTCAAGGAGAGCCTTCATAGAAATTTTCAGATGTTGTCCAGTCAACTAATTTGACCTCTTCCATCCAAAGGGAATTCTCTAAGGAACGAGAGAAGGCAAAAGCCCGGGGAGACTTCCAAAAGCTACGAGAAAAACAACAGATGGAGGAAGATTTGAAGGGCTATCTGGATTGGATCATGCAAGCAGAAGACATTGAGCCCGATGAAGAAAAAGATGAGACAAGTGAAAAGCATACTTGTAAGAGCTTTCAGGACCATTCCTTCCAAGCTCTCTCCCTTGTTTGCCAGGGATTGTTCTTTGCTGTCCTAGAGATGGTTTAGTTAGCAGCCTGGATGTTACCATCTGTAACAGCTCTGTATGAGGGGGATTAGAGAGGAATCAATCCAAGCCACAGCAATGCAAGATTAGCGGAAAAACCAACTAAACTGCCAGCTTGAAAAGGAATTCTGATTGAAATGAGGAAGTCAGGGGACTCCAGTGTGAATGTGTTAGGATACATAGCTGAAATCTTCATTTACTTACTTATTTTGAGGGCTTTTGTGCTGCTTCGGTTGTGTGAATGTACAGTAAACAGCATACAGCAAGTTAACTGTGAGTGGAGCATGCCATCTTAGTTACAGGAATAGAGTTAGTGGAGAATAGGGCAGACCAGGCTGATAGCTTGGTGGTTTCCATTCCTTCATGTTGCATCTATTGTTTCTTTCTCACCCTCATGGCCATTTGGTTGCAGTAAGAGACACTGTGTTGTGCTCTTCCGTTTGGCAGAGCCCAGAACTGGCCAATTAGTGGTAGCTTTAATTTCCTGTAGCTATAATTTGTAGCCTGAGAAAATGGCATTCAATTCCAAGAATCCATCTCCTGGTGCTAATTAATTCACTGGAGCTGTATCAGCTGCTTTGGGTTCATTGAACAAGTGTTGAGAGCAGTGGAGAGAAATGAAGGTTACCTTCTCCATTCAGCCCATCAGCTTACATAGTTTCAGGGATCTTGGTCCTTCCTTTTGTTCAGATTACTTCCAAAAACGAAAGCAAATATGTTGTATAGTGGTCCCACAATAGAGAGAAATCACTAAAGTTACTCACTCACTTTTTACAGGGCATTTAGAAAACATTTTTAATAATATGGAAATATTTTTCTTAACAACAAACAGACAATAGTATAGTTTTCCCAAGCATAGTTTTTTTCAGTGCTACTTACTGTGTCTTTTTAAGGAGAGATTGTTTTTTAAAAAATATTTTAAAATGACAAAAAGCACAAATACATTTTAAAAAATACATAACAAGTGCTTAGAAATAGATGAAAAATACAACAAAAAATAAGATACAGACTACTGTAATTCATTGTTAGAACAAATTACAATTCTATATATAATTTTCTAATAATAAATATTCAACATACGCACACACAAATATATATATATATATCTAATACACACCTATAATGATAATGCTTTTTAACTTACTGTATAGGTATAGATGAGTTCCATATTTCCTTATATGTATTCATACAATGTCTTCATTTATAGGCAATCCACTCATAAGTATGGTAGCAAGTAAGCATTGAGTGGAAAGATAGTGATTTCAACTTTTGCAGCAACACCGTTCTGTATACCCAGAAACAAATTCCTAATTATCTTCTAGATTGGCACCATCTTTAGCTTTTTAAAATTGTGCTAAAATATTTTTACCTACATTATGCCTATGCATTTTTGTGTGTGCACAGATGAGTTGACAATGAAATAAATTATTCAGCAAATTCCAAAAGAAGAACAGCACAGGGCCTTTCTTCTTTAAGTAATAAAATATGTTTTATCACATTTAAGCAAAAGTTGATTAAATATGTAATAAAATTTTTAAATGGCACAGTTAAGCAACATGCACCTCCCATTTTATATTATACTAATCGGTATGTATGGAATCTAGAGGAATAGACACAAAACAAATGGAATCATAGAGTTGAAAGGGACTTTAAATGTTATTTAGTCAAAGCCCTTCTTAGATCAGGATCCAAATTCATTCTCTGTTTGAAGACCTCAGTTATCACTACCCAAATGGGAAGAGACTTTGGGTAGTGATAGCTGCTTCTAGTCTTGAGACTCCAAGACTAGAAGACACTCCAAGACACTCTTTAGTTCTAATGGCTTGAAAAGAAATGGACAAGGCGTTTGTAAGGAGGGTTCACCACATTTCCTTTTTTCTGTCATCTGCCTCTCATCGTTTATTGTTCTCCATCCATTCCCATCCACTTTGTTCCTAAATAATTCCCTTTCCTATTTATCCCTCCCTTCATGTTTTTCCAATCTTTCTCTCTCATCTGTGCCTTCTTTGTGGAAGACGTTACTGTGGCCAACCTGATGGAAAAGAAGAGGAAGAAGAAATGGTTCAGGCATAGAAGTCATTCCTCCGACAGCCACAGTAATTTTCAATGTTTCTTACTCCTTTGTGTATATGCTTAGTTTTCTTTAAGGGCTAAGCAGAGAAAGTTGTAGATACTATGTTTCCACCTCATTCCTCATCTGTGCTTCATTCTATATAATGAAGTCTGTTGATTTCACAAGCCTATTTGGTAATTATGCCGAGGAGTTCTATTTTTAATTTCTTTGCTTTTGGTTGATTATTAGATTTTTCTTACTGTATGCCCTTATGGCAATTCCTTATCCAAGTGTTTTTCTCTCCAAGTGAATTTTCCTATCTATTTTCATTTGCCACAATGCGTCTTTCCTCTCCCTACGGCATAATTGCAGCAATAGGATACCCTTTGCCAGTTTCCAGGTCTGCTGGCCAAACAGGATCCATGATTAATAGGAGGACGATATCACAGTCCCTGGTTCAATCTGCAGTATCGCATTTAAGAAACTCTGGCTCATCCAGTCTTCACAGCAGTTGTGATCTATTATTTATAAAGTTTCTGATTACATTTTTTAATTCAAAAAGGTAATAGAGGAACAGATAAAGGGATAAAAAGGGTTTTGACTCTTTAAATAATTAAAACTAGTATGTATGTACTGTACTTCCATTGCAGTAATAAAATTGTAAAAGCTGATGAAACTGAATTATGTCCAACAGCCAAAGAATGCATTACAGGTAATCCTCTACTTATATCCATTCATTTAATGCCCAAAGTTACACCAGCACTGAAAAGTGACTTACAACCAGTCTTTGCATTTATGGCTATTACAGCATCCCATGGTTACAGGATCAGAATTCGGGCACTTGACAACCAGCATGTATTTGTGAAGATTGCAATGTTCCCAGGGTCATGGGATCACCATTTGTGATATTCCCATCGAGTCAATGGAGGAAGCTGGATTTGCTTAACAACCTCACGATGATAGTGATTCGTTTAACAACCATGGCACAAGTTGTAAAATTGGGCATGGCTCCCCTAGCAATGCTTTCATTAGCACTGGAAAGTCTGATCCCAATTGTGGTCATATGTCAAGGACTACCTGTATTAAGCATATAGATAGTATAGTTGCAATCATTTCTAAATATCTGGAAAATATTATGTAATTTGAAAGAGAATTTAAGATGATTGTTTATGTTGTCTTGAAAATTTGCATTTTTTAAAAAATCTGAAAAATCTTTCATAGGAGGGCAGTGTATTTACTATCTCTCTTTCTTCTGCATATCATAAAGGTATCAAAATGATGGTCTGAGGAAGAGTCAATCCTATGGTTTCAATGGTGGCAGCTGTCTTTTTGAACAGAAATACTGCAGGAAGAACTTGGGGTTGTTCCAAAAAAATAATAATAATAATCTGATTTTCTCTCCCCAGCCAGTCTTCCTGCCAGCGAAAGTACCTCGGTCAACACGGAGAACGTTGAAGATGAAGAGCACCTTCAGAGCCACTGCTATGATGTGTGTTTGTGAGTTTGCCTGGCCACAGAGAGGAGGGCTGCAGAACAATGCTAATTATTAGTGTTCTACAGGCCAAGTTAACTCTTCTAGGAAGCTAATGGGGAATCCAAAAGGTTGCCTCCTGTTGCCTCCTGCCCCCCTATTTGAGTATCTTCTCTGCTGGGGTAAGAGTTTTTGGGATTAGTTCCTGGCATTTCCTATTGATCCTCCTATTGAGGATCTCAGAGTGATGGACTGAGAAAGCAAAGTCCCTAATCTGTTTTCAGTCTTCTATTGTCGGACCAAATCCACCTAAGTCCTTCAGGGATGCTCGAAATGTTAAGATCAAGTGTTTAGATTCCACTCTAGTCCAGAATAAGACAAGCAACCAACATTTAAAACATGGGTGTCCAACCTTGGCAACTTTTTTTTTTTTTTTAATTTGATTTATATGCTGCCCTTCTCCGGAGACTCAGAACAGCTTACCATGCGTTAAGCAATAGCCTTCATACTTTTGTATATTTATACAAAGTCAGCTTATTGCCCCCACAAACTGGGTCCTCATTTAACCTACCTTAGAAAGGATGGAAGGCTGAGTCAATTTTGAGCCTGGTAAGATTCGAACCTGCAGAAATTGCAGGCAGCTGTGTTAATAACAGGGTGCATTAAACCACTGTACTACCAAGGCTCCTGAAGACTTGGAGACTTGAAGACTTCAACTCCCAGAATTCACTATCTAGCTGGCTAGGGAATTCTGGGTGTTGACATCCTTAAAGTTGCCTAGCTTGGACACAACCTGATTTAGAAGATGTTTCTTTAAATGACAGATTGTTTGGCTTTATATCTGATAACTGATCAGATTTTAATTTCTGATTTTAGTTTTAAACTGATTTTAGTTTTTACTATTTTTAATATTCTTGCCTGCCTTGAAGAAATTCTCCAGCGAATGCTATTTTCTGCTAAGCTTGCATCTCATGTCTCTGATTAAATCCTGCCTCAATAAGCACTTCTTACTGCAGACTGAACTCTTCCCTCTATTAACTAATAGACTAGTTAAGCAAATTTGCTGAGCAGATGGACATGCTGAATATACGGCCTCCTTGCTGAAGCCTACTTGTGAAAAATCCCTATCTTAGAGGTGTCACTTTGTTTTGTTCGTCCCTATTTTTTAAATAGCATGCTGACCTCTAAAAAAGTAACCTCCTTATATGATAATGGGAAAAAATTAAGTCTCTATTCATGGCATTAGAATGTCTATGTCAGGGATGGGCAATTGTGGCTTTTTTACAACCTGTGGACTTCAACTCCCAGAATTCCTGAGACAGCTTGGCAGCAACTCCCAGGAATTCTGGGAGTTGAAGTCCACAGGTTGTAAAAGAGCCACAATTGCCCACCCCTGGTCTATGTCAAACTGCATTTTTCTATGTGCAGGCCAAAGGTCAGCAATCTCTTTAAATAGGGAGGGGAGGCAAGGCAGCAACTTATCCTGCTGGATAGATGGCAACCTGCAGAAGACCTTTCACTCATTCCACTGAAAGAAGTAGGCTCAAATGTTCAGCCTTTTGTGGAAGACTCTGGGTTGGAGAGGGAAAGGAGAAGCAAAATGAAATGTTTTACCATATAGAGATCTTAGGCTCCTATTGCCATCTATACTTTGCCATCCAAAATGTGCAGCTGAAAATCACCATTCTGCTAGCAAATTTTAGGGATCTCAAACAGATGATGGAGGGGCTGCATATGGCCATGGACTGCCACCCCTATGGGATGAGAGCCCATTTTTACAAAATGGTTCTTGATTCTGTATTTAGAAAAGATGTTATAGGGCAGTGATGGCTAACCTTTTTGCCATCGCGTGCCAGGAGAGGGGGGGTGGGGGAGGGTCGCGCACACATGTGCCCACGCGCATGCGTGCGCAACCCCTTCCCCCCTCCCCCCCCCCGCTCCTGGCACATGATGGCCTGGTAGGCCCGTTTTTCTTTCTTACCTGGTTCCAGATCCTCTCTGTGTATCTGGGAACGGCGAAAACAGCCTTTCCCACTCCTTTGGAGGCCCTACGGAGGCTGAAAAGGCCCATTTCCCAACTCCCGGTGGGACAGGAAGTGACATTTTTTGCTGTCCCCAGCCTCCAGAACCTCTCTAGGAGTCTGTAGGAGCCTCTGTAGGAGTCTGTAGGAGCCTCTCTAGGAGTCTCTGGAGGCTGGGGACAGGAAAAAACATCACTTCCTGTCCCACCGGGAGTGGGGAAATGGGCCCTTTGAGCCTCCATAGGGCCTCCAAGGGAGTGGGAAAGGCTGTTTTTGCCGTTGCCAGATACACAGAGAGGATCTGGAGCCAGGTAAGAAAGAAAAACGGGCCTTCCCCACCCCCCCAGGCCCTCCAGAGGCAGGAAACAGCCTGTTTCCCTACTTCTGGTGGGCCCAGAAGGCCCGAAAATCAGCTGGCTGGCACGCACATGCATCCCAGAGCTGAGCTGGCATGCCCACTAATATGGCTCCGTGTACCACCTGTGGCACGCGTGCCATAGGTTCACCATCACGGTTCTAGGGTGTATTAATGATGATTTGTGGAATTTCATTTTGAACCATTTCCATAGCATCCCAGATAGATTTGTAACTTCTCTCTGGGTCTTTTAGCTTTAGCTGAAGAATTCATTTTGAGTTTTTACTAAATTTCTATTTTTCACAGACGAAAGCTTTCCAAGACAAAATTTGGGTGAGTATAACAACAGCCTAGTTTTCCATTCTTGCCATGACCCCCAGGCTGTTCAATAATTTCTGTTCTTCCTTTTGTGCCCCAGCCGCCATGTACAGCGTATCAACCGACTTTTTCGGAAGAAGTGTCGTTTGGCTGTCAAATCTGTCTCTTTCTACTGGATGGTCCTGCTCCTTGTGTTTCTGAATACCCTCACCATTGCTTCTGAACATTACAGGCAGCCTTATTGGCTCACCCAAATCCAAGGTGGGACTATAAGACATATTAAATAGAGATAGCCTTAAACAAGTGAGACTTGTCTAGAGGCATTAGGGCTGCCTTGGATAGCCATACGAGAAATGAATTTTTCAACACGGGGCCGAGACGCAGGAACTCATTGTTTTGAATTTAGTTTGAGACACAATTGATTGGAGGGAGGAATACCTGTAGCAGGTTACACATATTCTATCCCCAATTAGAGATATAAACTGCAGATTTCCATCCTCCTCCTTCTTTTAAACAATTTTAGTACCATGTTTCCCCGAAAATAGAACCCTGTCTTATATTTTTTTGAACTCTGAAATAAGCATTTGGCCTTATTGCCATGTGCTCAAAAGCCTGATTGGGCTTATTATCAGGGGATGTCTTATTTTGGGGGAAACAGGGTATTGGTTATAGAGTTTATTTATTTATTTGTAACATTTATATAGCCACCCATCTTGTACTAAAGTTTGGGTGGCTCACAACCAAAATATAAAGCAACATCTGTGTAAAATTAAAAATATTAAAACCAAACCAAAACAAAGCCTATAGCTAAACTTTCATAAGCAGCCCACAATAAATTCATATGCTCAATCTCACCCTATCCCAGTGCTTGGGGGAAAGCAAACTTTTAAGCATTTTTTGGAAGGCTGAATGAATGGCTTTCAAGTTGCCATGGGCCTGCTAGCTTCGGGGGAATGATGTTCCATAGGGCAGTGACTGCCACAGAAAAGGCATGCTTCCTAGATTTCATAAGATGGCAACATTTAAAGACAGGGACTAGGAGTGTGCCAGTCTAGTAGGACAGTCAAATGTCTTTAGGGAGAGGTGGTTCCGCAGATAACCTAGTTCTGCACCATATAGGGCTTTAAAGGTAATAACCAGTACCTTGAATTGCATCCTGAAAGAAACTGGGAACCAGTACAGCTCATGCAACGGGGGTGAAAAGTAGGTAAATATAGAGGCATCCATCACTGCTGCATTCTGGACCACTTGCAACTTCTGGATGGTCTACAAGGGCAGCCCCATGTACAATACATTGCAGTAATCCAAATGGGAAGTGACCAAGTCATAAGTGACCAGGAGCAAGCCTCCTGGTCCAGCAAAGGACTCAGTTGGCACACAAGACAAATTGGTGAAAAGGTCTCGCTAGCCACAGCTGCTACCCTCAAGCAGGTGCCATGAGTCCAGGACAGTCTCCAGATTGTGCACATGTTCAGTCAGGGGAAGTCCCAGCCCATCTAGAGTTAAAGAAGGACTATCACCCAGGCCTCGAAGGCCTAAATCCCAAAATTCTAAGGTGTGGTTGCCCTGAACTTCTTTCCCCCTCCCCCTTCCAGCTCGGGATTGCACAATCTCTTGATCAAGTCTCCTTTTGGGAGCATTCTAGCAAAAATCTTCTCCCTCTGCTGCTACAGGTGCACATTTCCTCATAAGGTTTTAGGCTGGGGTGGCTGCTGTTGGGAATAGGAGGGTGCACAAGCAGGGGCCAAGGCTGGTGTGATGCCCCAGCTGCCCCAAGCCTAGCACTGCAGTGCAAAGAACCAGCCATAGCCACCCTGTGCTCTGCCAGGGTGGCTGTGGCTAGTTCTTTGCACTGCAGTCCATAGGCTGTGTTAGCTGTTCTTTGCATTTTCTTGCTCCTGTTGATAACGAGGCACATCCAGCCTAGCCCTTCACGAGGCAGCTGTTGGCCACATGAGGCCCACTTCTTGTAGTGCTGTGAGGAAACTTCTGCATGTGACCTGGAGAAAAGTAGGCCTTCTGTGGCAAGAAGCTGCCTCATGAATGGCCATGTCAGACCTGTTTTGTCAGCAGCAGGAACAAGACAGTGAAGGTCAGCTAGGAGTAGTGGAGTGCAGCAGGCCAAAAGGGCAGAGATTGTGGAGAAAGGCAGTGGGGAGGGGATTGTTGAAGCACACCCTGCAGTTGTAAATACAGGTGAGCTGCCAAGGGTCCATATTTTGATCATGTGACGGTACACTCCAACAGCTGTAACTTTGAGAACTAAGTGTAAGTATATATATATATATGTTCAGTGCTGTTGTAACTTCAAATAGTTATGTGAGGACTACCCATAATTTTTTATGTTTATGTTACTGCTCTTTAAATGGACAGAGGTGAAAACAAACAGTATGGTACCTTATCTAGTGTATTGTGAGACTTCAGATGAAATATTACACAATAGGAACAAAGTTTTGATTAGTCCTGTCCCAGAGAATATACTCTGTTGTGTTCCATATAGTGACTCTGTAATTTTATTATTTCTGCAGACTTTGTCAGAGCTTGTCCTTTAAAATATTTATTTTTGATGCTAGAATTTCTATCAAAATCGGTGCTAGATACAGCAACCTATTCTGCCCCATATCTTTTGTTGTTGCAGCTTATGCTAACAAAGTACTGTTGTCACTGTTCACCCTGGAGATGCTGCTGAAGATGTACAGCCTAGGCCTCCAAGCCTATTTTGTCAGCTTCTTCAACCGTTTTGACTGTTTTGTGGTATGCGGTGGGATTTTGGAGACTGTCCTGGTAGAATTCGAGATCATGCAAGCCCTTGGAATCTCTGTGCTCCGTTGTGTCCGCCTCCTGCGAATCTTCAAAATAACCAGGTAAGGAAGTTCCATTAGCCAGGAATAAAGCATTCACTTAGATTGCTCAGCTTAATAACATTTACTTATGGTATATATTGACATTCCCATAGGAGGAGATGATTTGAAGTGGTATTTGCTATTGCTGCTACTGCTGCTACTACTACTATTATTCCACCAGTTCCTTTATAGTTAAATGCAGCTGACAGATGATATACTATATGGGATTGTCTGGCTTTCTAGAGGATATGGAACTTGGAAACATGATATTTTTAAAGGGACCTTGAACCATCAGTGTCAAGTATTTCCTGTGTTTACAAAATAGGGTTTTTTATGTCTGTTGGTCTATAGCATGTAAGCTTAAGCACAAAGTATGTTGAATTCAGCCCCACTAAGTCTAAGACTTAGTTTCAGGAAAACAAGTAGAGATTTTAGCCTGAGTCACTCTTTCTTGTAGAAAAAGATATCAAGATTTTTTAAAAAGATGCATAAAAAGGTAGATAATTGGACCTGAAATAGGAAATATTTATGTAGAAAATAACGTGCCAATTTTTATGTAAAACTTAACAAGTGTTCAGTAATGCCCTAAGAAAAAAATATTAAAAAATTGAAAGACCTAGGTTGCCAATATACAGTTCTTTGACAGCTGCTATACTGTAATTCTAGCTAGGAGAACTACTGTGGAGAAATAGTGAGAGATGTTGATAATTTAGTAATACATGGATAGCTAAACCTTTTCTTAGCTGCCTGACAGACAGGCAGTTTACAACACTGGACCTGTTTTGTTTCTGTGAATTCCCTATCACAGTGGTCCTCAAAAGATATTCTATAATTCTGACGTAACTCTTGGCTTCTAAAGATGCTCTGTGCTACTTAGCCTGCTTACTTTTCCATGACTTATCTTCTAGGCATTGGGCCTCACTGAGCAACCTTGTGGCTTCTTTGCTGAATTCCATGAAGTCCATTGCTTCCTTACTTCTACTGCTGTTCCTCTTCATTATCATCTTCTCCTTGCTAGGCATGCAACTCTTTGGTGGCAAATTTAACTTTGATGAGACTCAGACCAAACGCAGCACCTTTGACACTTTCCCCCAGGCCTTGCTCACTGTCTTCCAGGTAAAAGACTGCACATTATGCCAGTGGACTAGGACCTTTAGGAAGATGATTAAAGGCCAGTACCACCATATCTACGTGGCTTTCTAAGATGTTTTCAGTTACAGCTCTCACAGTCTCTTGCTATTGGCCCTGCTACCTGGTGCTTTTGAGAGTTGACATTCCCTATTCTGGCTTAGAGCCTGAATGATAAACTATTGCTCCTTAGACCCATGTATTTCCTGGAGTTAGTAAAAACACTTTATTTGATCCTAATTCTTAATGAAAAAATATATAAGATGTGATTCATATAATTAGTTTCTGGTACTTTGTGAATAAGTTCCAAGAAATAAATTCCAGGCACACGGCTGCTAGCAATCCTTGTCTCTAACTTTTAGGCTGGGAAAATATTATTCTTAAAGCTATTCAAGAATTAGTGCTATCTCAAGGTTTGAGAAATGGCAATGGCTTTCAGGAAAATGGTTCCCTAGACTTATGAGTCATTTTAGGAGCAGCTTCAAATTTCTGTAATGGTTGAAGCCTAGCTCTTGAAAAAGGCTTAAGAGAATAGTCAAGGAAACAACATAGCATAGGTTACTGAAATATTGTAATCGATCTTAGGTACAAAAGTAAATACTCAGCATTGCATGTTAGAATTTTAATAGGTGTACATTTTGGATGGAGGGGTATACTTGTTTACACCTAGGTAAATCCATGAAGTTCTCTTTAAAACTATTATAATCCAATTGGCTTTTCCTTGATGTACTCCAAAACAGAAATTAAATCCCGTCAGGAGAAGAAAACCCCACTTGGAACATAAACATTTAAGAGCAAAATGTGTGGGGGTAGCTCTATTAACTCTGCTTACATAAAGTTATGTCGCTTCTATATACTCACCCAAGCTGGCCCTGCCTTTGTCATCTCTGCTTTGAACCTGAAATGCGTAAAACTAAAGAAATTAGAGTTCTTGTTTCCTCTCACGCTTGGCAACATTAAATATAAAAAACTCCATTTTGCTGCCAGAAGTAATTATTTGTCCTGACCTAATGGGTTTTCATATTATAAAGAAAGCAAAGCTGGTTATGCTTAAGAGAATAAATTGTTTTTCTGGATCTGACGATGTAATAAAAGTTTGTGGTATATACCCACCATTCAAATGTTAATGCATGGAAGAGCTAACAGACAGTTGCTAATAATCCAAGTGAGCCAGGAGAGTACGGTATGTGACTGAAATAGCTCGGAATTACCTCCTGCCATTCACAACCATCTTCAAATTGTGAATTTATACCAAAAAGAACCAGGATTCCAAAATCCCTCCTCACTGGATCGAGACTAGTAATTTGTTTACTACAAGATTGTGTGAAGTTCTTCTTGGGGAGGGGTTATAGAATTATCTGATCTGCTGTTGATGTTTTCCCTGTCCAACTGTGAAATATAGATACTGACAGGAGAAGATTGGAATGCAGTGATGTATGATGGAATCATGGCCTACGGTGGCCCCTATTTTCCCGGCATGCTGGTCTGCATCTATTTCATTATTCTCTTTATTTGCGGCAACTGTATCCTTTGACCCTGCTGTTGGCAGTGATATTATTTGCATGTTAAGGCCAGGAGAATCATGAGAGGTTGCTCTAGTGCTAATTAATTTATAAATTAGTTGCTATGTCAGTCTCACCCACCCTTAATTCTCTTTTGGAAGCAGATCAAAATGTTGATCACATACCTTTTAAGAGCCTATATTTAGTTCCATTATAACAAAGGATGGCTACATAATAGCAATAGCAATAGCACTTAGACTTATATACCACTTCATAGTGCTTTTACAGCCCTCTCTAAGCAGTTTACAGAGTCAGCCAACAATCTGGGTCCTCATTTTACCCACCTTGGAAGGATGGAAAGCTGAGTTAATCTTGAGCCTGGTGAGATTTGAACTGCAGCTAGCAGTCAGCCGAAGTAGCCTGCAGTACTGCACTCTAACCACTGCGCCACCTCAGCTTTTAGGACTGATAAAATCCTAGGCTCAACTTTTATGGGCCTTGTGGCTTAAATGTTCAAGTCTTTTGTTAGCGATCAATTCAGTTCTTTGAAAGAGCAATGCATCTTTAATTTGTCAGTCCCTAATTGAAAAAGAAAGAGAAGAAGATATCAGAAGAAGACAACAGAAAGTTGGTGAAAGGAAAGCAGAGAATTGCAGGAGAGAACAGGTTCCCTGTGCACTACTGATTACAGTATGGTTTACCGTTGTTATGCAGCCTTCAACAGTTACCCTTCAAGAAATGTGACCTTGAGAAAGAAATGTCCACCTTAACAGTCAGAGATTAGTTTCTAAATCAATCACTGTCATAGCCCAATATATACAATAAATCCAACACACCTTAAATACTAGTTATTATCAGTCAAGATTAGAAGAAAACCATTGCCTTTCTGGTCACGATTGTGAGTTTCTCAATTGCATAGTATAGTATAGCCTTTATTGTCATTGTACATTATATATACAATGAGATTGGTTGTATAAATGCGCCAAAGTGGCTACAATGCGACACAGAACACTAAACTACATAGGCTGTCTATTGTCAGAAAAATAACAGACAACCATACTTTTGGATCAGGGGTGGGTTCTGCTTACCTTCACTACCAGTTCACAGCAGGGCCGCGGGCACGCTCTTCTGCGCAAGCGTTTTCATGATGTCGGGGTTGGTGGGCGGAGCCTCCTGCCGGTTTTACTACCGGTTCTATAGAACCGGTGCGACCCAGGGGCAACCCACCATTGCTTTGGATCTCTTGTGATTATAGAAGGATAAAATTGCATTGGTAACACAGATGTGGGATTGTCAAACACTTTCTTCCATTTTTTCTTGGATTCCAGGAATTGTCCCTTTAAGTATAGATTTTAACTCTTTCTTTAGAATCATTTGAACCTATCTATCTATCTAAATATCTATATTCCATATTTATTATTTTTACATGTTACTCAAGATAGTGAACATATCCAATATACTTTCCTCTTCCTATTTCCCCCAAAACAACAACCCAGTCAGGTGAGTTGGGCTGAGAGAGAGTTATTGGCCCAAGATCACCCAGCTGGCTTTCATGGCTAAGGCGAAACTAAAACTCACTGTTTCCAGTTTTCTAGTCCTGTGCCTTAATCACTAGACCGACCTGGCTCTCTGATGAATTATTAGCCATGTTATGGTACCTTAATCTTTCTCACCTATGTTCTTCTGCTTGTTCTAGGCAATGGCATTATGAATGAATGAAATATTCATTCATTGTCTTTCTAGTCCATAAAATGAGCAATCATGCTGACTTTTCCTGGTTGTAAGGCTGTAGAACCACAATAATTTTATAATTACCCATAGAACTTCATCTGTGGGATAGATTAGGAATAAAATGAATGAACAAATGAATGAATCAATACATAGCAATGTTGTCATTGCAAAGCACTTGATAGCCTTTTGATTGCCCCAAAAGATGCTTAGATTCACCTAGCAGAGCCATTTTATACCAAATACTCACATCTACCTGCCCTGTGGAACATTCTCTGCCCTGAAGTCAGGTTAGCTCCATCCCTTGCTATTGTTTCAGAAGTCCCTCAGGGGAACTAATGTCATTCTAAAATGGCTCTAGTATTGTGGTCGATATATTCACTCTATCTGTGCCTTTTGGTTGGAGTATTTTAATTTTCAATAATGTTTTAATTTTTAATAATGATTGTTTTATATTTTTATAATGATTGCTTTATATTTTTATAATGATTGTTTTATATACTATATTTGTTGTTTTACTTGATTGTTGTATGCTGCCCAGAGTCATCTCTTATGAGATGGGCAGCCATATAAATTTGATAAATAAAATAAATTTATGTAGATAATCTCTATAAAAGCCTCTTCCTTTCTCCCATGTGCACAGGAAGAGATAACTCTTCTAATGAATGAGTTTTTTTATTTAAAAATGAGGTTTGCTTTGTGTTTCAAGATTGTGTTTCCACATATACAAAATGCATGCACATTATTAACCAATCAATCAAGTAAAACTCAGATGACTAACTTTTAGATCTTTAGTTGGGTTAAAAAATTGTTCTTCAAGTGTCTTCAGAGTGAATTAGTTCCTCTTATATCAGATTGTTTTCTCTAAACTTCTCACCTCAGATATCTTACTCAATGTCTTCTTGGCTATTGCAGTGGACAATCTTGCTGATGGGGATGATATTAATTCCTCCAAAGAAGAGAAGTGAGCATAGCCTAAGTGAAGGCAGGATGGGAAAGAAATTCAACTAGATGATAGCTGTTTGATTTGTAACTTTGTAAAATTGTTTGTTTTATTGCTATAAATCAGCGGTCCCCAACCTTTGTGGCTTGGCAGCCTGGCTGGGTAGGGTGGGGAGAGAGGGGAACTGGACTGCATGAGTGGTGGGCCAGCATGCACATGTGTGTACAACTTGACTTGCGCGAGCAGTGGGCCGGTGCATGCATGTGCATGTGTGATAGCCCACCGCTTCCGCAAGTTGAGCTGCGTACATTGGCCCTCCACTTGTGCAGCCTGGTTCCAAATAGGCTGCAGCCCAGTAGAGGCTTTGGCCCAGGGTTTGGAGACCCCTGCTATAAAACATCAAGCAAAGTCATTTATACTGCAGTAGGATTGTTTAAGTAAAAGTTTGGAATGTACAGTACTCCAATTTAAGAAGGCAATAAATACAAGAAGTATTTCATTAAATAGGGATTGAATATAGAAGAATACTGAGAAACTCAGATGGCAAATGCAAGATAAAGTCTAATGTCTTCCTTTCCTTTTTGTCCTCTAACATTCTTCCCACCGCTGCCTTTCTTGTTGTAATGCAGACAGGCACCAGCAGAGGGAGAACAGAACAAAGAGGAAGAGAAGAAAACTGTGAAGGTGGGGTCCAAACACACATGCATAAGTTTAGGTTCTGATCCAAGTTCCCTGGATAGCTACAGATATCAATAAGTGAAGTGTTTCACATTTTAATGTTTCCTTCCCAATGTGATACCCTCCAGAGGTGTTGGACTTCAGGCAGCCTAGAAATTATAAGACAAGAGTCTTAACACATTTTCTGTTAGGCAAGGCTGTCAACTACATTTAGCTGGAAACAGCAGCATTGCAACAAATGCTTTCTCAGATTTTGTTAGTTTCCAAGTGGAGGGAATTCCATGATTATATACTCCTACTTCGAACAAATAGCACATAATGATGCGCCATTATAGTGCAAACACAAGAAAAATTTATCCCCACCTTTTTCCTGTCCAGCTCATTATTAATCCAAAAAAAAAAAAAACCAATGTCTGCCTGTCTGTTTCTCTCTCTCTCTCTCTCTCATTGTCACATGACTGTAAAAGATACACTTGAAATTATATAGAGTGAAATTCAGAATAAAATGAAATGAAAGATAAAAGAAGCAACAGAAAAACCAGTCCAAGTAGAGAAAAAATATATAAAGTAGCAACTTCCCTTTTTAAAAAACAATTTGAATATTACATGTACAGATAAAGCTAATATAAACCATATTATATAAGCACAACTTTAAAACCTCACTCCGTTCTAGTTAGCAAAAACCTATTAAGGGTTGCTAGAAATAACAACCTGTCTATTATAAACTTTATCTAATACACCCAATTGAATTCCTTTCTTTTACATTTATATCTCATTTATATTATTAAATAAATCCTGCAAATGTCATCTTTCAAATCTAGTCAGGAAAAATCCAATAAAAATTACCAGAGATAGCGTCATACCGTAACTATTATAACTTTAATCAGATAAATTTAAAATGCAGCAAATGAACTCTTTTACATAAAACTTGAATCTATAAACAAAGCATTAAAACATTATCCTTCAAACCTGGTCAAAGAAAATCCATGAAAAGTTTTCAAAAGTAGCAACCTATATATTTTAACTTTAGTCAAATAAACCAACTTCATATTCCTTCCCCTTGCTCTCTATAATCTTAATCTTTAGCCCCTTCATGTTTGGTCCAAACATTTGGTTTCTTTTCATTTTCTCTTTGTTTATTCTAACAAAATCACCGACAGACTTAACAAATCCCTTTTCTAAATCCAGTATAAAAAGATTATTCAAAACATTCTTCTGGTCTTTAAAAAGCCTTCAATCTTTAGAGTCTCATCATATTTTCTTCTGAATGCAAAGACATGAATAGTTTGTCATGAGAAGGATTCTTATAATAGATTTCCACATTTTATTTTTATTTTATTTATTTATTTTATTTTTGAATTTGTATACCGCCCTTCTTCCTAAGGACTCAGGGCGGTGTACAGCCACATAAAAACATAGACTACAAATATTAAAATACCATTAAAAGATATATATAAATTTGGCCCCATAATTAAAAACAGTAACAAACCAATTAAAACATTTAAAAAGTGTTAGGCCAGCCCGGCTTGCTGGAAAAAGAAAGTTTTAAGGGCACGGCAGAGGGCACCGAGGTCTTGGATTCTCCTTATCTCTGGGGGCAGCTGATTCCAGAGGGTAGGTGCCCCCACAGAGAAGGCCCTCCCCCTGGGGCTCACCAGCCTACATTGTTTGGCTGATGGCACCCCGAGGAGGCCCTCTCTATGGGAGCGCACAGGTCGATGGGAGGCCGTCGGTAGCAGCAGGCGGTCTCGAAGATAACTAGGTCCTATGCCATGGAGTGCTTTAAAAGTGATAACCAACACCTTGAAGCTCACCCGGAAGACCACTGGAAGCCAGTGCAGCTCACGCAGGAGAGGTGTTATATGGGAGCGCCAGGTAGCTCCTGTGACTACCCGCGCGGCTGCATTCTGGACCAGTTGGAGCCTCCAGGTGCTCTTCAAGGGGAACCCCATGTAGAGAGCGTTGCAGTAGTCCAGGCGAGAGGTGACGAGGGCATGAATGACTGTGCACAGGGAATCCCGATCAAGAAAGGGCCGCAACTGGCGGATCAGGCGAACCTAACAAAAAGTCCCCCTGGCAATAACCGTCAGATGTTCCTCCAAGGACAGCTGCGTATCCAGGAGGACTCCCAGATTGCGAGCCCTCTCCGAAGGGGCCAAAGACTCACCCCCAATAGTCAGTGATGGAGTCAAATGACTATATCGGGATGCCGGGAACCACAGCCACTAAGTCTTGGAAGGGTTGAGCTTGAGCCTGTTTCTCCCCATCCAGATCCGCACAGCCTCCAGGCATCAGGACATCACTTCAAGGGCATCGTTGGGGTGGCCTGGGGTGGAGATCTACAGCTGGGTGACATCAGCGTACTGATGGTACTTCACCCCAAAGCCACGGATGATCTCACCCAGTGTTTTCGCATAAATGTTGAACAGAAGGGGCAAGAGGACCGACCCCTGAGGCACTCCACATATAAGAGGCCTCGAGGTCGATCTCTGCCCCCCCTGCCAACACGAACTGCGACCAGTCTGAGAGAAAGGAGGAGAACCACTGTAGCACAGTGTCCCCCATCCCCAACTCTTCCAAACAGTGCAGCATGATACCATGGTCGATGGTATCAAAAGCCGCTGAGAGGTCTAACAGGGCCAGAACAGAGGAGTAACTCCTGTCCCGAGCCCTCCAGAGATCATAGACAAACGCGACCAATGCCGTTTCCGTGCTGTGCCCAGGTCTGAGACCCGACTGGAACGGATCTAGATAAGACGTTTCCTCCAGGTACTGCGGAAACTGTCACACAACACACTCTTGACAACCTTCACCACGAAGCGAAGGTTGGAGACAGGACGATAGTTGGATAATACTGCCGGGTCCAGGCAGTATTAGCCAACGAAGCGTCACTATATACTCACTCAATGAGTGAGTACTTGTTGAGTACTCACTCAATGAAGCGTTAATAATTCCCTGGAGCCAGCCTCGTGTAACCTCCTGGGAAGCCAGTACTAACCAGGAGGGACACGGATCCAGTAAACATGTGGCCGCACTAAGTCTCCCCAGAATCCTGTCCACGTCATCAGGGGTCACAGAGTCAAACTCTTCCCAGATAACATTCTCAAGACTATTCCTCGCCACCCTGCCCGAATCTACCCAGTCAGAGTCCAAATCCCCCCGGATCTGAGCGATTTTGTCATACAGATATTGTCCGAAATCCTCGGACCTGCCTTCCAGGGGTCCTCCCGCGATCCCGGGTGGAGCAGGGAGCGGGTCACCCTGAACAGGGCGGCCGGACGATTCTCTGATGACGCAATAAGAGCGGAAAAGTAATTAAACTTTGCCGCCTTTATTGCCACTAGGTAGGTCTTAATATGCGACCTTACCAGTGTTCGGTCAGATTCAGCGAGACTGGCCCTCCAACCACTCTCCAGGCGTCTTTTCTGGCGCTTCATCTCCCTCAGCTCCTCGGTAAACCAGGGAGCTGCGAGGGATCGGCACCAGGTCAGAGGCCGCAAAGGCACGACTCGATCCAAGACCCACCAGCCGCCCGATCCCAGGCAGCCACCAGGTCTTCGGCCGAGTCATGTGCCAGATTCTCAGGAAATGGCCCAAGCTCCATCTGGAACCTATCAGGATCCATCAGGCGCCTGGGGCGGACCCATCTAATTGGCTCCGCCTCCCTGCGGCAGGGTGTCGCGGGGATTTTATTAAATCCATCTGAATACTTAGTGTGCTTGTAACTTTAAATCAACACTCTCACTCTAATTACCCTTTTGCTGTTAATTTGGAAAAAGAAAAAAGAAAACAATTACCGTATTTTTCAGACTATAAGATTCACCAGAGTCTATGACGCATCTTAGTTTTTGGGGAGGAAAATAAGAAAAAAGCTGATTGGAAGGTGAATGGCCTCCCAGAATACCCCCAGTCAGCTGTTCCCAGAGGTGAACTTTAGCAACAAGTTCTTGGTTGTGAGCTCTGCACTCTGCTTTTTTTTCAGCCTTTGAAACCTCCTTTTCAGAGGCTTTTTTCAGCCTAGGTGGGGCTACATTCAGTGTATAAGGCGCACCCAAATTTTCACCCTCTTTTAGGGGGAAAAAGGTGCATCTTATACTCCGAAAAATATGGTACATATGTACTTAAAGCATTTTTAGTAGTGGACTGAAGGAAAGTCACCCAGTGAAGTCCATAAAAGCTTGCCATTCCAGAGGTTCTCAATATTAAAAAGCAATAAAAAGTTAATTCCAAAGTGATTAAAAATGTGGATCAGCCAAACTTAAGTCCTTAATTACGATTATGAGCTTAGATGTAATCCCTTGACTCCCAGCGGTTCAACTGTAGTTTACTCATAAGGAGCAACTGTCCAAATTGTGTGCAGACTACCCCACAATCTCTCCTTTCTCCAAAGACATTTCATTGGTCCAGATTCTGCATCGAGCTGCGGATTTCAGCTGTAATGTAGTCTCCATTTTTTCAAGCACGTCTTCAATTCACCGTCTTCTGACCATAAAGAAGCAACTTCTAATCTTCTTTACAGCAGCTGCAGACAAGTTCCTTATCTGTCCTCCCTCTTTAAAGTTACAACATGGTTCTTTTCTTTCCATATTCAATCCTTTGATTGAATAGCAAATCTATACATGAGTTCATTATTTCCATTTTCAGCAAAAAGTCTATAAGTAGTTGCCAGTCTTTTATAAAATCACTTGCTATCTGTGACCAAACAGGTCAATTTTGCCATTTCTGTATTGTTAATCTATGTGTGATGATTCCATCTTTAATTTATCAGTAGCTGGGACAATTTTCTGTGTGCCTTCCACAATCTATAATCAGCCTTACGTTTGACAAAATTCCCACCTTTAACCAAATTCAATCCAACCGTTTTTATTGCACGATAGGGCATACTTCAGTCTTCTTTGATATTATGCTATCCAGATAGAGTAAGTTAGAAAACAACTAATTTTCAAGTAAGAACTTGCAGTGGGAAACTAAGGCCTTGCCTTTAGCTCATTGCATTTATTGCCTCAGTCTTTTTTTTCTAGCCTCCCCTCACCCAAGTGTCTCATTTCACTTACAATCTATAGCCCCATCTACTGCTTTAGATGCAAGCATAGCATGTATGTGAATAAGAAACATGAAGTATATCTGGCAGCAAGGGGAAGACTTTGTAGGAGAAAAGTATGCTCATTTTTCATTGTTTGGTGTGTTCTTCCATTTGTTTGCCCTTCCTTGAACACTATAGGAAACAATCAGGGAATTTTGGGGACAAGTCTCTCTCTTTCACTAAAATACCTCTCCACATTGGACCTCCCTGATTTCTTTCTTTACAGGTAGAAGGTGGGGAGGAGGAGGAGGAGGAGGAGGAGGAGGAGGAGGTGGCTGTAGAAGAAGGCAATGAAGGAGCAGGTAAGAAAGGGATTCTAGTACTCTGAGAATCATAAAGACTGTGGCCCCTATACAAGGGTGGGGATTTTTGTGGGTGAGCATTGCATTCTCTTATTGATAGTCTATTGGGAGCCATGTGGTAGGCAGGTTGAAGAAAGAAGTTGAAAGGGTCACGACTGAAGGCCCTGGAGATATTCACTCTCACTCTCTCCTCTTTCTTTCTGAAATCTTATTTTCTTTCTTCCAAGCAAAATAATTCAGGGGAAGAACAGATACCTCTTAACAGAGACTTGATCTGACCTTTTGCAATGGACTTTTGCAGTTAGACTTCAGCCAAATTGTTTCAACGGTTACATATGACTCTGGGACTGCGGGTTTTCTATTAAACCACAGGCATCAAACTTGCAGCGTCACGTTGCCGTCAGATGACATTTCGTGACTTTTTTCCCTTTGCGGAGCTTGGGTGGGCATGGCCTGTACATGACGCATCCAGCTCGCGGGCTGCCAGTTTGAAACCCCTGCACTAAACTGAAACAAAGAGCTATTTATGTTTTCCACAGAGGGACTTGAAAAAACCTTTAGCCAGGAGTGAAACTGAGTATAAAACTTGCAATTGGCCAGATTAGTAATTCTGCTGCTTCTCTTGTATGCCCTTTTCCACATAAAACAACTATCAAACAGACAGTGACACCCACTGTTTTTCAGTTTCTCTGGGCTCTTTAATCCTCACATGTGAAACAGCCACTAACTGCAAGGAAAAAAGGAAGAGAAATGATATAAGTTGATTATGGATTGAAATTCATGGACCTCCCTTTTTGCTGTTACTTGGCCAATTTTTTTATATAGCATTCTAGAATAATAAGAATTTGGAGAGACATGTAAGTTAGGAGGCACAGACAGACATCCATAATTGCTCCAACCTTGAACCATGTAATTGTTTCAGATGACACAGTTATAACACATTTTCACCCTTTACAAAACTTCACAGATGAAGAATGCTTCCTGTAACATTTCTTTTCTTCCACTAAGGGTCACTGCCTGACAGGCTGATGCTTTATTCCCCTTGTCTGTGCTTTTTTTTGTTTGTTTTGCATTTACATTAAAGAATAAAGATGTATCTTTCTTTTCTCTAAATGTGCAAATTTGCTACTAGAAATCTGGCAGAGGGATCTCAAACATGAAATGTAGATACTCACGATGTGTGTGTACCCATTAACTATGTTTTGGAAAGTCTATTTAGAGGTAAAGTTAAAGTAGTCTTTTATTTAGGATAAGTAAAAGCTGGAAGAGAGAAGCTGGCCCTAGTAAATACTAATAGTTGATGTTTTCATTGCTGATAACGTTTATTGTTTCTTTGGCCATTGACCATTCCAGGAGGAAATAATGCTTTTTAAGCAGTTGGATACAGGACTTGGATGCCTGACTAGGAGCATAGAGAAGTTATATCAAACTAGCTTTCAATCTATTCTTGATTGGGAACAAACTTTTCATAGTTTTGCTACAACTCTCCACCATTCTCTGTTGATATAGCTCTCCTGGCTTCGCATGTTGAGGCTTCATTAGTTTCACCTGCTCTGCTGATTCCAGGAAGGAGATTACATGGCAGGAGAATAAAAACAGGCCCCGTTAAGGTTGCAGGACCTTGGACAGCTCACACAGATAACTTACACTCTGGCTTGGTTCTATATCTCTGCTGTACTTTATGAAAAGCATAAGAGACAACTCTGTTCTGGAATCTCATCTTTGTTGCCTCTTACATCGTTCATTTTAAGTCCAATGCCTGCCTTAGAAAATGGGCTTTCTGGAAGGGCCAGCAACTATACAAAATATATAGATAAATAAGCTAAGATTCCTGTCTAGAGACTGCCATCTGCTTAACTGAAGGCTGCAGCTATTTTGGGAGATAGACTCAGCTGGTTTTAACTTCAATATTAGTAAGTTATGATATATCCAAAGATTTCTGTTCATTTCAAGGACTCTGCTCTTTCTTGCTGCTTGCTATAACTGCTTTTCTAGAATTTTAACACGAGTCGCTCCTTTCCAATCTCATATTTTGCATTAATTATTTGCATAACTCCTTGGATCTCTTCCTTGTTCAGATATTTAGCCTAACTGAACCATTCCCACCCATCCCCACCTGACTACTGCCATCCTTTTAATTGCTGCTTCCTCCGGTGTTGTACTTTAAACTATAAGCTCTTGGGGGGCAAAAATTTATCTATGCTACTCTAATGCACTGTGCACATGTCTATCATTATGTAATCAGTTATCCAAAACTGACGTCTCCTTTGCTTTAGGAGAGGAAGAGGTGGCAGATCAGCAGAGTTTGGCAGAGTCCCACCTAGACAAACTGGAAGACACTCCCAAGGAGAAAGTTGTACCAATTCCTGATGGAAGCGCCTTTTTTTGCCTTAGCCAGACAAACCCGTGAGTATATAAAGTGGAAAATAGGGGGGATATCTTTCGGGTCTACGGGAATGTGACTTCAGCCTATAAGAATTGTAGAGTGAGGTCCAAATTTCCCCTCTTCTAGTGTCAGAGCCTGTGGCATTAGGGCTGCAATTTGTCAGTTAGAAGATTCGGAAAAGGGAAAATAATCTTTGTCTAGTCAAAATCCAACTACTACTGTATTTGGGGCAGACAGAAGTCAAGTCAACAGCAGGTAGATTGGAGGAAGGGCCTGGATGGCTTTTCTAGTGACCAGTTGCTCAGGCTGAGGAACTGGTCTGAACCATCATTGATACAAAGTCAGCCAGATTCTTATTGCCTTCAAGTCTGGCTGGGCTGATGAATGGCAGTCCCCTTCATTTATGGTTTCCCAGGTTATTTTGTTGCACAGCCCAGTTTACTTCAATAGCTTCCCTGTTAGGGCAAGAAAAGGCACCAAGTCCTTTGCTTCTCATCTAGGTTCACATTTCCTGGCATTTGATATTTCATGAGATTGCTATACCATCAATGTATTTTAATGTATATCCCTCCAATGGCTTTGCTCTATGTTAGGGCTGCTTCTGTGGTTTACCATGCATATTCTGCCCTTATTTGAATAAATTCCATGTGTGTTCTATTATGATTTTTTTTTAGCCCCAGGGCATCACCTCCTGATTTTGGGAATTTGGATCTCAGATCAATTCTGCCTTATGTTATTAACTTACTGCCTTCCCTTCTTCCACTAGCCTTCGTGTTGGGTGCCACAAGCTGATCCACCATCACATCTTCACCAATCTCATCCTTGTCTTCATCATTCTTAGCAGCATCTCTTTGGCAGCTGAAGATCCCATCCGAGCCCACTCCTTCCGCAACAATGTAAGCTATGACCCATGTTGTCAAAGAACGGAAGAAAGGAGATGGAGGCAAAAAAGCCTTCTTTTCCTTCATCTGCACATTTGTCTCTCTTGCTCACTCTGCTCTTTGGCTTTTATATTTCAACTTTTTTTTTCTTTCCTTTTTTTCCCCTCCCATTACTCAGATTTTGGGCTACTTTGACTATGCCTTCACGTCTATCTTCACTGTTGAGATCTTGCTCAAGGTACTAAGACTAAGTAGAGTAAGGGCAAAGGGAGTAAAGAAAGGGGAACGGCTATTAACTCAGAAATGAAACATGCATCCTAGAGGCCACGATATCACTCATATAGCCTTGTGGATACTAAAACTATAGGGTAGGAAGCAGATGAGTGGGTTAAAGAAAACTACAAAATGAACTGCTAGAGACTAAAAATGTAAATGTAATTGGGATAGAGATCCAGAACTTCCAAGAATAAATGTCAATGTATGAGAACTCTCTGTTTCTGTACTAAGTATCCAAATGCTTATTTCTCTTGCTATTTAGCATGTGTTTATAAATAATTCTGGACTTAGAAGACTACAGTTATCTCAACATGTTTTCATTCTTAAGTCTGAGTTGCACTATTTGAGAACTTGAGAATACCCTCTAGTTTATAATTATAATAGATAACTCAGTATTAAAGTCAGTTTACCTCTAGGATAGAATGTATCTGGTGTGCCATGAGAAGTGGGTAGAAATATCATAAGAGATTAAATCTTTATTTAATGTCTGTTTAATATTGCATTTAGGTCACTATTCCTAGACTAAAGTACTGTCCTAAGCCTCTTATTTATCTACATATATTTTTTATCTTGCTCTATATTTGTTGCCCATGGAAAGAGCTAGGGTTTGTACAGGGCATAGAAGTCCATCTGATTCAGGAAGTCCTATTAAGGCATCCCTCTAGTTCTGAGAGTATATTGCTCATATTTTGTAAAGCATACTTCTGCCTAATCAGAAGTAATCTGTCTTCTTTAAAACATAATTGCAAATATACAACTGTTTTCTTAAAAACCTAATTGCAATATCCATGAAATTGCACCTATTTCTGTGTTCTCTATATATGGGTGTGATGTTGGTCTGTTCCAATACAGTGTTGGCATATACCATCTGTTCAGGGACAGAGAAACATACCAACCAGTACAGCTGTAGAACGAACGGAAATCCCTTTATGGACCTTGAGGGAGGGGAGAGATCTGTACTGCCGGTAGCCTCTTGCATATAGCTGACTTATTTTATGAAGCAGAGTCACTTATAGCAAAATAACCAGGCATTAATTTCCAAGTTACTTCATTCTCACAACACCTATGAGAGGAAGGGAGAGACACACAGCTGCTTTGACATCTTTGTCTACAGATGACTTCATATGGTGCCTTCCTGCACAAGGGCTCATTCTGCCGGAACTGGTTTAATCTCCTGGATCTGCTTGTTGTCAGTGTCTCACTCATCTCCTTTGGCATCCAGTAAGTTGGAAAGCAGGATATGCAAAGGATAAGTATGCTCCTTGACAAAGAACCAAACGGATTAAGAAGGAGCAAAATTAAGCTCTGGGCATCCTGTCTGAAAAGTGGGCCCAAATGGTTCGGTATGGCCTATTGGCTTTTACATCTGCTTTCCGGTTTCTGCCTCAGCTCCAGTGCCATCTCTGTGGTGAAGATCTTGCGGGTACTAAGGGTACTCCGTCCTCTCCGAGCCATCAACCGAGCCAAAGGGCTGAAGGTGAGGACTTACCTGAAGAATAGATCTTTAGCCATGTCCCCAATCTGATGCTTTCTAGATATGGCCATGCTAAGTTGGAAATGCAACCCAATGCATCTAGGAGGCACTGGGCTGGGGAAAGCTGTCCTAAAATCAGAACTGGATAGACCCATCCATTTCTTGCTTCATATATGGGTGCATGTAAGCTGTGAAGGGGTGGGCCCAGGGGTGAAATGCTCCTGGTTTGGACCGGCTCGGGCGAGTAGGTAGCGATGGCGGCGGGCAGTTCGGAGAACCAGTAGCAAAAATCCCTGCCCCCGCCCCCCCATGCCCAGCTGAGCCACGCGATCATCAGAGCTTTTTTTTTCTTTTAAATGGCTCTGATGAGCCAAGCTCTGACGATCCAAGTTCTGATGATCCCAGCTGAGTTGCCTGCAGATCAGGCAACTCAGCTGGGATTGTCAGAGCCTTTTGAAAGCATTTTTATATGGTTTTATATGTAAAAAATGGTTTTAAAAGTAAAAAAAAAAAAAATTGGCCACGCCCACCCAGTCACATTACCACCACCACCACCAAACCACGCCCACAGAACCGGTAGTAACAAATTTTAGATTTCACCCCTCGGTGGGCCCTCTCTCTGTCCGATTCCCTCTTGGTTTTTCAGATGACATAAGGGCTAAAAAGTATATTTTCAACTATGTCTTCCTCTCTCCGTGTGCCTCCTTTCCCAAACAGCACGTGGTACAATGTGTGTTTGTAGCAATCCGCACCATTGGAAATATCATGATTGTCACCACCTTGCTGCAGTTCATGTTTGCTTGCATTGGCGTTCAGTTATTCAAGGTAAGACATACAGTATTTAACATTTCAACGGGTGACTGAGGTGAAGTAAACATGGAAGACAGATATGTGTTCTTGGAATGATCAAGAATACACTGAGTGATGACCGAGCTCATGGAGCGTGTGTGGGTGGGCTTCTTTAGATTTTCCAAACACATCACCTTAGCAACAAATCCTATGCCTGATGGTAAAAAACAGCTTCTTGATTTATCTGCAGTTGCAAATGTCACCAAGAAAAACCTAAGACTCAAGTAAAATTAAAGGAAACACAATAACAAACGCCATAGCTTTAAGTTACACAGGTAATTTAAAGAGTTTTTGTAATACATTTCTCAGAACTCTTTAAGGCAGAGACCATTTAAGAACTTTCAAATGATCCCTCTGCCTCTGGAGGCTGAACAGCCATGTCAATGATAATTTAATTTGGATTTCTGCAGTAAACAGGAAAATAAATTGAATGACCTCAATGGTCCTTCCACTCCCACATTCTGTAATCCTATATGGAAGTTTGGGATCTGGCTTGAGCAGAGATTAGCAACATGCTGGGCCCAGTTGAGATGTGGAGGGCAGAAGAGGAAGAACTGAAAATAAGAAAGAGGAAGAAATCAACTGAGAAGTATAGAGATGAATGAAAAATAAAATGTAGAAAGAGTTATTAGTCTTATTGCTTGACATAGGACTGTTCCGCCTCTTAACTCAGGATTTTTAAACGTATGCTTATGCATGTTATTTTCTTGCCCCTAACAGCCACGGCTCAGTGACAATGAGTGGGATATGGACACAATGGGATAATAGCTTTCACAGTACAACTTCGTGGGTCTAAATTTAATGGAGAGAAAGAAGCCCTCCTCACACAGACCTGCCAATTTTCAGCAGCAGTCCTGTGTCAACAACAGGAACCTTAGGATAAACCTTTCTCGTCCCCTTTGTAGTTGCACATACCCTTCAGTGGCCTTTGATAAAACTTTATAAGGCCCCTGAGAGTGTACATCAATTGGTTCATTATGAGGTATCATTAAGCTGGTGATATACAGTTACACATTGCCATGCTGAATTAAATGGGAAATGTTAAGATCCTGACTCACTGCTGGAGATTTTGGTGAAATGAAGCCAGCAGAACTTCAATCAAAACAAAAAGAGGCCATCTGGCTATGTCTGCTGCAATAGTTGCTATTGTAGATGGAATAAAAGGAGCAGATCCATGAGCTGAGTGTTCTCCTAAGCTCATAGCTGCTACTTGATGACCAGATAAGAGCTGTGGCCAGAGGTGCCTTGGTCTAGCTTTATCTGATGAATCATTCATGGCCCTGGAACAGAAGGATCTGGCAATAGTAATTATGCCTCCTCTCCATCTATGGATACTATTATAAAGTGCATGACAAGGGGCTATCTTTGAAGATTACTCAGAAGCTGCAGCTAGTTCAAAATGCAGCAGCACCCATGCTGAAGGCTGAGAGCTATTATGGCAGAATTGCATCTGTATGTTGAATGCTGCATGCCATGGCCTATATGCCGGTAGGCTTCTGGGTACAGTGCAAAGCATAACTTCCTTCTCCAGGCAGAAACAACCAGTTTAGATTATTTGACCTGGATGGGAATGTTGCAGGTTCCTACATGAAGTAAGATTGGCGTGGCCCAGGGATAATGTTTCCTGGTTATGGTAACCAACCTAGGGAAAATCTTCCAGTAGAGATTACAGTAGTGATATTCTTAGTGTATTTTTAAAAAGCTGCAAAGTATTGTGCAGGTCTTTGCAAGTGAAAGTTGCTTTCTACTGGTGTTTTTGCCTGATGGTTGAAATTATATCCATAACTGATTTGATCCTTATTAAACATGTTTTTATCTCTATTGTTTCATGTGTTTTTTTACTATTGAAAATTGCTAGGATCTTGGGATTCTAGTGGTATATATGGTAGGTAGATAGTAGGTACGTAGATAGATAGATTGATTGAATGTATAAATCAGGATATTAAAATAATTTATTTATATTTCATCCTTCCTAACCGTCCATCTCCCTAAGATTCACAATATTATTGGGAATATTTACCAAAGACAATATGATATAGTCTAAAGAGTTGGTGATATATATATATAATGATAGTGGCACAAATGGAAATACATAAGGGATTCTATGAACTGGATGGGAGGCTCTCGCCTCAATACCTAGTCCATAGATTGAAAAGACCTCACAACTGCTCAAAATGAAGAACTTTAGTCTGAACTGTTTAAAGGCTGTTTCTATGTGAACTGATATATAAAGCATTTCCTCTGAATTTTTTATCCTTGTATCTTCAGGGCAAATTCTTTAGCTGCACAGATGAGGCCAAGCATACCCCAGTTGAGTGCAAGTAAGTATAAAATCTGCTTTAATAAGAGTACAAAAGTAGGAGACTGATAAAGAATTCCCTGTAGCATCGGTGTTGTAGCCTTGCACTGAAATAACTGGATAGAAAAAATGGATTTGATCCTGGTCCCTGCCATGTTCCCTTGGTTCATTTTAGGACCTTTGTGAAAACTGCTGATTCTAGCTTTCCAACTGTGCTACTGTTTACTACTAGTAGCAGAATGACAAAAACTCTATTCATGCTTATATTAATGATGGGCCCCCAGGTGTAGTTGTAGTGAGAACTGGAAGCTAAAATTTGGGATTAGTATGATTTAATTTTCAGATAATTACAGATTCTTTTTAGCTCTATTACATAAATACTTGTTTGTTTGTCTGACCTATACTTAAATTGCTTAAAAAAGTCATTTACAGTAATTTTAATGCAATGTAATGCAAATTCAGTAGATAAAAATAATCTACTATCCAGTTGATTTAAAACTACCATATTCCTTCTTCTGTCCATTTTCCATTCCTTCCCTTCCTCCCAAATCCAGAGGCACATTCATTGTGTACAAGGATGGGGATGTAGCTCACCCAATGGTGCGTGAGCGCATGTGGCTCAACAGCGACTTCAACTTTGACAATGTGCTGTCAGGCATGATGGCTCTCTTCACTGTCTCCACTTTTGAGGGATGGCCAGCGTGAGTTACTCTGTAGAGGTTGTGCTCAGAGTGTCTATTTGATGTTTGCCATTCCCAGATGTCTTAACATTTTTCACTTTAAGCAGCTGTTTAGATACCTCTTGCTTAGCTCAGAAGTATAGTAAGAAAATATATTCTGCTAGCCCCAAAATGAAGGGTACTGGTGTTTTTTCATCCTCTTTTCAGGAACAGAGATAGATGTATGGCTATAAAAATTGCAAAAAAGAATTCTCTTTCCTTCTCACTTTGCCTCTTGAATACTCTGCCACATTTCTATGGTTATAAAAAAGACTGTGTCCAAGGGAGTGGAAGAGCCCCATTGGGTTTCATGATGGTATTCCAAGCTTCAAAAAGCAGATAGAGATAGACAAAGTGTAGAGGATTCAAGAATTTAATTGAATCCTGACTAGTTTTTTTAATAAATCCAGTCTTTATTATTTTTATAAATAACTCTTTTCTGTGCTTTTTATAATGTTGCTTATCCCAGAGTGGGTATATATGTAACTATTTATTTATTTTCCTGACAACCTGAATCCAGAGGAAGTGGGTCATCAATGAGAAAACAGCAGTAAGAGTGATGTTATATTGTTCAAGCTGAAAATTAGGTTGCAGGATGAGACTTCAACAGAACTTGATGGAATTGCATTGGTTCCCTATATTTCTTGAACAGATATGCTGAATCAGATGGGGGGCATGTAATATAGAATATCTGAGCAATATCTTACATCCTGAACTTATTTGGAACCTTGGATTCAATCAATCCATCTTTATTTAATCATAGACCAGCAGATAACCTGAATTCTGTAATTATTGGTTTGAATCTTTTCTGAAGAGAGAAAATGCTCAAGTCTTTTGGGACTTTGAGTATGTTCTCATTGATTGCAGAACTCAGCCATCATGCTTTGTCCAGGCCATTCTTCAGATGATAACTAAAAATAATGATTTCTTCTGGGGTTCTAGCAATTTTGACAAGCCATGACCCCAATTTGGAGTGTTGTATTCACAGTAGTTGCTAAATGTTTCCACAAAGAATTACAAACAGGGCAGAATGTTTTCCCCTGAATCCCCAGTGTCCAATCCTCAGGAGTATTCTTATTGTGGCATTGATTGAAGATCTTCAAAAAGAACCCATTTCTTTTTCTCCTTTCCTACTATGCACCCTCTTATACTTTCTTTGCCACCATCTAACCTATGCTAGGCTCTTGTACAAAGCTATTGATGCCAATGCAGAAAACCAAGGACCAATATACAATTACCGGGTAGAGATCTCCATATTCTTCATTGTCTACATCATCATCATTGCTTTCTTCATGATGAATATCTTTGTGGGCTTTGTCATCATCACTTTCCGGGCCCAAGGAGAGCAGGAATACAAAAACTGTGAGCTGGACAAGAACCAGGTAGCATTCCAATACCCAACTCCATGTTTGCTTTTGAAATAACATTTCAGATTCCTTTTTTTTCCTTCTCCAAATAATGTTAGCTTAATTCACCTTTCCCCAACTTGATAATCTTCATGTTGTGTTGGGATTGCAACTGTAAGAAAGCCACATTGGCTGAGAATTCCGAATATACGTCCCATTTACCTACCTTTAATGGGGATCAAATTACTATTTTCCCCCTCAGTTTTGCCCTTTCTACTGAGAAGAATGAAATCATTCTCTCCCAGTTTTTCCACACTGAATAAAAGAATGCTTTTCATTTCTGAAGTATTATTTTATCTCTATTTATTAATTGTTTTTGTTCTGAGAACACTCCTTAATAAATACAGTCCATTATTCATCAAGTTTAGAATGCATTCTAATAATATACATTAGTACAAAAGTGTTATTACTGGGAAAAGGAGATGGAGTTTGAAAAGTCATGTATGTTTTATTATTTGTATTTATTTATTGAGGGAGAATATACAGCCATAGCAAATTGGAAAAAGTAGCAGATATGTGAGCCATTGTGGGTGTTTTTTATAAAAAATAGGCAGAATAAAGGAAAAAACACTATAGTTTAACTCTTGAGATTTTTGAAAGTAATAGATAATTATTTTTGCAAGAACTTTTTGGTATGAGGTCTTATCAGAGTTTTTTGTCTATGTTTCCCATGAATTGCTTATAACTAGATCACCTAGTAATAATTCAAATCCAAACAACATCTATCCAGCATTAACACCCCTCATAACAGAATAAAGAACAGGAAAGGTGCAGGAATGTTGGATTTGGGATTTTGTCAGTGGATATGCAGAAGGAAATGGCATCAGGAATTTCAGCACTCATGGAATATGACATATACCAGTCTCCTTCACATGTATTGGGGCTTTGGTTTACAAAATTAGAAAATGTTGCTCTATGTTGTGAATACTGTTGCAGATAGCAGCTTGTGGTGTTGCTGAAGAAATGTGCAAAAATGGGGGGGGAGAGTTCTCTCTTACCACTCAGCTGAATTGCTTTCTTTTTCTTTTCCCATAGCGGCAATGTGTGGAATATGCCTTGAAGGCTCAACCCTTACAACGTTATATTCCAAAGAACAAATATCAATACAAATTCTGGTATATGGTCAATTCCACTTGTTTTGAATACATCATGTTTGTACTGATCTTGCTGAACACTATTGCTTTGGCTGTACAGGTGAGAAGCATAATTTGTAGTGCCACAAATCAAAAGGCACTGCCCAGTTATTTTCTCTTTAAGGGGAAAAAATTAGAAATGGTGGGAATAGATAAGTGGGTTACAAATCCACCCTTATAAAATCTATGAGCAAGGCAGGTCAACCCATTGCTTACTGGAATGAATTCATATGTGAATTTTTAGAATAAAAATGGGATCCAGATGTGTGCAGAAAAATGCAGTCATGCTATCACTACTGTAATAAGATATGAATAGAAATACTTATTTTCAGTAAGGTGAATAGACAAACATCGTTCTAAAATAAATATGTAAAACTAATATTTGGGGCCTGAGTGGTGAATGTAATGAATTGGTAAACTCTGAGAAAATGCACTCCAGGCCATATGAAGAAAGTGGAGATGCTGGAGGTCCCACAGAAGTTGGGGATTCAGCTGCAGAGCAGCAAAATAAATGACAAAGATAAGGCTATGGGATAATCTGTGTAAACCTATATGTGTGTGACTTCAGAACAAGAAGGAAAACCCTAAAGAACCCAGGAAAGATGATACTTTTGAGTTCAGCATTCATTCTTATTGTAAAGATATTCTTAACAAATCCCACTTGAGTCACCAAGATTTGCAAAATTCTCCTGTATTATTCATGCCTTTTCTTTTCTTTTCTTTCAGCACTATGAACAATCAGAGCCTTTTAATAACGTGATGGATCTGCTCAATATGGTGTTCACAGGCCTCTTCACCGTTGAAATGTTTCTGAAGATTATTGCCTTCAAGCCCAAGGTTTGGGAGTTTTGCAAAAATTAAAAACATAGGACTGTTTCCCATAACTCCAGAACCCTTTGATCAACACCAAGTTATTACTATCAGGTGTTGAAGGATTTTCATTGAGAAATCTTCTGCATCATACAGTATATAACAATTTGTTTGTTGAGTGGAACTCCTCTTTCAAGTTTTTCAATAGAGCTACCTTTGGAGGACCTCCTAATTCCTGATGGTGCAGTGTGCAGTCCAAGAAAATGCTCACATTCTTTCTGGTATGCTCAGCTACGGTTGTAATGTGAGAAGGGAGGTGAGGTTATTTGCCAGACTTTCAGGTTCTGGTAAATATATGGCTTTGCCGATCTCTAGAGCCCTCTGCTTTTAAATCTTGCCTGTAAAAATGCCTTTATTTGGTATGTATCCTCTTCAGGAATTTAGGATATCCTTCTAGATCAGGGGTCTCCAACCTTAGCAACTTTAAGCTTGGCGGACTTCAACTCCCAGAATTCCCCAGCCAGAATTCTGGGAGTTGAAGTCCACCAGGCTTAAAGTTGCCAAGGTTGGAGACCCCTGTTCTAGATAGACATACATCTTTGCATTAAATTCTGAAGCATTTAATATTGCAGCACAGGAGCCTTTTCCCAACACATATTTTTTTATACTTTTAAGATCACACTTTCAAGCAGAATAGGTGGTGGTGGTGAAAAATGTGTGATTTTGGTTTTTAGGCCAACCTGTGCCAACAACTCAGGTTGGATTAATAATGCTGAATAAGATATTGTGCCTGTGCCTTCCTCAACCTCTCAGTCTTGAGTCCCCAAAGGACAAAATTGAACTGTCCAGGCTTGAATTTTGTTAAGATGATAAAGAGCTTCTGGAAAGGGAGGGTTGTGTTTCCTCGTTGCGTGCCCTTTCTGGTTACTCTGGGACATGAATAATAATCTGAAGCAGGAGCACTACACATCTGAAAAATCTTAAGAAAGCAGAGGCTCTGGCCAAGATTGGGCTTCGGTTATTTTGGTGTTATATAACCCAAACTCTACCTTGAATTTTGCCCAAGGGAAAGCAGGGGACCAACCATTCTAATAGGACAGGCCCATGCTGTTTTTGCTCAGTTAGATAAAATAGGTGTGGGTGGGTCAGTGGATGTAAATTAGTTCTGACTGCCTCTTTCTGGAGCTTTTCTCTGTTGTTCTCTTGCAGCACTACTTTGTTGACGCATGGAATACCTTTGATGCTCTGATTGTGGTTGGGAGTATCGTAGACATTGCTGTTACTGAAATCAACGTGAGTGATCCCCAATATGATACCTGTCCCATAGAAGCTATCTGAGCAGTGTTGGTTCATTTGCAGAACGGCTGTTGAAAGAGGCAGAATATGTCATACTGTATGCTTATTTTATTGATTGATTGAATTTTGATTCTGGATTATGTACACAGTTAAAAGATAAAGTGAACAATCAACATAGTTTAGCCATTAAAACAATGTAAAAACTGTAACAAAAAATAGAGAAGAACGCAGTCTAAACTTATAATGCCCATTTAACAGGCTCCACACTTCCATGGGATCCCCAGGCCTAATGGCAAAGCCAAGTTTAGAAGGCCATTCAGGAGATGAACGGTGTTGGGGCCAATCTTACTTCACGAGGAATGATGTTCTGAAGGGCGGGTGCCGTGGCAGAAAAGGCTCTCTCTCTAGGTCCCACCCAAGCTCCTTGACTGATGTACCTTGCCCCCACCCTCTGCCTGGCAGAGGTGAAGGCAACCTAATTGCCCATGCCACTGCATTCCCCACCAGCTGAAGCTTCCAGATACATTTCAAGAGCAGCCCCATGTAAAGTGCTTATTTACTGAAAGGACTATTACACCTGATATTTTTCCCCCCGACTATGTTATTCAAATATAGCTCCCTGCTATCACAAAGGCTAAGAATTTGTTTTTGTTATTTATTTGCTATATTATTGGTTAGATGGATAGCCTGCCTTTTCTCTAGGAGCTTACAAACTTTACATGGGTCCCCTTTCCTTTTATTCTCCAAACAATCAACAATTCTCTCTCAGTACACAATCCTGTGATCAGCAAGAGAGAATGACCGCCCAACATTAGCCATTAGGTTTTCATGAGCGAGGATAGATTTGAACCTAGAAATCACAAAACAAACAAAAATCAACTTTCTCCAAAGCTTTTATTCCATGTTTTGTTGTAGTTATTCTTTATGCAAAAAATGAATAAGTTTTGTGGATATATAATATGCTCCAAAGTTATTTTATTTTCCGAATTTCTTTGTCTTTTATTTACTCATCTCCGGATTCTATCTTCCTATTTCTTTTTTCCTCCATATATTGTCTGCATTGCTGCTTTCATGCACTAGATATTATGAGACACAAAATTGGCTTGATCTTATGTACCTCCACCATATCTTCAATCATGGTTGTGATTCCTTCTCTCTGAAAAGAAAGGAAGCTATAGTGTGAGAGTATTACCCCATGAATCAGAAAAGTTGAGCCATGTAATACAGAAGCAATGACAAAATCCACAGTGGGTCAAGGTGGTATTGTGGTTAGAGTGCCAAATTACAAGAAGGAAGGCATAGGTTCAAATCCCCATCGGTTCACAGGGTCATTCTTACTTGCCTTATTTCAAGGGTTGCTGTGAGGATATAAAGTAAGTAAGATCTTGCTCTAAGATCCTTGGAGGAAAGATGACAAAAATAAATAAATAATAAGAGATGTAGACTAGAACAGTGGTCCCCAAACTTGGCAGCCTGACGGTGGTGGTGAAGGGGAACCAGGCCACACAAGGGACAGGATGGCGCATGCACATGCAGCTGGACTTTGCGTGAGCGGCAGCCTGGCGTGTGCATGGGCACACAAGTGCACACTGGCCCACACTCATGCAAGTTAAGCTACATGCGTGCGCAGGCCAGCTCACCACTCATGCAGCCCGGTTCCGAATAGGCCATAACTTGGTAGTGGACCACGGCCTGTGGGTTGGGAACCCCTGGACTAAAAGGAATGAAACAGGCCAGTGATAAAGCATGAAGGTATAAATGTTGATGTGACAAGCCTCACTATCATAGGATTTGTAAATTACTGTATAAAATAAATGTCTTTAAATTCAGGCAGAGTTCAGTAGATGCTATGTATCGGTGTGTGTTGTAAATACGCATTTTGGGGGCAATACATATAAAATAAACAAATGAGTATATACATGGTAGAGCTGTTATTCCTAGCCACTGTATTTTATAACTTTGTGCCTCCCAGATGTGAAGCTCCCATTGCGATTGCACTGGCTGAGGATTCTGAATGGACCAAACTGAAGAAAAGTGGTGGAGGGCTTGGGAATGAATGCAAGATGTTGTTGGGCAAAGATAACCAAAAGAATAGTATGGGAGTATCATTTTGGACTTGCCAACCTTATATGCAATGGTATTATTTTTTTAGGTTGGTCTTGAATAATGGCAATTTGGCTCCACTGGCACCTTTGCCCCCACTTATAGTGAAGGATTTCCTTTCATCTTTCTTTTTTCTAGGACCAGCAGGCTTTGCTGTGGATGGAGGCAGAAAAAAGGAAAGTGGCACAGTTGCTTAGCAACTACACAGCTCTGTTTTGTTAATCCTGGACCAGAGAAATGTCTGGACTAGGAACAGAACAGGCAGCTGTGCAGGCAGAGAGAGTCATAGCTATACCCAATATATTGTGAGCTGCTCAGGCTTTCCTGGAGGTAGATGCTGGTGGCTGAGGGACTGGAGCTTACTTCTCACGTATTTGCAGATATACAAATATGTTTGTCTGACATATTTGCATGTGTTAACTATGATAACTAAATGGGAGCATCATGTACAATGGCAACGTCATACCTCTAAACTCTACTGTTTGGAGCAGAATACAGGAGAAGGCCATCACTGTCATGGCTGCTGCTCCCAGTTGAAAGCTGATTACAGGGCTAGATGAGGCTGTACAGATTCAGCAAGATGGTATGGTGGATTTAGTACCCTGCCCTGTGTCATATGTATGCATACGTTTCTATTATGGGGCTGCTTGTTCCAATCTAATCTCTTGCTGATCCCATTCCACTCGACTCCACAGAGCTCAGAGGACAGTTCCCGTATCTCTATCACCTTCTTCCGCCTTTTCCGTGTCATGCGCCTGGTCAAGCTCCTCAGCAAAGGTGAAGGTATCCGTACCCTCCTCTGGACTTTCATCAAATCTTTCCAGGTCAGAAGGGGAATGATGAGAAAGTAACCATTGCCTTAAATTTAAGACTTAAAATTGCTGCATACTTTGTTCTAGCAGGGTAGGAAGGAAAGAGCATACTTGGGAAATTTGCTAACAGGAGCATTAAACACTGTTTTTGCGGCAAACCAGGATGATGTGGCCCTGGCTGCAGATTTATTTCTCCAAATTCACTACTGTTTTTGTTTCCCCCATCCAGGCTTTGCCATATGTGGCCCTCCTCATTGCCATGATTTTCTTTATCTATGCAGTCATCGGCATGCAGGTGAGCAGATAATCTTCCTCGCTGCATTTTTTCTTGCAAATGAATCTTTGCACAAACCTGAGTGACTTGTAGGCGTTGTGTGGGGGGGGGGGGTAGGAGCTAGAACTCTGCACCTTTGTATGAGGTTCTGTATTATCAGAACTGAAAGATTTGATTCTTTCATTTGTGCAAGGCAACGATGTGCATGCAATAGATATTTGTACGTGTGTAGGTGTTCCAACCAGCCTAAGTACTACCTACGTTTCTATAGTGTGCGGATTAAATGCATAATTTCTCCAAGAAACATTTACTGCCATCTATGGTTGGAGCCAGAAAATTAGCTCTTGCTGTATTCTAGAAGCATCATCCAGCTGCACTTCTAGCAACATGGCAGAAGTATTGTTTTTATTCTCTGTTCTGATAAAGGAGACAGAATGCAAAGAAGGCTGAATTATGTGCACCTGGAAACATTTTGCATTAGAGTTTTTATTTGTTGTATCTTGTCACAACCCTGAAATTGGATTCCTTGTCTTTCAGACCTTTGGCAAAATAGCTATGCAAGATAGTACAGCCATCAATCGCAACAATAATTTCCAGACCTTTCCACAAGCTGTGTTGCTGCTTTTCAGGTATCTCTCTTCCTCTCCTTCTCATGCTCCTCCTTAATTTGGGAAAAGATAAGCAAATGGCTTCTTTCTTTATCCCTTGTTTCCAAAGGGCTGACAGAATCTGGGCCGATTCCCAAACTAAATTCTAATTCACAAATTATGGCTACACAGAATCATAGGATAGGATAGGACAGGACAGGACAGGACAGGACAGGACAGGACAGGACAGGACAGACAGAGTTGGAAGGGACCTTGGAGGTCTTCTAGTCCAACCCCCTGCTTAGACAGGAAACCCTATACCATTTCAGACAAATGGTTATCCAATCTCTTCTTTAAAATTTCCAGTGCTGGGTTTTTTTAATTAGGAATCTTTAACAAATCATACCCTAAAGATATTAAATATCTCACAATTCACATATTAACTGCTGCAAGAATAATTTACGCAAAAAATTGGAAGCAAGAAAGAACACCAAATGAAACAGAAGTAATAGAAAAAATCTTAGAATGTGCTGAAATGGATAGGTTAACCAAAGAAATACAAGAAAGAGAAGAATCACAATATTATAAAATATGGAATAATTGGTATAATTGGTTAAAAATGAGAAATAAATAAAAAATATAAGGGGAAATATTACCGATTTAAATATATAAAAAAAATGTTATTAGATTAAGGAGAGATGAAGGAATATATTATAAGTAGAATTGTAGAATGTCACTTTGAAAAAATGCTTAAGAAGAAATCATAATCCTTTTGTGTATATGTTGTATAAATGTTTGTTGTGTATATGTTATGTTATGTCTTTTTTAATATTTATACTCAATAAAAATTATTTAAAAAAAAATAAAATAAAATTTCCAGTGTTGGAGCATTCACAACTTTTGGAAACAAGTTGTTCCACTGATTAATTGTTCTAACTGTCAGAAGAACTCCCAGCTGAGCGTTTAGTCCAATTCAGATTTATAATAAATCAGAATTAAAAGCAAGATTTTGGAATTTGGAAGAAGAGATAGATAACATTTATCAAAGCATTACTTTGTCCCAACAGACTAGCTATTCCCCCTTTAATACCACTAAAATAAGAACTGTGTGAGGAGTACAAGTTGAATAGGCACCAAAGGAACTTTTCAAATATACATATAAACAGTGGGAATGTAGTTGTGCTCCTTTTTCTATAATGGTGATTCAGAGGGTGCAATCAGTGAGTTTACCAAAACATGCAGTGCTTCTAAGCATCACAGATGATTTCTAGCAAGTCTGTTGTATTACATATGTTGTATCTGTTTTCCTGTCTTTCCTCCTAAAATGTAATAAAAAAGATTCAATCAATATTAGCTTGATTGCTCAAGATGGGCACGTATATTGTCATGGAATGGAAGAGCTTGCTATACCCTCCCAGGCTAACTTCCAGCCCTCAGATTTCCTACTTGTCTCCTATCTTAGATCTAATGGCATTTGACTCTGTTTAGTCTTTTTTCCCCCCAGCTTTGCACTTTCATCAGGTGCACCTCCTAAATCATCCCCCAAACAAATTTAAAGAGGGCTGTTTTTGTCCGTACTTTCTTACATTCTCTCTGTTCTGGCAGGATACATTCAGCCTGTTTTTTCCCATCTTGTCCTTCCAGGTGTGCCACAGGGGAAGCCTGGCAGGAGATCATGCTGGCCAGCTTGCCTGGCAAGCGCTGTGACCCTGAGTCTGATTTTGAACCTGGGGAGGAATTCACTTGTGGTAGCAACTTTGCTATTGTCTATTTCATCAGCTTCTTCATGCTGTGTGCCTTCTTGGTAAATTCCTGACATAAAGTACCCTCTGCTCTTCCCATTTAGCAGCTGGATTCTAGATCTATCAACCCAGTCCCTCTTCTGCAGAGCCAAGATCCATCTCATTATAACTATCAAACTAAAACATTGGTTCCCACCATGCATGTCAGTTTTGATGCACCGATTGTGCTGCCTGAAAATAGACCTAACTCAGAGAACATATGTGTCATCTTTGAAGTTGTTTCTGCAATTGGAAGCAAATGAACAGCTGGGAGCTGGAGTGGGTGCCGCTTAGCTATCTCCATTCCTGCAGTTTATCTCTTTAAAATTGCTCTCCCCCCTCTGGCTGCTGTTTCATCTCTGTTGCACAGAGAGGATCCTGTAATGTGCTTCTCCTGTTTCTCTGCTTAGTCAATAACAGTAGGAGCAACAGCACTGTTTCAGCCTCAGATGATGCTCTTGCATTGTTACTAATGATAACCAATGATCTGTGTGTGGCTTATCCCATTTCCTTTCCCCATTGGGCCAGGTTTACTTGCTAAAATGAGGAGAATTGATGCTCATGAACATTCCCTGACAAAAAGGCATCCTCCTATCCCAAATATGGGGCATACTATCCTTGTTGAAAAGAAAGGGCATTGTGGGCAAGCAGTTTTCTCTAACTAAATGTTTTTCAGTCAAATGTGTAAAATAGCTCCCCTCATCCCCAGCCAAAGGGGAGACAAATTACAGTCCAGAATACTGAGAGACATCCTACTGATGACAGCTATTCCAAGGCACACTTTCTGTTGTTATTGAATATGTTCCAAGCCCAAATCAAAGCAATGACCCTTAGAAAGAGCTGCTGACTCTCACTAAGGTCCTCTGGCATCGATTCCTTTCCTCCAACTTGAGTACAGTTTGATGAACACTTGCTGAGCCCGACAGGACTTATTTCTAAATAACCTTCACAGGATCAAGCTGCTTGCTTCTGATTTTTTGCTCTCACTGTCTCCCCTATTAGATCATTAACCTCTTTGTTGCTGTCATCATGGACAATTTTGACTATCTCACTCGGGACTGGTCCATTCTGGGTCCCCACCACCTCGATGAGTTCAAGAGGATCTGGTCGGAATATGATCCAGCTGCCAAGTATGAAACTTAACTCCATTTATTGAAATAGTTTCAGCAAGTGCTTTTGGAAATAGTAGCAATATCTTCCAGAATTTACATCACAGACAATAAGGAGAAATCTTTAACTTCTCTTAAGCTGCACAATTTCTAGTGTTCTACTGTTACCAGAGACAATAGAAGAATATTACTTTCTTTCGATAGTTTTGATGCATACCACAAAAGGCATTGTAGATTATATACTGAGTTAATATTTTGAAAGTGAAATATAAGTGATAGTCCTGCCTGAGGAGCTGGTACTATCGTTTCTACATCATGAGTTTATAGCAATAGCACTTAGACTTATATTCCATTTCACAATGCTTTTACAGCCCTCTCTAAGCGGTTTACAGAGTCAGCATATTGCCCCCAACAATCTGGGTCCTCATTTTACCCATCTCAGAAGGATGGAAGGCTGAGTCAACCTTGAGCCTGGTGGGATTTGAACTGTCAAACTGCAGGCAGCCAGCAATCAGCAGAAGTAGCCTGCAGTACTGCACTCTTAACTGCTGCGCCACCATCATTGATGATTTTACTATTTGAGGGTCTTTCCTCAGTGCTGAATTAGACGACTCTCCATCCATCTGGAATTGGCACAGGCCTATAATTGTGACATTGAATATCCCAGTTGCTGACTCTCTCCTGCCTATATTTGTTTCAAGACAGTCAATTTCTCTTCAGGATGCTGAGTGACAAAACCTGGTGATTTTATACACCTTGAGGATTGTCTTTGGATGGTTTCTAACTAAGGAGAGAAATATCACTTAACAGCTGAGGATGATTAAGTCTGTTTCCCTCATGGATTTCAGATAAAATAATACAGTAGCAACAACATTGGGACAAAGCAAAGTGTATTTTCCTAGTAGCAACATTGTCCATTTCCTACATCTTTCTGATTTAAAATGTTCTTTGAAATGTGTTTCGTAGCATTATTACTTTCTATGCTGCTATTTGATAAACATTTGAATTAATAGGCCTCTGGTTTAAATCTATGCTTTTTAAATTCTGTTCCTTTATAATGATTGGGTATTTGTGTGCTTAATACATGTGAAATGTAATTTATGTTCATGCAGATTAATTTAGAGTATCTGCAGCCTATAATGATAGATGACAGGTGTGTTTCACATTTTCCCATTCACCATGGGAACTGGAGGTGATGAGAATAGTCCATCAAAACTAAAGGAGATCAGGTAGAGGAAGGCTTAATTAAATAAAGGTTGCTCTTCCAGAGGTTACATCAAGCATCTGGATGTGGTGACCCTATTGCGCCGGATACAGCCACCTCTGGGTTTTGGGAAGCTCTGTCCCCACCGAGTAGCCTGCAAAGTAAGTCAACAAAATCGGATTCATCTGGACTATAGTGACCACTAACACGGAGGAGATTACAGGGATTCTTGATTTAATTTGCCTGTCTTTTAGAGGCTGGTGGCCATGAACATGCCATTGAACTCAGATGGAACTGTCACTTTCAATGCCACTCTCTTTGCTCTGGTGCGTACATCACTAAAGATCAAGACAGAAGGTAAAGCGCTAATTTAATGCAGAGAAATATTTTGTACATGAAGAGAGTTCCTGTTTTCAGGCTTCTAGTTAAGCTTCCACAAACCTTTTCCCTGTTCTCAAAAGCTCCTCCTATGTCCCACCTACCCTAATCCCACAGACTCCTCCCTTCTCTCCACTTTTTTCTCCTGCTTTTGTTTTGCTGGAGTAGTGGAAAACAAATTAGATGAATCTGTGATACCATAAAATAATGCAGCTGTTTTAGAATCATATGTTCTAAGACTGTCCTAATATGCTGTTGTCAAGAACCAACCTTCCTGTTTTACTAAAACAGACGATAATGACAGTGATGCTTTCCCCAGGCTTCGTGCCTGCCATTTAAATTGGTTTTCTCCAGATGTGTTGGACTACATCGGGAATACAGCTGTAGTTATAAGGCTGGGAAGACGTCTATAGATCACATATCTAAACCAGAAATATTTTTCTTCCCCATTTTCTTTTCTTTCCTAATTCATTTCACCTCCATCTGACTATATTCCAACTATTTGTTTTTCTTAGTTCCAAATAATTCCAAAACTTGGGATAGTTTTGGATAACTTAGTAGAGGAATCAGGAATAAAATCTCATTCTCCTCTTCTCTTATAGGAGACCTGGATATGGCCAATAGGGAACTCCGTGCTGTCATCAAAAAGATCTGGAAACGGACTAAGCCCAAATTACTGGATGAGGTGTTACCTGTTGCAGAAGGTCAGTATTCCTTTGTCCTTTCTGTTAAATCAATCTCTTATCAAGTCTCCAGAAAGTCAAGAGAGGAGGGAAGATTAAACATTATGTTAGTTTAATGGGCCACTTAAATATTCACAGAAGTTGAACAGCTGTTAAGACTTGTTTGGTGCTGCACCAGTTCAGATTCTGCAGGTGTAACAAAAATATTTTTTTCCTGATAACTGTTCTTGATGCAAAATGGAAGTCATCCTTGAAAACAACAAAATGCACTCAGCACTACAAGAACACTGGTGCTATTCTCTTGTAGCTAAAAAAAAAAAGCCAAACATTTCTGTAACATCACCTCAAGGTTTTTAGGGGAACATGAATGCTCTGAACTTAGCCACAGGTTCCTAAACGCTTGCATCTTCCATTGGCAGGGGAGGAGATAACCGTAGGAAAATTCTATGCCACATTCCTGATCCAAGATTATTTCCGTAAATTCCGTAAGCGGAAAGAAAAGGGACTGCTTGGACCAGATGGGTCCCCAAGCAACTCCTCCGCCTTGCAGGTAACTCTACCCCTTTTTAAGATGAATACCTTAAATCAGGGGTCTCCAACCTTGGCAACTTTAAGGCTTGTGGACTTCAACTCCCAGAATTCCTCAGCCATCTTTGCCAAGGTTGGAGACCCCTGACTTAAATGGTCAGATGAAGAGACCCTGAAACACAGATAGCTGATCTTTTTGTTTTGGGACCTCTCCCCATTAAGGCTGGACTGAGCTACTTACAAGATCTAGGGCCTGAGATCCGCAGAGCAATATCTTGTGACCTGGAAAGAAAAGAGGAGGAGGAGGAAGAAGAAGAAGTTGAGGAGAAAATCATTGAGGAAGAGACAGCCATTTACAAGGTAAAGCCTTGGTTCCAGTTGGATTTAAGGAAACAAATTTGTAGTTGTGAAAAGGTTACATGGTTGAAAACACTTTATTGATTTTTCTTCAAAGAAAAAAAATAGATTAGGAAGAATGCTGGGTTGGAACCCTTTCGGACACATTTGGTTTTTTAAAATTTATTTACAGGAGATATGTATTTTTGCATGAAGGAATTTTCACTCATGTGAACCCACTCATGTGTGCTCTGTTCTCTGAAGTGAGAAAACATTTTTTGCCAGTTTAATAAGAGTGAGATCTCCATTGTGTGGATGACTCTTATCTGTTGATCTAGAACAAGGCTACTGTTTATTGGAACCTTCTTTGGAGTAGAGTACAGTTAGCTTCATATTCATAGTAAAACCTGTGTTTTGCTATGTTTGACATAGTGGCTGAAGGTCCTGGGAAATCATGAGTTCTAGTTCTTCCTTAGACATGAAAACTGGCTGGGTGACCCTGAGACTGGCAGTCTCTCTCAACTCAATCCATGTTACAGAGTTTATTATTGTAAAAAAAATAGTATTTCTACAAAAAGAAAAGGCAGGATATAAATCTAATAAATAATAAAATATTCCATTTGGGAAAGAATTTTGTTGGAACTGGGGTTTTAAAAAATGCTTAATTTTCTTCTCTGGTTGGAGTAGTCCAATTTTTTCTTTAACCCTACATTTGTTTTAGCACAGCTTCCCATGGTGCACTTCTAATGTGCGGACTACAAGTTCTGATAAGCTGAGAATTATAGCCAAGTGTACCTCAAAACCCACTCAAGAGCATGGGATCCCTGGAGCGTTAACAGAGAGCTTAACTCCAAGCATTAGTTGCTCATTGATTTTCCTTTGGCTGTGATTTGGTTCGATATTGTTATTTAAGTTAAGACAGAGTTTCAACATGGAATTAAAATGAATAGATTTTAAAAGATGAATGATTTTGAAAGTCAAATCCTAGTGCACCTCAAGCTAATTGCAAACAAGATAATTCAGCTAGCCAGTTCTGTTTTTCCACACCTACTCTTCTGTGCTGAAATTGGAAAAGGTTGCTACTAGGTTTCTAGGAGAGCAGATGCATGTACAATATGGTGTTATGAACTGCAGAAGAGAAAAGAATTTGAGATATTTGGAGAAAGGGAATAAGAATTCTGTCTGCAGATTTATAATGTGTTTCTAGCTTGACAGGGCTAGAAAGTCAGAGACTACTGTTCTTATTTTGCATGAAGCCTCTAAAAGAATTTGGAGAGCATTTTTTGAAAAAAATTCCTTTGAAGATTTCTTGCCTAGTTCCCCTCCTACACAAACCAGGAGCCAATTTCTATCATGTGGCATATTAATGGCTGATTTCTAAAAAAGAATTATGGCTCAAATTGCTCCCTTAAGTCTAAAAGCTCTCTTTTTCTAGCAGGTTTGGAGCAGGGGTGAAATCCAGCAGGTTCTGACAGGTTCTGGAGAACCGGTAGCGGAAATTTTGAGCAGTTCGGAGAAACTGGTAGTGGAAACTTTGAGTAGTTCGGAGAACTGGCAAATACCACCTCTGGCTGGCTCCAGAGTGGGGTGGGAATGGAGATTTTGCAATATCCTTCCCCTGGAGTGGGGTGGGAATGGAGATTTTGCAGTATCCTTCCCCTGCCATGCCCACCAAGCCACACCATGCCCACCAAGCCATGCCCACAGAACTGGTAGTAAAAAAATTTGGATTTCACCACTGGTTTGGAACTAAAGAATATACAGCAATTAATTTTCTGTGAGTGAGCAAAGTTTACATTTACTTCAGTTTATTCCAAGGGTGTCCACAGGGGGGGTTAAAAAAGTCAAAATGATGGGCACAACCATGCATATAAAAAGTACTTGATTGTATGATTGTGGCTGCCATCTATATTTTTTGAGCCCCTCCCTGTGGACACCCATTATTCATTCTCTCTTTCATGATTGCATTGTTTCATATTTAGTTTATGAGTGCTGAGCTTGGGCATTACAATTTCTTCTCCAACTTCAAACTCTAGAATATTGGATTATCATCAAACTGAAGTTTGATTGTTGAAAGAGACTGCATGGACTTTTAAACAGTCCCTCTGCAATTTGCATTAGAACTGAACTAGCCCCAAGAGGGTCCATGCTCTTAAAAATCTCCCAAGGTAGAGAACCCTCAACCCCATAAGGAGACAGTTCCACTGTTGTACAGATCCTACCATTTAGAAGTTTTTGCTTGTATCTAAAAAAGAAATCTAGGTTGGTGCGACTTGTAGCCATTATTTTTGTTTCTACTTTCTGTGGACATTAACAAGTTCCCTATGGTACCTTTTAACATCTTGAATCAGTATCAAATCTCCTGTTAATCTTTTCTCCAAACTGAGCATCCCAAATTTCTTTAATCTGTTATTTTAGACATATCCTCAAGTTCCTATATCATCTTTGTTGCTACACAGTACTCTGGTTTGGAGTAGAAGAATATGGGTATTTGATGTACCTTTTGTGCAGTGCTTTGTTTGATGAAGCCCATAACTATGTTAGCTCTTTTAGCAGCCGTCTCGCACTGCTGGTTCATGTTCAGCTTGTTCTCAGTGACTGAGCCCCTTTCCTTCTATGATGTTGCTGCAAAGTCACAAATCTTGCAAAGCCACAAATCTCCCTAAATGTTATCCATTGCAAATTCTCCCTTTTGGAGGTCATCTTGTTCCTCTCAGTTCAGACTTCTAACCTGTGCAATCTCATCCGGTATTTTTGAGTATAGAGACCAAACCTTCCATTTCTGCATCATCCACCTATTATCCAGGTCATTAATAAAGATATTGTATAACACTGTCCCCAAGACAGATCCTTGTGGGATCCCATGGGTTACTGCTTTCCAATTTCCAGATCAGGTTTTCATGTCATTTCATGCTCATTGTTTTGAGTATAGTTAACCGGCTATTTCCTGGACCACCATCCTACTGTGTCATCTAAACAACCCTTTAATGCAGTGGTTCTCAACCTTCCTAATGCCCCGACCCTTTAATACAGTTCCTCATGTTGTGGTGACCCCCAACCATAAAATTGTTCCTAAGACCATTGAAAATATGTATTTTCCGATGGTCTTAGGCGACCCCTGTGAAAGGGTCATTCAACCCCCAAAGGGGTCCCGAGCCACAGGTTGAGAACCACTGCTTTAATGGTTTATCAGTGAAAACATTGTGTGGAGCCTTGTCAAAAACTTTGCTGAAAGATGGGTAGCTCAGATCCTCAGCATTGTCTTTATCCACGTTACCTTGCCAAGAAATGCAATATTTGTTTCTCAGGACCTATTTTTGACATATACTTATTAACTTTTAGCAATCATAGCACTGTCTTCAAGACACTTTCAAGTGGCCTGATTCCTACACTTCTCATTTGAAGCATTGTAAATGGTCCTTGCTTGTTAGGTGTTCCTTTCATTTCCAATAAACATTTTTTTATTATCAGTTCCTTCTTGATTTCTGTAGTCTACTACATTGGCTTCTTTAGATGTTTCTGAGTTTTCTTCCTTACTAGTGTTGTTGGAGGCTATGTAATCCTTAATTTCCTTTTCAAAAAGTCGCAGCCACCTACATTTTTGCTTTTAAGGTTTTATTTCTATAGTGCTTTTCTTACTTCATTAAAATTTGCCTTTCTACTATCCATGGTTGGAGTTTGTTTTTTATGAAACTTTTTTTATTAAAATCAGGAACTAGGAATGCAAGTTCCTACCACTTTAATATCCTTAATCATCTCATCCTGGTTAGTAAGTATCAAATCCCAGACAGCAGATCCCTTAATGCCTACCTCAATCATTTTAAAAAAGAAATTATCACTAAGGATGAGTAAAGAATATATGTGACATCTTATGTTTGGTAGAATTTATCTTCCAATACATATCTAGTAGTTGAAACCTCCCTTCAAAAATACATCAAGGGGTATTGGGACTTCAGTGAATCTTTTTCCTCTTCTGATTAGTTTGATGATTTATTGTAGCAAGTTATTGCTTATATTAGCTTGCCCTGCTATATTAACCCAGATGCTTTCAACACTTGTATTACCATCAGTCCATTAGACCAACTATAGGGAAATTCATTCCTTTTACACAGCACTATCCAGCGTTCTCTCTGATGTTGACTGTTCCTCTGAAGCAAGCTGTACCTCTCAAGCCATCCCACTGTGTTTCTGTAATCACTGTTTTATTATGCTTACCTTTCTGTCTCATGACGTCTGATTGACATTGCTTCTTACTCATCCTTTATGTATTAATGCGGAGACATTTAAGATAATTGGTTAGATTCCCTGTTTTGACCTCCATGCATTTCTTTTCTTCTTCTTTAACTGGTAATTACCAAAAAAAGTCCTTTTTCTTAAAGAACGTTTGCTTTCATTGGGAAGCATTGATTGGGGATACCAGCTGGGCTCCATGGTTTTTTCCTCTTCTCCCCAAAGCCATGAAATAAACCTTCATATGCTGGAGGGGTCATGCATGCCTTACAATGTCATTTGTGTCCAGCTGGATGAGTAGGAAGACCTGTGATCAGCCGTTCTGAAAAGTCTTATCGGTTTTTTAGTCACATCTCAGATCTGGGCACCCGAAGAGCAACACATAAATGGGTTCTCTTACGTTTTCTCTTGTTGGGTCACTATCTTTCATCTAAGGATTGTTAACAGTACAAGGAAAATACAGGAAAACCTGAAGTGCAACTGCTAAATCCATGAAGAAATACACTGCCTTCCAGAATTATATTCATGAAAAAAAAAAATCTAAACGAATGTAAGGTTATGGAAGATAGCACTTCCATCAACGATGCTGCTTGCTCAGAATAGTTTAAACAGAGCAGATGATGCTGGGAGTGGTCATAAGGGCATGGGCGAAACATACAACTACTTGTAAACTGAAATATGTCATTAATCACAATTCTTTATAAGTGTAAATAAATGTTTTTCCTGAAGGCCTGGGTTTCCCAGTGCTGTAACTGATATTGATTTTACTTTGGAAATCGTTGGGAAATCAATTTGGTCTGATTACAAAAAGGATAATTAGGACTGCTATTTTGGGAATTATATATATACAGTCTAAAGAAAATGGGGGGACACTAGAGCAAAGAGCACCAAAGCCTAGAAAGCTGCAGGTATGCAAATTTGACAAAAAAAAAAAGAAGCTCTGAATGTAAGACTGAGGTTGGCACGTAGATTTGAAAGAACAGGCTTGGTTTAAAATATCTAGCTAGATCACATAAGCTATCCAGGAACAGCAATGAACAACAGGAGCCTGGTGGCTCAGCAGACTTATAGCATTGTGATTAACACCAGCTGTCTGCAATTACTGTAAGTTCGAATCTCATCAGGCTCAAGATTGACTCAGCCTTCCATCCTTTCTAAGGTAGGTAAATTGAGGACCCAGTTTGTGGGGGCAATAAGCTGACTTTGTATAAATATACAAAAGAATGAAGGCTATTGCTTAGCGCATTGTAAGCCGCCCTGAGTCTCCGGAGAAGGGCGGCATATAAATCAAATTTAAAAAAAAAACAAAACAGGAAAATTATTGATTTCCAAGACTTCCTTCCTTCCTTCCTTCTTACAGAGTTCTGAGTTATATAGTGAAGCCCCTGAGCACCATGCCGCAGTTGCTGAGACTCCAACAGAACAAGAAGACAAGACTATGGCCTCTCAGCACCTCTCTAAGACCAGCTCCTCCCATGTGTTAAATGGGCTGAAGCCCTATGAAGAGAACATTAGTGGCAGTGATGAGCCTGCTGACTTGCCTGTTGTTTCCATTCAACGCAGGATAAACAGGTGCTGAAGGGTTGAATGGGCTTTTGGACAGGGGAGGAAAGAAGGTAGTTGTAAATTCAGTGGGGCATGGTAAATTATGGGAGGGTATGTAATTCCTCACAACCATATATTTCATCCAGGCAACGTTCCAGTTTCCCACCAACAGTAGAAGAAGTAGTTAACCACACTGATGTTTGTGTAGAGGACACCTCAGCTGAGCAGGGAAACTATAGCCGGGAGGAAGACTCTGAAAACCTGCCGCCTCATAACAAGTATGTGTTAGGGACTGAAGCATAGTAGTGCAGTATAGAACCACAATATTGGCTCTTTTTTGCAAGTAATGACAAGGGAACTAGATTTGCTTCTTGGTACTCAACTTCCATATTTTTTTTAATTAACTATCCAGTAGATAAATAATATCTCTTCCAATGCCATGTCCACACTCTATCATGATCCCTCTGGATATTTTCACCAGAAGAGGACGAAAGGACAGATGAGCAGAACATTCTGAGGATGTCCTCTCACCTGAAGCATCGAGTAGGGGCAAAACTACGCCTTCTAATTCTTCAGAACCTATGTCTGACTCATAATCCCCAAACTCCTAAAAACAATTTTGTGAAGCAGAGGGGCAATGCAATGTACAAGGTTTGCAAGATCAGCCACCGTGTCTGTAAAGTTGTACTCAGGAGCCAGGTATATCTCCCTTAAGAGCTAATAAATGTGATCTGAATATGGGAGAAGTACTCCAATGCTTCTGCATGAAAGCCTTTAATAGAACAAATACTGGGAGCTATGTTTATCATCTGTGTATCCCAAATCTTATTTTATTTGCTCAGCTAGACTGAACTACTCACCTTACCTGCTTTTCTGAATAGCATGCTTTGGCCCTCCTATTTTTGTACCTGGACTGTGCTTGGATAAAGTCCAAGCTGCTTTCTCTTCACGGTCAAAACATCATAATCCCTGACTTTAGTTTACCAGACTGTGTCCTTTATCCAGGAGAGTTTGTTTCTGGCCACTGCAGATGGAGGGCTTTTTTTTGAGGGATCACATATATATTGCAGTTGGCTCTTAGCTATTGCAGTTTATGCTTTGCAGGCTTAACCCAACTACCTTGGAACTGAGCAGGTGAGTTTGCACTCTGACAAAAATGCCCAGAGAAACATCCATGGTGATCTTTCACACATTCAATTAAATTCGCTCCTAATTATTGGGAATAATGCACATAATGGGTTGAACTTTGTGGTTGCATTTCTCATGCAGGCAGCCTCATCTGCACAACCCTCAGTCCCACCAGCATCACTGGCAGAGTGGCTACGCGGGCTCTCTGCCTCTGCTCTCCCATCCGGTCAACAGCAGACTCGGCAAAGGAGTACTGGACGGCAGGCAGATCAAGCGCCGGCGCCTCTTGCCTGCCACTCCCGCAGGTCAGGATGATGGGGATTTGGTCTTAGGTGGAGAGTAGCTGGAAGAGAGATGGAAGAAACTATGCAAACCTGTCTTAGTTGCAGGAATATTTATCTTATCACACCACAGAAAGCTATCTACAGTATCTACAAATGAAGCAACAATGTCTATACAGTCTCTTTAGTACCAATGAATGGCAACAGGCTAGGGTCAAGAACAGGAAATAGAATTAAATTTGGAAATGGTATCTAAACTGTCTACTGTTGACCTCACCCCATTCCTAAGAGGTCTGTAAGGGGCGTGCATAAGAGCACCAGCGTGCCTACCGTCCCTGTCCTAATGTTCCCTTTAATTGTATTCATTTTATGTATTCAATTAATGCTTATGCTTATATATATTATCTAATATGTACTCGACAAAATAAAAAAAATATGGGGAAAATTTGGAAACACAAATTTTTAAGTGAAGAACTACGGTAAATGCAATTGAATAGTCCATTGGTTAGGATGGCTATAAACAATTGTAGAGTTACTTTATCCACTCTGTTTTCACTTGCATTCCTTCTTCTGGTCTTAGAAAAATGTGTAGTCATACTATGTTTAGCTTTTTTTAAAAAAGTATGATGAGGAACCGTTATACATTTAGTGAAAGATATTTGGCTAAGCTAAACAAGGGGCTAGTAGAAGGTGGTCCTGCACCAATGGCTACTTAACACCTGCTCTGCCATTCCCTTCCGTCACTTTCCTTCTTTGGGCAGGCCACAAACCAGCCTTCAACATCCAGTGCCTGCAGCGTCAAGACAGCTGCGATGACATCCCCATCCCAGGCACCTACCACCAAAAGGCACCACTGGGCCGAACACATGCGCAGGTAAAAGACGATGAATAGAGCCTTCTTTCTAAAAAAGAGACTTTAGAAGCAGCAAAATCCTTCTTGGAAAACAATATCCTTTTGCTTTTTGAGTTCCTTCCCTATTGTTCTCAGTATGTAAGGACTGTTTATGAGACAGACATTCTAGTAAGATTGCTTCATGTGTTGTAGGGATGAACCTGAATTCTGAAAACAGGTATAAGTCTGTCTCTCTCCCCCCTCCCTCTCCCCTCTCCCCCTCCCCCTCTCTCCCCTCCCCCCTCTCACACACACACCAGTTTGGCCTCTCCTAGCTGAATGAAATGCTGTGTCCATTTTAACAGTCATGTTGTATGTAAGTCAACTGAACACTTCAGGATGTTCTTCTGTAATGGTTCACCTTTCTTCACAGAGAATATGTGACAGTAGTTGTACTTGTAATATCAGTGGTGGGTTGCCCCCGGTTTGTACCAGTTCTATAGAACCGGTAGTAAAACCGGCGGGAGGCCCCGCCCACCGACCCCGACATCAAAATGCTTCTGCGCACGCACACACGAGCGAAGCATACGCGTGCGCACAGCCCCGTTGCAAACCGGTAGTAAAGGTAAGTAGAACCCACCCCCGTGTAATATGGTTGTTTTATGATCAAACCAGGTTAATATTGTTCCTATTGTTGGCTGTTCCATTATTTGATTGTACCATGCATCAAACCATTTACACCCACTCTTTCCAATCTCATGTCCACAGGATATAATTCCCAAATACCTTACCAGCATGCTGGCTGAAAATTATTGCAGGTTGGTTCCAAACAACTTAAGTTCTCCAACCTGGAAGAAAGTAAACACAGATTGTTTCTCTGCACTGTTATCTACCGGAGTATCCCAGGAGTTTTCATGGCTCTTCTCTCCTACTCTGCTCTACTGTCAATAAGCGCGCCGAGCTGCTTCTGCTTTTCCTTGGAGCATTTCTTCATCTACTGTAGCTCCAGATGGTTCACTGATTGGGAAAAGCTCCCCAGATAAAGTTCTAGACACTGAATCATTGTGGGCAGGGCAGGAAAAGACGGTGTCAAGTTGAGATGGCCTTGCCCTGCCCACAATGATTCTGGATTTCAAGCTGTCAAAAGACTAAACTGACCTTTTACTTTGTAAATCGAAAGACTGTTAAAAAGCAGAATAGCATTATTGTCATTAGGCTGACTGCATCTCCCTTTCTCTTTCAGTCCCATCAGGGCTATGGCAAGTATAGCTCATGGCACAGTGGCAGCCGCACTTCAACATCTTCCTCGCAATCTTGGGCCACGCCTCCAAAACGGGGCCGGCTGCTCTATGCTCCGCTCATCCTAGTGGAGGAGGAGAGGGTGCCAGGATACAGCTGGGAAAAGAATAGCAGCAGCCTTCCACCCATGTCGCAGGCCCACTGGTACAGGAATGAAGCCGAGCTGACCTGCCACACCTATGGAAGCCTCAAGGTTCCAAGCCCACTCCGGCACAGCTCCGGTGGAAGATCTGGCAGCGCGGACAGTCTGGTGGAGGCGGTGAGTGTGGGACAGATCTCTGTTTCCTTCAAGTACTATAATTTAGACTATCACATTAAAGATACAAGTTGTACAAGCAATAACACAAGTAGTAACACGAATAAAGAGTCTGCATCTCTTTCTATTTAAACTCTCATAACATAAATTACATACCCCCAAAAAATTAAATAGGAAGAAATCAAACAATGTATCAAAAGAGTGTAGAGAAAAAAATCAAAAGAAAATGAAAAAGTGAAGAAAAATAACAATGTTAATGAGTAGCAGTGTTATATTAAGCTTATTCAAATTGTTACAAATAAATTTTCAACACTAAGGTGAACCAGAGAGCTACATTGTGTAGCCTTTTCTGCCACATAAAGCCTTTCAAAGGCTGGAAAATGACAGATTTCATGCAGCCATAATTCAGTACACATGACCTTCCAGCATACAGAACTGAATATAGGACAGAATATTTGACCAAGGTATTTTAGAGAACAAACAATTCCCAGTCTTCCATTTTAGATCTCTACTTGTTGGAAGCCTTGGAATAAATCATCTGCAAGTAAATTATCCTTTTTGGTCAGTTTTCAGGTATAATGCTGGGACCACATTGATTTCTCTTATGGATGACCAATAGCAGGACCAGGATGGAGCAGTGCAAACTTTCTCATCCTATTTGATCTCTCAGTGGACGATACTACTAAACTTGCCTTTCTTCTTTTTCTCCTAGGTGCTCATCTCCGAAGGCCTAGGCATGTATGCACAGGACCCAAATTTTGTGGCCTTTACCAAGCGGGAGATTGCTGATGCCTGCCACATGACTCTGGATGAAATGGAAAGTGCTGCCACGGACTTGTTGAGTCGCAAGTCTGCTGGTGGTGATAGTAGCAACCGAGGTGGTGGAAGCCACCTTCTGTATAGCAGTGATGGGGAACATAGCGGAGCTGAGAGTCTAGGCCTTGTTTATAGTGATGAAGAAAGCTTCCGTTCCCATGAGGAAGAGGACTTGGCTGATGAGATGATCTGCATCACCACTTATTGACCAAGAAATGCCCTCCCAGCAGGGCAAAAAGAGTCAGTGGCTGCAGAACTGTTCAAAACATTGCTATGATGGTTGTGGTTATTTAAAAAACAACAGCATTCAGGGTTAAGAAACCAAACACTGTCCTCACATTGATTGTAGCAGAAACAATTATTAGAACAATTAATAAGCTTTCCTGATTTAGGGAACCTGCTCTTTATCTTCCAGACTTTGGCTCTTCCAAAAACGGTACAGAAAACAGCAGCCTTGTACCTTTTCTTCTAAGGAAGGGTTCTGGAGTTGAACTGGAATTCCCACACAATTAGTTCTGGTTTTTTTTTATCAAAAACAATAGATATTGTTTAAAAGATCTAGGATGGGAAGCTATTTTGCCAGATCATATTAAAAAGAGAGAGAAAAGGTAATTATTCTCCAACATCTTTTCCCTGATGTTCACTAATTACAACCAGTTCTTTTATAGTTGCTTTTACAACATGGTCCCTTCCAGATACTTTGGATTTCAGCTTTTATACTGTATTCTCCCAGCTTCCCATGATGAGGTCAACATCCCACAAATGATCTTGGTGTCCTGAACTTTATGTAATAAAGAATCCAGAACAACCTCTGGAGTTCCTCCTCGTATACTCACTTGAATGAAAAGAATGTGTATGATTATGGGGGTAGTTGTCTGAGGGTGGGAATCCAAAGTATTAAAGGGAAGGCTATCATGATATGAATTTGGAAAAAAACTTTTATAGATATTACTTAATCCAATCTATTCTGCTCATAGAAGATTTCCCTATGTCTGTTGCCGTACAAAGCAGGCTAACCTCCCAATCCAGGAAATTCTATGATTTCCTTAAATTAAAAATGGATAACTTTCATCTAATTTCCTGAAGTTGCCCAACGTTGCCCAAGTTACCCACATTCAACATCCAGCTACTGAATAAAGATGATCTAATTTTCTGCATTTGCAGAGGGAGGGGGGAGAGAAGAAGCAAAAGAGGCTGTTGGTCTTTGTTGATAAAAATACTTTTTAACAGATTGTATTTCCTCCTTGCAAGGCAAAACAAAGTAGAATTACTTTCTTAGGATCAGAGTCCCCTGAAAACACACATTTACATTTTGTTTTTAAATGGATATACTTAAAATACTATTTTATCTCCCTATTCAGCTCGAAAGGCTCCCTGAATATTTTTGTAGAGTGCATATAGCTTCAGGTCTTGAAACTGAAAGACAGGCCATAATATTCTGTATTTCATCTGAATCTGGTTTTATTTTCTCCTTATCCTTATTTTACTTCTAAGGATGAGGAGAAAATACTGAATGTTTTTAATGATCAAGCAGGATGGAAACAGTTCAGGGAGAAGATGAAGGGGAAAAAACAAACATGCCAGTAAAGCTGAGGAAGGGTGGTTTTGCTTCCTTTTTTTCCTGCTGTAGCTGGATGGAATTTCTTCTTTCGCCTACAGTGGGGAAACCTGTTCCTCCACAGATTATAATTCAACCATTATAATTCCCAGCATCAATCATTATATTGCCCAAGCTATTGGAGTTAGTTAGACAGCACTGAAGAGGGCAGGTATGCTCATATTTCTTCCGTTTGCTTCTGAAATCATGTAAAAGGAAATCTGGAGGAGAGTAGTTATTTAGGCCTACATGTATATGAAATTACTTTTTTTTCCCAGCATCAGAAAGGCCAGTTTTTCAGTTGCAATATTTTTCTAATCAATCTTTATTTTCAAGGACATTATTATCTAGTGATAATTTAGAAGTGACGACACATTTTCGAAATTCTCCATAAAAATGTATGACTGGTCATGAGATTTTCTGACTACAGTGATCATAGATTTGAAGGGGCTGGATTGAAGCCAATTGCAGAAATCGGTGAATAAATAACATAATTATAGGCTGCCAAGTCTGTTAACAGACAAGGCAAGCCAAGAAGCAAACAACGTACATGGTCAAAATGCATCAAATTTTGAATTACTATTATTGTGAAAACAAATGTTTTTTTAAAAAACAAGATATTCAGAAAGCTAAATAATATTTGATTTTAAGGCTATGCTTGGTGTCCTCCTTTTGGCAGACTTCTGGTAACCCTAGGTGAGAGGAGGTCCTCCAGCTGGGTTGGCTTTTTGCAATGTTTAATTGATGAGCTAATGTCTCTATTACCAACAGATCCCAGAGGCCTTTGAGCTAGATAGCTTTTATATTACCATCAAAAGACATATGGATAACATGGGTGCTGTATGAAAGCCCTGACCTAGGTTTTAAAAGCCCTCAATTCAAATGCTTGAGAGGTCCCTTCCAAGGCAGCAAGATAGGCAGAGAGTCAGAAGAGAAAGGTAGAGGCAGTATGAGACCATTTTAAATTCAATCCAACCTATATTAGCTTTGGATTTACCCACACAGAGCCCTTTCTAATGGGTGACCTATGAGGGAAGGAGAGTACTGACAGATTAAAAGTTCTTTATTCTGGCGTAAGTTTGCTATCCAAGGACAAAGACCCAGTTTTTGTGCATATTTAGTTCACATAAGCCTATCATAGATCCAAAATATGTTCATGAGTAACGCTAACAATCCCTTGAAATTTACAAAATCATGTGGGTAACATTTTAAATAAGCTTTCTATAGTATATAGAACCACTAGAGTTTGAGCTAAAATTTATAGGTATATCAAATTAAGTATTAGTTCTTAGATGAGGGAATAGAAGGGGACCATACCAAATTTGCAGATGACACCAAGCTGACAGAAATAGCCAACACCCCAGAACACAGGCTCAAGATCCAGAAAAATCTCAACTGTCTTGAATACTATCTTAAAAAAATGAAATTCAGTGGTGAGAAAAGTAACTTAGGCAAGAAAAACCAAATGTACAAGTATAGAACAGGTGGAACCCAGCTCAAAAGCAGTAACTGCAAAAAGATCTAGGAGTCCTAGTGAACAATCACTTAAATATGAGCCAGCAGTTTGCTGCAGCCCCCCCCCAAAAAAAGCCAGTCCTTGGCTGCATTAACAGAGGGATAGAGACCGTGTGAAGTGTTAGTACCATTTTATGATATCTATGTCAGTGTTCCAGAAAACCCCCCAACTTCAAGTAAAAACTCTGAAGCAAGCATTTTTCAAAGTTCTATTTACTAGAATAGGTAAACTGGCACATCTGAGAAAACCCGAATCTGAGAGGTCCGGTTTTCCCTCAGTAAATCAAAACCCCCAAAACCATCCCCTCCTCAGTCGATCACATGCTCCAATCACCATCTGTCCCATCTCGAGACAGCACTCCGAGCACTCCTCCAGATGCAGGATCGGCCTGACCTTGACCAACAGGAAGAATGCTATTATGTCTACAGACAACCCCTCTACTAAATCCCCCCTCCTACTTTCCCACACATTTCCCGGTTATTTACGGGACCGCCTACTACCACAAACAGCCTCCCACCGGCCGGTACGCTTTCATAGAGAGGGGCTCCTCCGGGTGCCGTCAGCCAAACAATGTTGACTGGCGGCCCCCAGGGGGAGGGCCTTCTCTGTGGGGGCACCCACTATTTGGAACGAGCTCCTCCCAGAGATACGGATGATCCCGGATCTGCGCACTTTCCACCGTGCTCTTAAGACCCTCCTATTCCAGCAAGCCGGCCTGGCCTAATTTTCTCCTCTTTTTTAAAATTCTTTTAAATCGAAATTTTAATCTGTTTTAAATTATTGGGATTTTTAATTGTCTCGGGCTAAATTATTTAATCTGGTTTTAATTATGTTTCTAACGTTTGTATCTATGTATTTTATTCTGTGCCTGTTCACCGTCCTGAGTCCTTCGGGAGTAGGGCGGTATATAAATTTAATAAAAACAAAAAAACAAAACATGAGAAGGTGGGAGCATGGAAGCTTCCGGCCTAATATGGCTTCCAAAGCTGACAATCTTGGTAAAACCACACTTGGAATATTGCATCCAGTTTTGGTCACCACAATATTAAAAAAATGTTGAGACTCTAGAAAAAAGTGCAGAGAAGAGCCACAAAGACAATTAAGGGTCTAGAGGCTAAAACATGAACAGTTGCAGGAACTGGATATGTCTAGTGAAAAAAAGGACTCTAGGGGTGACATGATAGCAGTGTTCCAACAACATTTAAGGGGCTGCCACAAAGAGGGAGTCAACTTATTCTCCAAAGCACAGAAGACGAGACAAGAAACAATAGATGGAAACTAATCAAGGAGAGAAGCAACCTAGAACTAATTTCCTAACAGCGAGAACAATCAACCAGTGGAACAGTTTGCCTCCAGAAGTTGTGGGTGCTCCATCAATGTACATTTTTAAGAACAGATTGTATAGCCATTTGAAATGATTTATTCCTTGCTTGGGTGGGGGTCTGGACTGGAGGACCTTCAGTATCCCTTCCAACTCTAATTATTCTGTTTTGTTATTGCTATTCTTTCTAGATTACATGTATCCATCCCATGATCATAGAATAATAACAGAATAGAATCATAAGAGTTGAAAGGGACACTGAAAGTCTTCCAATCCAGACCCCAACCCAAGCCCAAAGAAAGTCTGGAATGGTATAAACAGTATTGGTGAACCTTTTCAGTACCAAGTGCTGAAATGGGAGCATGTGTGCAGGGGGAGCACCAGAAACCGGAAGAGCAGCTCCCCGGCGTGCATGTGCAGGAGCGCCGGAAACCGGAAGAGCAGTTCTGATGGCGAACCTATGGCACGCGAACACCAGCGCATGCGCACCAGGGAGCTGCTTTTCTGGTTTCTGGCGCTCCTGGAAACCCGGAAGAGCAACGGGTGATGGCTGGTGTGCCCAGAGAGATGGCTCTGTATAGGATCTCTTACCAGTCAGGAAGTTGAACTAGAAGACCTCCAAGGTCCCTTCCAACTCTATTATTCTATGTTCTCCCCTTTCTAGGGAAAAAAATGGAAGTTACTGTTCAATTAACAAAGATATATATTAAAATCACAGTTAGTCAAAATTATGGGTTTCACTCATGTAGTCAATAACATACTTCTCTACCTGTCATTTCTCTCTTTTTTTATAATCCTCTGATTTTGAAAAGTGGCACAAAATTAAAACAATATTTCTGTAGACTTTTCATAATTATATATACAAGATACACAAAACCATTGAGGCTACAATAATAACTGGAACATAAAGGAATAATAAGACAGTCCTTTGTTTTAAGAATATCAGAACACAGTATTCTGTTTGAAGGCATCTCTTTGAAGGGCTTCCGGTCCATATCTGATTTTAAATCTAAAGTCCTCCCAGAAAAGTGGCTTAAAACGAACCATTCAGCCTCTGGGGAAGAGACTGCAATTGCCATCTTCTATTATGGTGAAATATATTGCATTCATATTAATTATTTCTAAAGTTGTACCTGTACATGTTAATTTCCCTGCTGCCCTGCCTATCAGCTTCCTTCACTTTCAATAGCATTCCTGCATTTTGGGGTTAGAGGCCTAGCATTACTTTTACTATGTAGAGCAGTGCTTCTCAACATTAACAAATATAAGTTGTCTGGACCAACTCCCAGAATTCCCTAGCCAGCATGCAAGAATGTATGGATTCTGGGAACTGAAGTCCGCACATCTTAAAATTGTGAGAAACACTGATGTATATAGTATGACACATATAGTATGGCAACCCACACATACAAAATGGGTGTTCTATTTATTACGGGTTGCAATAGCAAAACATGGGCAAAAATCAGAGCAGAAAAGCAATTTTAACTTTAGCATCAACTTAACCTCCATTTCCCCCTCTAAAAGTGTTCTCCATTTGCCCAGAAAGAACATGGCTCTCATCCTAGCTTCGCCTGCCAGTAGCTTTGACGTCATCCCTCCCGGCTCTTCCAATCTCTCCCTACCGCTATTACTCTCCCCCCCCCCCCCCCCTTCCCCCCCCCCCCCAAGGCTGCTCCCGCTAAAGCCCCCCCCCCCCCGGCCCCAACCTCCCCTGCGCTCTGCTGCGTCGCCCTCGCTTTCCCCAAGCAAAGATGGAAGTCGTCAATCAGGTAAGCGCTGAGGATTTCAACACCGGGAACAGCTCCCCATAGCCTTCTTAGCGTGCAACCCCACATTGGGATGTTGATCAGCTAAAGTGGCTCCCACCCTTCCAATGGCCACTTTCCCGCTTTAATCCCATCCTGCCTGGATCGAGATTGATTCTAAACCCAGCAAGAAGATGCGCCGGGTGCAGCACCATCTGCGAGGTGCAGCGAGACAAGAGCCTCAGTTTTAGAGGAATGGGGTTGGGGTGGGAGCACGTTTAGTTAGGTGAGCAGCCTCCCAAAGTGGGGGTGCAGAGTTGCGGTCTAACGGAGACGCGGGGAGTTCACATCACCCACTGCAGCAATTTGCAGGAGCTGCACTGAGCCCATCCTGGGTGGAAGGGAGGGGAGAGGAGAAGAGAGGAGGCTGTGAAGCTGCTGCAGTGAAGCAGCTGGAAATGGGAAATGGGGACTCTGGAGAAGGCAGATTCAAGGTGATATAGGTAAATAGAGGATGGATGGATGGACAGATGGACAAGATGGATGGATGGATGACAGACCAGAGATTAATGTTGGGAGAGATGGAGGTCATTCATAATCCCCCCCCATCCTTTTCCACTTATAATTTGATACAGCAGCTCTAGATTGTAGCTGACAACCCTGGGTAATGTACAGGCACAGCAGCGTTCTGCCTGCTGTCACTGCAGCAGACTGGGAGGAAAGTGGGTGAGAAGGAAGAGCAACCAACCAAAATGGCTGGGGTGATGCAATAAAGCTGCGCAATATAAAATAGGCTCTTAGGCTGTATTTAGGGAGCCAAAGGGCAGGGGAGAAGTGGGGGATCTTTGGGGGGGGAGGAGGGAGAGGGAAGAGAAAGCACGACAACAGTAAACAGACGGTGGGGGTGGGGTAGAGATGGCAATCAATATCACTGCACTGTTGGTTGGGAATCCGGTGCATGCAGAAAGTGTCTGCAAGTACTGAAGAGGCGGGTGGGCTTAGTCGCAATACCATAACTAGGAATTGGGAGAAAGAGGATTGGCAGAGTTGGAGCTAGGCATGTCATAGAAATTGGGCAAGGTGATTGCAGGGAAGAGAAAAACAGATTAACAGGATAATACGGAACTCATATGCACAATTCTCTTTTCCTTGGAGTTCTACCAAATGAATGAATAAATAAATAATGGTGCTTCCTATCAAAAGGAGGGTGGCCAGGCAAGCAATGTAAGTGAACACAAAGGATAAAAGGGGCAGCCCTTCTCTTTGCGGGGTGCAGCAGATGATGGATGGAAGGGGGATTTTGTCAGTATGGTTGCGGAATAACCCCAAGCCAGAGAAAGGAGGAGGGAGAAGAAGAGCGAGGAAGGAGGGGGAGGCATGAGATGAGATTTTATTTGATCGTATTTTGAGTGGAGAAGGATGTCAGTAGGTAAAATGGGTTGGTTGAAGAGAGGTAGTTATAGATACTAGACTAGAGGAAACGGAGAACAGGCAAAATAAGATCTGTCGCTTAGGGGCAGTTTCTAATTCCTGTTCCCTAGAGCAACTGCAGCAAGATGCACCAGGCGGAGGGGACGATTTGCAAAAGGAAGTGATTTCTTCCCCCTTGGGAATGAAGGTGGCTTCTAATTTTCTGCCCTGATGGAGGAGGTTCAGTCAAGCAACGTTGTTGCACAGTCTGTGGGAGTCATATTTAAATGCAGTGGAAGTATTTTTTGAGGAAGCCCCATGGATTGGCATGAACTTTGTATTCCCCCCCTCTTTTTTTTTGGATGAAGTGTCACTGGGGAACTGAAGTATCTTGAGGGCAGAGTGCTTTAAACAGATCAGAAAAATGGAAGGGAGAAATGTAGACTTTTCCTACGTGGGATTTTGAGCTGTTCTTTGCATAAGAAGAAGCATTAAGAGAACAGCCAGATGTCCGTGTGAAAGTATCGTCCACCAGCCAGTGGAAAAACATCCCTACAGTTTGCTATCCCAATGGCCAAGCCCTGTTCAGTCTCACTCAAAAGGCTCATGGATGTCCTAACAGCTTTCATGCAGGACAAGATAAGGAAAGAGATTGATGGATTCTCCCGCTTAGATTTCCCCTCTCACTGGGACTACCTGCCAGCAGGAAACCTAGCCACTAATTGTTCTCAGCATAACTGAATTAGTGTAGATGGTGTCCTTTGAATGGTGGGCTTAATCAGCTGCCTATATTAGGTCAGAAGCAGGTACTCTCATGTCTGTACCTGCCAGCCAGGCTATTTTTGAACAAATATCCAGTGCTCTTTCAAAAGAGCATTAGACCTGTACATATAAAGAGCCTGCCTAAGACTGATAAGAACCTCAGAACGTGCTGGCCAAGAATTAGGCAAGCAAATGCCTCTGCAGCAGCGACATCTCTGGTGTCTCCTAGAGCCCAAACTGATATGGCCACACTGAGCAGCATTCAGTGATGAGGGGTGGCGGTGGCAGTGGTGCTCACAGCAGTCCAAAGTGGCTAGGAACTGGACACATCCCAATCCCTGATCACACCACCAGCTTCCTATTGATCAAATGTGCTAGGTTGTGTCCTTGGCAAAAATTATGGTGGGACAAGAGGGAAAACACAATGTTAAATTTCAAACCGCTGATATTGACTTTAAGCTGCCTCTGCTGTGAGCTGGAAATGAGACAAAGACAGTGGCAATGGGGAAGGCTAAGAGGGCAAATTGGTTTCCTGGTTAGGGGGATATGAGGAAGAGCCCTAACTAAGGCTCTTGAAGAGCAAAGGGTAGACTTGGGGATATTCCAGACAAGATTGTCGCATTACATTTCTACCTGCTCAGTTGTAAGATGGTTACTCAAAAGTAAGTCCCCTTGGGTAATAAGGAAGCTTAGGACTGCAGACTCACTCAATCCTTGTTTCTTCCCTTGGATCTTACAAGAAAAAAGGAAAATATGAGAGGGCTTCTGGTGGTGATGTTTCCATCCAACCCCAGTGGTTGTTTGATCAGCAAATTGTGGTCTTTTATTTGGCTTTTGTGAGCCTCAGGACAAAATGTATTTGATTCTGTTGGCTTTTAACTCTTTCTTTCTTTTTCAGTTGAATGTAATGTTTGTGTATTTTATGTTTTTTAGATGTGGAGCTGTCCATTTCTTCTAGAACAGATCAAATTATAAATGCAAATCAGTCAACTTTCTCAGAGAGGGGAATGTTGTTGCCGCTACCAACGCTTTTGAACATCCTGGCTTTTTCACTGCCGATAAGTGAATTATCTCGAGGCATGTTCTCATGCAAGGCAGGAGATGCTGGGAAACAGAATTAGTCCAAGCTGCTTGTGAACAAGATAAGAGGTTTTGCTCTATTGCCTGCAGGACAGTTCAGCTTTTGGATGGTGTGCGTAGGCAGTGGTATCACATTGCCTGTGTGAGGCTATACAAGTCAGAGATGTGTGTGTCATAAGAGAGCAGGGCTTTCAGTTGCACATCAGTGTAAGATGGGCAAATGTGGGACAAAAAAGTTGTGGGATCATCTAAAATGGTGGAAAACTGTGGAGTGGTTTGCAGTATAGGCAGATGTACCTACTCATAGATGTGTATGAAGAAAGGATCTGTGTCACTGATGTGCCTTGGGCAGACCTATATGCAAGAGTGCACCAGAGGATATAATGACTATCGTGCCAGTCTGTGGTCATAAGACATATTTTTGGCATATATCATGAAACCAAGGACACCACGCGGATAATAACATTTAGTGTGTTGACTTTACTGAGCTAATCTATATGATTAGCTATATGAAGCAGTTTTGATTCTTGAAAATGCTATATAATATTTATATATAGCTGGAAGATTTCAGCATTCAGAAAACTGCAGCATTCATGTGCCCCACACACCAGAGATTTATGAGCCTTTTAAGGTCTCTGATATGTTTGTCCTTTGTTGAGTGCTGCCTGTAGTGTAGGAACAGATCTATCTAAGAGAAAAGCCATGTTAGATGACCGATTATGCATTGTCTTTGACCTGTTTCTAGGACAGTCTCTTTCGCCTTCCAGAATAGTGAAGGAAGTCTCAAACAGCCTTCCCTGACCTGATGCAATCCCAAATCTATCTGATGCTGAGAATAAGTTAGCCCTCACTTCCCTGGGAAGGTGCTTTGTGAGGAAGAGGGGCCATCACAATCACAATGTCTCTCCTGGTTTGGCATTTGGGGATCATGACAGGGCTTCATTACTGAATGTGCTTCTTTCGGTTATCTCCATTAAGATACCCTAGCAAATTCTAAACTAGTTATCTTTTCTGTCAACGGTCTTGAACTATTTTTCCTTCTCTTCACTGCCCCTTCTACTATGGTTTTATCAGCGCTCATTGTTTTTTTTTAATAAAGTTTTTTTTATTTTTTAAAATAAACGAACATTTAGTACATCATTCATTTCTTCCATGTGACATTTCGGTGTTATCTTCAAAAATTTCTTCTCTACTCAATCTCTTCTGTCTTCAATCTCACCAGGTCCATTACAAAGGTTTTCCATTAGTATAATATTCTAATTACAACTTTTTTTTTCTTCAATCTGTTTTAAAACTTATATCTCTTTTCTAACCAATAGTAAAATTTATTCCATATCTTAAAATATTCTGAATCCTCTCTTTCCTTTATCATCATAGTTAATCTATTCATTTCTGCACAATCTAAAATTTTTTAACTTACTTCTCCCTCCGATGATATATTCTCTGCTTTCCAACCATCAGCTCACAAGAAGCTCTCATTATGTTTTATAATTGCTTTTTTAAAAAAACATATCTGAGCCAGCACCTTTTTAAAGAGCAAAAGAACAGCCCAGAAAATTAAAGAAAAATGTCATTTAACTTACCCTATTGCGGTATACCGATTGCGGTATGTTTCCTGAGTATTGGTTACAAGGGAAGCTAAAGTTAATCCAATTAGACCTTTTCTTCCGCTTGGCATCCTTTGGATGTATTGGGACTGGGATTGCCAGAATTCCCATGATTCTTGAAATTTCCTTCCAACATATCCAGATAATGTCAAGTTGAGGAAGCCCGACTTTAGCTGGACACTTTTGAAAGACACTCTGGGCCATGGTCCTGTGTGATTCCAAGGTTATTCTCTTTTGTTGTAATGCTTAGAAAAAAGCAAACTGAACAAATGATTCTGAGAAGTGTGGCAGAGAGCTTCCAACTATAGCTTCTGTTCTTTAGCATGTTTGCTTTGCTTGAACATGTTTGGTGGATCCCAACTGATCTAAGCAGTGGAGAGTGGAGGATGGAACCTTTTGATTTTCTGAATGAGATAAAAGGAGACAGGACAAGGGGTGGAGCTTCATGGCCATACCTATCCTTTGTACTCATTAGATTCCAGATTCACCTTCAGCTTATCCAGCTGAAAGACGTCAAAGGTCTGTGACTTTGGACCAGTACAGGTTTCTGCTTAATGCAGCATCTTAAATGCATATATTTCACAGGTTTGTAAACTAAATTTCCTTTCTCTTTTCACAGCTTGTGGCAGTTGGACAGTTCCGGATCTTCAAGGAGCCCTTGGGATTTGTAAAGTTGCTAGAATGGGTGAGTCCACCATATCAGCACTCCTGCAAGTCAAGAGGAGTCTGTCTAAGTCCTGTCTTCATCCTGCTTAGAATTAAGACAGATGCGCCAGAGATGACAGTGTTTGCTTGTTCCTTCTCCCAAAGTTGCATCCATCTCTTAAAGGTGGAGAAGGTTTGCTTTCTTTGGCATCTGATCAGTTATAGTCTGCTTCTGAGCCCTGGCTGGGCTCCAGCTGCACGTGAAGTCAAGTCTAGGGCTGAGAGATAAGCTCCTGGGTACTATTACCAGCAGGATTTGACTACTTAACATTGGATGGTCTCACGTGTGGATGAAGTGTCTCACTTTCCCCTGTGCTATCTCCAGAATTACTGGGGGTTGCCAACCATTCCTAGCCTAGACCTTACAAGAATGGGTTGGAACACAGCCTGTTTGCTGAAGCATTGAACCAGGTCAGGCAGACTATTCTTCCAATCGTCTGGAAATTCTCCCCATCACAACCACTGTGACCATAGCAACCTAGCAGGATGTAAGGCAGGGATACAGGGAGAAAGTGCTATCATGATACTGTAGTGCTGGGATTTGCTAGTGATGATGCCAGCATCAGAAGAGATGGTGCAAAAGAGAGACCTCTAGCTCAGATAGAAAACTGGCCAAAAAGGGTACTCTGCCAGGAACAGAATGGAAGTCCAAGCTACGTCCAACCTGAGAGGCAGAATACTCTCTCTCTCTCTCTCTCCCCCTCTCCTCCCTCCCCCACTCTCTCTCATCATCTGTCTATCTAATTAAAATGTATTCCAACAACTAGGTAATTGGGAAAGATAGTGAGATAAAATGGATGGGCCAATATGCACGGAGAGTTTCTCACACAACGCTCATGGAACCAAATATCATACAGCAGTTAAGAACTTACTGTCCTTGAGTTCCTGCTGAATTAAGAGTTTTTGTAAATGATGATACAGTATTAAAATGTGCTTGCTGTGCAGGTGCCATCATGTCACCTGTTACAGAAACTAGGGGAAATGCTTGAAACTATGGCTGTTGATTAAAAGGTTGAATCTGCAACTCTCCTATCCTGTCCACCTATCTGACCATTGCTTCCCACATAAATAGCCACACACAATTAAGCCAGCCTGAAACTGGTTACTACTTGGAAAAGAGGCCATTAAGTTGTTTAAAAAAAAAAAAAAAAAAAAGAGCAATGCAAACCACTTCCATTTTGCTGCCAAGAAAACTCTACTTTGTGGATATGGCTATGCAAGACATCAGGAGTTGAACACAACTTGAGGAAGCTTTTCCAATTGTTCCCCAGTCCTAGTCTGACACTCTATTATATCACTTTAGATCTCACTACAAATCCACAGTTGCCGGAATGAATGCATATTAAGCAATAATCATAAAAGCCAGGGTTGTATACCAACTAAACTGTTGGGATTGGAGACACTCGGGTCTACTCTAACTTCAGGCAGAGAACCTCCTTGATTGACTTCAGGTCACTTTCTCTCAACTCAACCTCACAGAGTTGTTGTTAGGAGGAGAAATGGGAGAAGATCGTGTTCCGTACACCACCTTGCGGAAAAGTAGACTATAACTATAACAAATGAATAAATGTCAACATGGCATAAATCTAAGAGTCAACTGGAATTGGAAAAAGTAGTGCTCTACATTAAAAGTTGAAGTGACAATTCTAGACCATTAAAGCATAACGTAGAGAATAATATCCAAACATATAGGCAAACAAGCTAGTAGTTTCAAACATCTTTTTGGCCATCATGACAGGAGTGCCATTTTTTCCCCTTTCATTCAATTCTGTTGTAAGAAACAGCAAGTATTTTAGACCACACACAATGAAATCTAAAATAAAAACAGACTTTAGAAAAATCAGGAGCAGTCAGGGCACTTGAGATGGAAAATTCAGATGCTTCCCCTAATTAACTGAGAGCACACTCCATAGGGAATCTGCCTGTTTTATTGCAACGTTGGTAGCTATCTTAGAACACAATAAGAACTGGAATGTGTGCAGGAACATTGGTTGGTGCCCAGAATAAATATCTTCTCTATATCTCTGTGCCTCTGAAATCTGGTAAACAGGTTTTAGGCCTCGTTAGTATTCAAATTAGAGATTTTGAGGAATTCCCAGGGCTAGAATGGAAAATTAAAACACTCTGTAAGTGGCACCAATTCACTTCTGTATTGCTGCCTCCAGGATGTGTCCATGAAGTCACAGTGAGCCAAACTTTTCCAAACTGATTTGGAAAAGAACTTATCTTTTTATGTTATGCTATTGTATGGTATCATCACAAGTTATTATATCAAGATACCAGTATAAACTAACACTGAGCCAATAGGAATTACATTTCCAGTGCAGCGGTGGATCTATTCAAAAGTAAGTCCAGCTGAAATTCAGAAGAATTACAGCCCTTACCTGAAATATTAAGACAGTCGTTATTTTTATAAAATATAGGTTAACTACCAAGAATGTAGAGTAACACTTAAAGTCACTCAGTTAAACAAAACACACACCAAAAAAAAACCAATATCCAGTTTTTAAAAAGTGAGTTTGGAGGATTGAAGAGGAAGGAGAGAAAAGAATGCTCTATAGATAGATAAAGGGGCAGGGGTGTGTGTTAAAATGAGGAGCTTTAGAACTCTCCCCTCCATCGTACATGGGCTGTAATACCAGAGATAACCATTGGATGGCAGCCAAGAGTTAAACTTCTTATGCTCTCATTGCTGTCATCTAATGACTGAGCAGATCTTTGCCACTCAGATACAGGTGGTTTACTTTTCCCCTCTTCCCCCCACCTCCCCCGGCAAACCCCAGTAGCTAAGCACATTGAAGTAGCTTTCTCCCTACTGCCTTCCCAATACGTTAGGCTACAGTTCTCACAGTGCCTGGCGATTATGGGCCTCATGTTACAATATATCTGGAGAGCTCCAGGCTCATGAAAATTGCTTTGTACAATTATTTGGGCATTCAACTTAACCTAATTATTTCAATTCCTGTATACGAATATATCCATTACAAACGTTTTCTTTTGGTATCATCAATAACACACACACAAAAAAAGAAAATTTATGAACAGAATTTTGAACAGGGAAGCCATTGATGGGATGGAACACAAATGCAAATATAAGACCCTTGTGGTTGAAGCCATCCTGGATTTTGGAAGCTGAAAAATATGATTCCATATGACCTTGGCAGTTTGGGATATCTTTTCCTGGGAAATTCTGGAGGTCAGATATTCTCTACTGGATAGAGCAGAGGTGGGGAATGATGGCCTCTTTATGACTTGGCTGGCTTGGGAATTCTGGGAGTTGAAGTCCACAAGTCATACAAATCCGGCAGTCTTGGGGCCGTTGATCTCGCTGTTGCAATCTGGCGAGATCCGGCCATGAATGGTGTGAATGGGTTTTAATTGTTTTTAATGTTTTAATTTTTAATGTTTTTATATATGGTTTTTAATGCATTGTAAGCCGCCTTGAGTCTTCGGAGAAAGGCGGCATACAAGTTGAATAAATAAATAAATAAATAAATAAATGGGCCATTGTTCCCCATCTCTAAGGTAGATCAAGGATTCCAGCCTTTGGAGTCAATGGGCATGTTTGGATATGCAGGTATTTTTCGAACAATGGTTACCATGGGAAATATGGCCAGACCCAAACACTTGTATCTACTAAAAATCAAATGAAGAACTTGCCTGCAGCCCTCCTCACCATCCCATTTTCTAAGAATGCCTCTGTCATTGAAAATACGGATCATGCTTAAGGCATGCTTTGCTCTGCAACATATAGGCTTCCAATTTTTTTTTTTTAAAAAAAGATAATGGATTGAAAAAAGGTTAAATGTAATAGTCAGCTTGTTGGGCTCAAAGAAATACGTTGTGCAGATTGTTGCCTCTGGGACATTTTACGGAACGTGAAGTAAATAGACACAGGGATGGATCGGGACTAAACTCTTCTCCCAGCATAGCCTGCAGCCTACCAAGACTCAAAGCAAGCTTCCTCTGGTTGTTCTTTCTTAGATGCATATCCTGGCTTCAGAGGCTTTAAATAAATCCCAAATCCCTTTATCTGTCAGGTTCACAGCACTTCTTAATCCACTTTTTGTTATGTATTTTGCAAAGACTAGTCTGGAAGTACATTTGCACTGTGATTTGTGAAGTGCTCCGAAGTCCTGCCTTTGGAGACCTCAGCAGATTTCCCCCTTGTCTCCAGAGCTTTCCACAGAGAAGGGGATCAGCCTTTGGAAGAGATTTGTTCTCAGACCAAAGGCTCTATTTTGTTTCCTTAAAGATGCATTACTTCGCTATTTTGCAGTGGTGCACCCCACATTTTTCTAGGTAAAGCTTTCCGTGGCACTTGCAAACTCAGGAGTTGTGTGTCTTGACCGTGACTACCAAGCTGTTTTTCCTAGCCAGCCTCACAGTTGTCTGCATTGGGGTGTGTTGGAAAAAAAGATTGACATACTACTTTCAAATGGCACAATCTTCCACTTGTGCCCCAAGCTTGAATTGCCAGCTTAGTTGAAACTATCTCTGAGTTAGTAAACTTGAACTACCTTAATACATGAACTTCACACCAAGCCACATAAATAGCTTAGAAACTCAGGGGTGCAGACATACACAGACAAAGCAGATGAGCTCTGCATTATCTTGAACCAGTTTCTCACTATTTGTATTTATTTGTCTACGGGACATCTAGTAAACCTGTTCTGTCGCATGGACCCTTCTGCCCTATCAGTATTCCAAGGGAGCATGTTACCCCAGCACAAAACCATCTGGGGGAAGGAAATTCTGGTAGAGGGGGGGGATTTCAAATCAGATTAACGAGGACTGCACACATTCAATAGATACTGAATGCCGTACAATGGAATGGAGGATCCAGGAAAAACAACCCCAGCCAGCTGGCTGGAACCCTGAATAGCATGTTGTTCCTTTTTATTGCAGTTCTTTACTTGCCCTCTGCCTTTGGAAGCCATTTCATTAAAGGGATTTAAGCTCCTCACAATCTAATTCATAGCGGCATAATTTAAAAGCCTTCCAATAGCAATCACCATATAGCAGGTTTTTAATGCAGGCATCTCTGCTGACTCTTCTGCTCTGTGGGCTGAGGCCAGGCAGGAAATGGTGCCTCCCTGGATGGTAGAGAGCAAAGTGGGTCAGGGCTGGGTTAATATCTGGTCCCTCCCTGATTAGATGCTGGGAGGAAGAGATTAAGAGAGGGATCAGGCACGCTCTCTCCTACCCTCATTCTCCAGCTCTTCCTATGGCAAATTTTGCTCTAAAAATATCTGTGATCACACAGTGATTTCTCAGCTGATCCATGATGACAGTAAACCAAATGCCTCCTGCCACCCCACCATCCTAAGCAAAGGCTAAGATGATCCCTTCATCTGCCAGTTTTCTTCCTAGAGTGCCCCCTGCTGGCCCAAGTGAACCCAACAGCATTTACATCCCCACCCCCACGCACTAATGCTCTGGAAGACTGAAATAGCGCTGTGACTCATATGGGTGCAGGCATTGCTCATTATCAAGAGGTTGCCTTGCGAGAAAAAGATGCGTTGGCATCAACTGAAAGAAAGGTCCACATATGAGAAAAGATGTGCTTTGTAGAGAGGTAAAATCTTTTGAAGCCACATTGGGGTCATAAAATGTTTCAAAATATATTTCCACACAAAGCGGCACAAGGTTCAGCAGAATACAGTGTTATATGCCTCAGCTCAAACATATGGTACTTCAAATTGGCTTGGAGAAATGATGGGTGCTTAATGCCTACTAATTTTCGTTTCAAGTCCCTAGTTCTCATTGAGGTAGGAAATTGCAACTGGCTTGTACCTTTTACAACTGGGCGGTGCCACATTAGGCAATTTCTGTACACCAAAAATTGTCATAGGCATAACAACGGAAGCTGTATAACATAGGATGAAAAAAACTGAGATGAGATTAAACTCTTCTGAATTCTACAAACTCCACCTATGACTTATGATTCATTTTAATCAGGTAAAAACATAACTAGCTTAACATGTATTTCTTCACTCTGAACCTGGGAATCCCCATATTTGGTCTCTTAGTAAGCTAAGAAACCTCTAAAATAATAGGAGACTAACATTTTTTAATGTTTTAAATGTCTGTCTCATTTAACAGACAAAAAATAAGGCAATGATATACAATAAAATATAGTGATAAAAATTATATAAAGCTCTTCAAAGAAAAAATGTAAGGCTTTTTCCTTTCATATATTATTAAACCTAGACAATATAGCCTAAACTAAATTAAAATTCCCAGACTCCTTCATTGGAATCTATTTTTTTTTAATTGTATAAATTTGATGAATGTTTGCAATAAAGTAGAGCAACTGCCTGTAACTTTTCAATGTTGTTTTTTAACTGAACTGCAATAATTGTTCAAAATGTGGTCCTTTTAAAATAAAAATTCAAATTAAATGCTAATCCTTATTGAGGGGAGAAAGTAGTTTGAGGGGATTCTGACTAGGGAAAAAAAGAATTATAGAAAAAAAGATTAAGTACATTCACTCTTGTTTGAAGCCTGCTAAATCTGTTTCTTTTTTTTTCCTTTTTTTAAAAGGCTTGTTTGGGAAAAATATTGCATGTATTTTCAATATAATAGTTTGTCCTTCAGATCCTTGAGTTAGTCAATCCAACCAATTGGTTTTTTTAAAAAAATCATACTAAAGAACTAAAATATTTAAATATGCAATAGTAAAAAATGATTATATCTAAGAGCAGTTTCACTATTTTCACCACCCAAATTCTTGCAAGCAAAAAAATCTCAGGACATTTTATTCTCCCCCCCCCACCCGCGTGCCTTTCTATGCCATGAGCTATTAATGGACTGTTCAGCTGACCAATCATGGAGGACAAATGACAGCAACCAATCTATGTCCCTACTCTATCTATCTATCTATCTATCTACCCATCCATCCATCCATCCTCTATCTCTCAATCATTATCTAACAGAGCTCACAAAACATGATCTCATCTTAATCTATCACTCTAAGGAACCAGGATAAGGTACCAATGAGAAGCCATCTACCTCCGGGTTCCAGCATTTTAACTAGATCACTGGGTCAGAAATTAATTGGCATGTTTGTGGGAAAGGTCTTTAAAATATTTGGGAGGCAGGGAACTCAACATCGCAAATGTTTAATCTTGCAAATATAATTAGCATTATAGTTGTCATAAAAATATCCCAATAAAAAACGAGGAGACAGTAATACAATAAACAATTCTTACTTTAAGATTCAGAGGTTTATTTCATGAGCAATTTGGAACATGAAAAGCCATAATAACACAACTTACATCAATAACCCATTGCAATGAGGTCCAGAGATGATAGGTCCAGAGACGATAGCTAGGTCTGGCAAGGAATAGCTATGGCCAGTGGCCCTGACCTGAGACCCATCTTCTTTTATATCCTTATTCAGAAAGCCCCTCAGTAAGTGGAATTTTACTGAAGTTATTTCCTTGTACTTTATATTGACCATCAATTAGCACACACTTGCGTGTACATGTGAAATCTACCATCTGCTACTTTCAGTCCCTTATTTTCAATGCTTCTAATATTCCTAGTCCAAAATAGCCTCTGAAACTATTTACTTTGCAAATACATGTTATAAAATTGCTTTAGCATAGCAGATTACGTTATTCTTAGGAAATCATTCTAGTTAGTACTCCAATATATAGCAATTAATTTGAGGTCTATTATCATTTTGAGGCCTACATAATTTTAGCAAATCACAACCCAGTTTTCCTCTTCTCACACAGTAATGACATCTTATAAAATTAAGGTATTCAATATAGAAAGAGATATTTAAAAATTCAGATTGAATATTTCAAACAGAAAATATTTCATAAAAAGTCAACACAATGAAAAAATCAAGCTATTTTTTTTTTCCAAAACCTTCCATTAAGTTATTTTCAGGAAACTTCAGTTCTCTAATGTAGCAAATAACTTCCATTGCAATTTTTTTCAGGAGTGTATAATATTTTACATGTGGCCACTAAATATCTGTGAAATCTGTACCATATTGTAATATCGCCAGCCTTTTTGCTTGCCCGGTGCCACACTTCTGATATGTAGCACAATAAATAGGATTGTTGCTGAGTAGATTTCCAAATTTCCTGTGAATGTCACTCATATTTGCTCCCCTTTTCTTTTTCTCCCCAGTTCTTTTCCATTTTTGCATTTGCGACGTGTGGCAGCTACACTGGACAATTCCGCCTCAGCGTCAATTGTCCCAAGAAAAATGAGAGCAAACTCAATATAGAGGTGGAATTCTCCTACCCCTTCCGGTGAGTTAAAACTTAGTTGGGGCTGTTCAGTGAAGAAACTGTAAAGAAACTGCTAGTGGGCAAAGGTTTAAACACAAGATGTTGTTTATGGATCAGTACACAGCACATTCAAGAAATAAGCTACCAACCAGTGGCCTGCACTTCTGGTTTTGACAGTCAATGTCCAACACCAGGTAGAATTTAGGGATTCCCAAAATGCCAAGCAGGGTCAAACTAGGTTACTACATGGAAGACCATCAAGGAATGTTTGTAGGCCAACAAATATCCAAGAAGAAAGGAATGACAAACCACTATTTATTGCTACCAAGAAAACAATAGGACACGGGAAGTAGGGTCAATACAAAGGGAATGTTATCATTTCTGGATAAAGGACAGAAGACAAGTTTGAACTCCTGATATATACGTGGATGGGTGGTGGGTAGAGGCATGCACATATGCATGTCTATGTGTGTCTGCTTTTCCAACAGTCATGCAGAGAAACCCAAAGAGCCCATTAGCAGAGCATATGGTAATGGACCTCCACAATTGTTAATCCTTAACTTGTTGCATTGAGGACTATACTTCCCCTGAACCTTGAGGATCCATCCACTGTCATGGCTAATAGCAACTGCTATCATGAAGTAGATTCCATTATGAATTTTGCTAATCACTTTTTCGTAATCAGGGTCTAATCCTGTGGCAGTAATCCCCATAGTTTTGCTTCTCCTGATATTAGTTCTTAAGAAGAATATGGTCTTGATTTCATATGTACTGAGAAAGGATGAAAAATCTCTTTCTGGCTTGCTCTCTCTTGCTCTTTGTGGTCCACCTGTAGTATTAGGCAGCTTACTTTAATGTAACACTTCCCAAATGGGATGCTGGGAACTGTAATCCAACCCAATAACATCTATCTGGTTCAGTGTAACCAATGTTCACCCATACTGGCTGCCTTTTTTCTGTGAATTCCTGTTACAGATTTTTTCTCTCTCTTCTCCAGGCTCCACCAGGTGTATTTTGATGCTCCCACCTGTAAAGGAGGCGAACAAGACAAGGTTTTCTTGATTGGAGACTACTCTTCCTCTGCTGAATTCTTTGTCACCATTGCAGTCTTTGCCTTCCTTTATTCTCTAGCCGCGATTGTTGTCTACATCTTCATGCAGGATAAGTACAGGGAGAACAACAAAGGTCCCATGGTTGTGAGTACAATTATAGGATGATAGCATTGCACAAGCCATTTCGGCACATGTGTCACACCTGATACTAGCACCCTTTGAATTAACCCCAGCAGGAGTAGTTGCTTCTGAAGAGGACACCTAGAATGGCAAGCAGGCATTTGGAAAACCTTCTAAATCCATTGAGAAGGGTCAAACGTCATCCACCATTAAATAATAACTTTACATTCAGGTCGTTCGTGCCCCCAACTGATTGAATAAAGAGTGCCTTTTGAATGCCCTGTTTTGTGCATCAAAATATTAGATGTTCATTAGGAACAGGAAGTTAATTGATGATAGCACGAGTCACGGTGTCTAAAATATGTTGAACAAAATAAATATTACATGATGGATTCTTTCTTTATTTTGAATATTGCCATAGTGCTATAGTTTAGCATACTACAGGTAGTCCTCGACTTATAGCCACAATTGAGCCCAAAATTTCTATTGCCAAGCAAGACATTCGTTAAGTGAGTTTGCCCCATTTTACGACCTTTCTTGCTACAGTTGTTAAATGAATCACTGTGGTTATTAACACGGTTGTTAAGTGAAACTGGCTTCCCCATTGACTTTTCTGCTTATCAGAAAGTTGCAAAAAATTATCACATGATCCTGGGATACTGCAGCTGTCATAAATATGAATCAGTTGCCAAACGGTTGCATTTGAATCATGTGACCAACGGGATGGTGCAATAATTGTAAGTGTGGAAATGGTCATAAGTCACTTTTTACAGTCCCATTGTAACTTCCAGCGGTTACTAAACAAACTGCTGTAAATCGAGGATTATCTATATAGTTGTATCCCACTTCTGACCCATTGCAAACACTACTGTCAAGGTGGGGACTCCTCCAAGGTTTGTGAAACCAATTTTTACTTACCACCAGGGTCTATTATTTCAAAATAGTGGCTTATCTGAAACCACCTAATGATCTTCTAGCTGAGGTGAAATTTAAATTATCAATTAGCCAATTTAAAATCTTGGGCTTGAGTGACAGACCTGACATGGTCATTGAGTTGCTGAACCTTCATCCTCACCCTACACCCAAGCTACAGATAGCCACTATCGCGAAGTCTTCTACCTATACTGAATCGGGGTTAGGGTGTGCTGCGACAGCACGGCAGGATCTTGGTTCTGGATCCTCTCTGGATACAAGAGAGGCTTATGATATTCACTGACGAGGTCCCCAGAGGCCTACTGTTCTTCACACATTGGGTAATCTTTCCTATAACCTCACTGGGTTTTTTTTTCTTCTTGCTGCAGGATTTCGTTGTCACAGCTGTTTTTGTGTTCATGTGGTTGGTGAGCTCTTGTGCTTGGGCCAAGGGGCTTTCAGATGTCAAGGAGGCTACTGACCCTGATAATGTGATAGAAGGCATGTCTGTGTGTAAGGAACCAGAGGTCAAATGCAAGGAGGAATATGAACCTGTCACTTCTGGCCTCAACACTTCTGTGGTAAGTCCTCCAACTTACTGTCATAGGAATATGATTAGAGTATAGATAGGATTTTCATATAGGGTCTATTCCTGGAGACTGAACATGCATTTTGTAGTTGTGTTTCTTAGCTTTCTTTGACTATAGTTTTGCAGTATCTGTTTTTTTGTGTGTGTCTGTTTCCATATGAGTCTGTTTTCTATATTTTCAAAGAGTTTATTTGCACTTCTGGCTTTCAGTTAATGAACTCTGTACCAGGACAAGTTTGTTGTTTACATGGATGTGTTGGTGTTTTGTGCATCTTTATAGGTTGCTTTATAAAAATGCCTGTGTGTCTGAACTTGGGGTGATGTCTCTGCTGGTAAGTGTCTTACAATGAGCCAGTTTCAAGGAAACAACCTTAATTGTTGTGTTTCACAAGTGTCATATTACCATTTGCTGATCCAAATCAGAGCTACTTGTTATCAAATAAATCCCACGATTCTGGTCTGGTCTCATAGCCAGACATAATCCTTTTGTTTCAGAATGCTACTAGATAATTTTTTATTATGCAATCCATCCTGCCTCTTTCTTTGAATTTTGTGAGAGGCTCCAGGTGAGGTTATCTCCTTGTGATCAAAAGACCCCAATAAAAAAACCCAAAGAGGAATATATTTCTCTTCTCACATCCTGTTTATAGCCCTCTTGTATTTTCTCATCATTTCTTCTATCCTTCTTCATGTGCACAAATGCACATGGCCATTAAGAAGAAAACACTTGTTCCACAGGACAGAATAAGCTGCTCCTCTGTTGAACTACTCCTGAAGCTGACTTTTAGAATTCCAGTTTGGTTTTGCCCATATGGCTGACCTATCCTGAGAGTAAAACTGATGCATTCTGTTTGCATATCTATTCATGACTAAGCACTAATGACTAAGCACAACTGCACAGCACAAACAAATGTTTTTTTAAAAAATTGCTGTTGCAATCAGAGAACTTTTGAGGTCTTAGGGAGCTTCTCAGTGGTTTTCTGGTGAGATTAATGAAGATGAGTTTAAAACATAATTCTATAAAACATTTCAATTGACATTTTGATTTTTACAAAAAGTGCTTAATTGTTACATAATATTACATAGAAACTACAAGGCAAATAAGCATTACATAAAAACTATAAACTTTTAAAAAGAAACCTTACCCATATGGTAAAAAAAAAAAAAATGAAAAAGTCCTGATACTAATTTAGGTGGCTGGGAGGGGAGAAACGTTAAAGGAGAAAAGAGCAGAGAAAACAAACAAAAAACACAACTAAGCAAAATTAAAAACTCAATCCTGTACAAACCAAAATGCAGTTTACTTCTAAATATATAGAGAATATACCATTTAAAGGAGAAGAAAAAGAAAATATAATATTCAAATAATATTAGTTCAATTTCATCATCATGATTCAGTTTTTGAACAATTGATTAAACCTACGCCATTCAGAATCATATTGTCCAATTTGGCCTCTACAAAGCTAATCTGAAAGCTGAGATTTGATAAATTTTATCGAACTACCCTTAGAATCTGGTACACAAGCGATCTTCTATGAGTACACAATTCCCTGCATTTAACCCTGTTAATTAATTACTATACGTTTTCAGAACAAAATTTTGTTTAGATAAGCTTTTTAATCTGGAGGAAGTAGGAAGGCATAGACAAATTTAACTATATTTATCTTACTCCACTGGTTCTTAAACTGGGGATAATTATCCCTAAGGGGATAATTTGGGCCTATTCTAGGGTACTGTAATGGAACAATTTGTAATTTATTGTTTGTGAGTCGAGTTGTAAGTTTGGAACATGTTTGTTTGTTGTTTGTTTGTTTTATAGGGGAAATGACATTATTTGAGACTAGGGAAAGAGATATAGTAATTGCGCCAGTTTAAGTACTGTCTTATCCACTAAAAATCATGACCCTTCTTTGCACTTAAAGATAAGAAGATGGGGTGATGTTATTTAACTGGGTGGTCCCAGCATTTTTCAATTTCTTTTTTAATGATCCATGATTGCAGAAACTTTGAAAAAGACGTAGATATAAGCTAATTCAGAATTAGGATTTTCCTTTGCAATTCTTCAGTCTGTGGATTGAGTTATTTGGCCTATCTCTATTGTCAGTGTGCAAGGGGGCACAACAGCTGCATAGAATAAGAGAGTTGGACGGTGCCATTTAGGCCATTACAGTTTTTTCCCCACTTCCTAAATTAAGATTAAAAGAGATTGAGAGTTGGCTTTGAGACAGTGATCCTCTGGGTCTTGTCAGCCAAGAAATATCAGGTGGCGGGGACCAAGACACATACCTTCTCTACCATTGGCTCTGCCCTTTGGAATAACCTCCCTAAAATTAGGATGGCCCTGACCCTACTGGCCTTTCAGAAGGCCCTGAAGACCCTGTTTCCTGGTTATATTGACACTGATTATGATATCTTTTGGCTGCTATTTGTATTTAACTTCCTTTTTTGCATTGCATTTTAACTGTTTTTATTATTGTTTGTTGCTCAGAGTCACTGGTTTGAGATGGACTTCTACAGATATCAAATAAACGAATGAATGAATGAATGACTAGCCTTCCTGTAACTGAAAGTCATTATTTTGCATCTCTGGGATAATAAAGGACAAGCCATGACAATTTTCAATATGATACATGACTCCCCACAGTTATTTTTCCTCAGGATAAAATATCCAGCATCGACTTCCTTCCATCTACTCTAGTATAGGTTTCTGTTGCCTGGATAGTTCATGTTGTTCATCCTAGTACTCATCCTACTTTGTGGGAATCTTTCTTAAAACATAGGATCCGAAACCATACCTAGCACTTGAGATGAGTCTGACCAATGAAGAATGAAGCCATTATTCCTCAGAGTTATTCTATGCTTTCTAGATTGGTGTGGTTGCTGAGCTATTCTTCTTAAATGCTCCATGCAGTGTTTTTAACAGGTAAGGCTGTACATTCCCAGCTCTTTCATCAACTTACCTTCATGCTGTCCATAGGTTTTTGGCTTTCTGAACTTGGTGCTTTGGGTTGGAAACCTATGGTTCGTCTTTAAAGAGACTGGATGGAGTGCCCCCTTCATGAAGTACCCACCAGCCCAGGAGAAGCAGCCAGCACCTGATACCTATGCAGATAGCTACAACCAAGCTCCAGGATATGGACAACAGGACACATATGGGCAGCAGGGTGGCTACCAACCTGACTACAGCCAGCAAGGCTATGGTCAGCAGGGAGACTTCGGCCAGCAAGGTGGTTATGTCCAAGGCGGGCCCACTTCCTTTGCAAACCAGATGTAGGCGGGTGAGTCATGGAAACATATGGGGAAATGGAATTGTGTAGTTGTTGCATATATTGTGTTGATCCATCCCATGTTACATGTGATAAGATTTTGCATGATAGGTTATGGTTCTGCTAACCCTGTGGATAAGCAAGGACTGATTTAAGGCTCTGCAGCCTGATCCCATTTGATCAAAGGAATCTTATTGGCTTTCTTCCCTCATGTTCCCTCATGTTCAAATTTCCACAGATATTGACAATGCCCAAGGATAGGCTTTTATCCAAAGTTCTCAGAAGATTGAATTCTACATATGCTACCACACTCTACATTTTTTGTCCTTTGGCAGGACCATAGAAATTCATATAGATGTATGCAAATACATAAATGGTTTTTTTTAAATTGAGCCTTGTTAGAATTATACTGGCAGATAAATTCGTTCATAGTTAATGTTGCTCATAAACGTTCCAGTTCAGTAAATATAAGGATAGTAGTAGTTGAATCCCAATTACCATATGTAACTAGAATATATGGTTTCTTTATTCTAAGTTTGTTTCAGCCCTAGTTACCCCTGTTTTGTGACATGTCTTCCTAACAGGATCAAATCCTCACAAATCCAGTAGCCTCACAGAGGACTACCAAAAGAAAATCCCCAGAACTTTCTAAGCTCAAACAATTCCAGAGGAAAAAATAACCATAAAAACTGGTTTTAAACCAATCATGTTTGAAATATAGAATCTATTTATATGTGGCATTATTCAGTACAGTTTTGTTATAGAGATGTGATAAGCTATATGTGTGCTCTGTAGCAGCAAAAACCATTCACTGTTTATCTGAGCTTGTCTGCATGCCATGCCATGTATCCTACAAATAAATGTGTAAGTTCTGTAGAAATATGTATTTGCTAAGTGGAAATGGTGGCTTGCATAGTGACATCTGTAGCTACCATACAATTGATGTGAAACAAGTAGTAACATCTGTACAGGTATGCAATAACTGAGAAATCTTTTATTATTCATTTTGATGTGTTAAGTTTTCATAACTGCCTTAGAATTAGCATTTGAGTACTTCCAAATGATGGCATACAGACTGTTGGTGAGGTTCAACATGTCTTACACATTGTAAGCCTCGTGCAAATAGGAGTCCAGCATCAGGCAAACACAGATGACAGAGTCCAGTCCCAATCAAAGATCACAAGGAACATCTCTGTAGGAATCATTTATTGGCTTGGATTTTTGCTTGGATGTATTTGCATACAAGCAATTTTTTTTAAAAAAAGAGAGAAATAAAGGAAAGCAGGTGTCAGGCCTGGAAGCCATCTTTTGCATTGGATCTTTCATTGGGGTTGTTACTTGGAACCCTGATATTAGGAGATTTTTAAGAGCCATAGTGGCGCAGTGGTTAGAATGCAGTATTGCAGGCTACTTCTGCTGACTGCCTGCAGTTCGGCAGTTCAGTTTTCACCGGCTCAAGATTGACTCAGCCTTCCATCTTTCTGAGGTTGTTAAAATGAGGACCCAGATTGTTGGGGGCAATATGCTGACTTTGTAAACCGTTTACAGAGGGATGTAAAGTACTATGAAACTGTATTTGCATACAAGCATTTTTTTTTTAAAAAAAGAGAGGAATAAAGGAAAGCAGGGGAATTTTTAGGAGCCATGGTGGCACAGTGCTATTGCTATTGTTATTTTCTTTACATCTGGGGAGAAAGGAGCCAATAGCTGGATGTGAGAGAATCCTAGATAATGATTCTGAAAGGCTGAGGGGTATGCTAACAAGATTTATTATCTCTGATAAAGTACAAAAGGGGCTCCATTGAGAGACAGGAAACAAGTCTAAGATTCAATATTATGCAGCATAATTCTGCATAGTGGTTAGTAATGTCTATGGGAAGGGTCAAAATCTACAAAATGGCAGCTGTGGTATTGTGAACAAAGCTCTTCCCATTGTACTTGGATTAATGTAGCCCCTCTGTACAAAAGGGATGGGGGTTCAATTATAACTTCATTACCTATCATCATTTTGATACGTGCTGTACATATACACAGAGACTGAAGTTGTAACTTCAGGAGAGTTACATCTATGCAGAACAGTTTTAATGGTTCATGCAGCATGTTCAGCTGTATTATCCTTCTGCCTATCCTTCTGTCCTATTTTAGCTTTTGCAGCCCTGCATTTAGAGTTTGGGCTTGTTACCACACAGTAAAATTGATCCATGCCCAGAGATTAAGCTCCCAAGTAGTGCAATAATTCAATCCATGACAGCATCTCACCACAGTTGCCCTTAGATTGTGCCTACACTAAAAGGAAAGTAGTGAGGCTGTGTTCCCACAACTAAACCATAAACCATGGGTTATAAGATGCAGTAGCTAATCTAAAATTAAACAAGGTGTTGAATGAATCAGATCAACTGTTAAGCTGTTGTTTATTTGGTTTAGCATGTTATATGAACACAGCCTTTGTGATATGTTAATTATGCTTAGTAATCATAGTCCAACTGGTTAACTAGTTTTCAGTAGCAATCCTGTCCCATTACATATTTAATGGTACCCAAGGATAACTGAAAAGGTGTTATTAGCTAACCTGGTCACTAACTCATAAGTGTTTAGCTTTAGCCTTAAATTCAGTCTTACAAAGATTAAACTACCTCCACTCCATAGTTGGTCAGATTCAATTTTCAGTCTTCGCACCACCACACAAGGAGTGAAAAAGTGAGAAATCAATCATTTTATCATGCTTTATCTCCCCCCCCTTTTTTTTTTGTTGTCTGAAATAAGCGGGGAATGACAGCTTCTTGGGCACAATAATGAGTCCACTGGTTGGGAGAAGAGAGATTGTGTTGCTAGTGGTGGGAGGACAGCAATTGGGAATAAAATGCTATTAAAAAGTTGTGGAAAAGAAGTGAGTAAGATCAATGTTTGGGCTGTGAGATCTGCATACAGGAAATTTGCTAGTTTACTTACTAGATACATTACTAGATACATTAACCCAAATGTTTCAGGTTCCTCTTGAACCCCAAACTTCATTTTGCAGTACCCGTTCTTACAAAATGTAGCTAAACTCTTTTTTCTTTCCAAAGGAAAACATTTATGCTCTCCTCAGCTCATGGAATGAAGAAACCACTTCTCTGTTATCAATCTTCTAAGGAGTGATAAGCAATTTATGGCACTCTGAATGTTACTCAAACATAACTCCCAATATCCCTAGAAAGTATAGCCAGAGTAAGGACACTGGGACTAGTGTTTGGAACCATGTGGATGGCAACTGATTGCCTATCTCTGATAAAATCACATTTTTTTAATAATAGGTGTAAGTATATAAACAAAAAAATAGTTCACGCTATATAATTATACAAAACTGTATCACGATTCTGTAAAAACCTGTATTTAAATTATACTGTGTGCAATTCATACCAACTGAATACCAACTTATTCACAGCCCAAGCTGTATCTGGACCAAGATGCTAGAGTTTCCCCATTTAAAACTGACCACCTGATCAGTTACTCGTGCTGCATCTGGTTTGTTTTGTCCTGCTAACAAATTTCCAGAGGAATGTTAGTTAATAAACCATCTAATTTCTTTTTGCTGCATGCCTAACTTTGCGCAGCAAGCAACAGTTTATGGAAAGGAAAGGAAATTGTTATCATTGCGTGTGGGAATTTGTACATTCCCTTTCCAGTGGTGTTATCCCATTGGGTGTTTCTTCCATGCCAGATTGGCACTTACTCACTTTGTGTGTATGTGTTTTAAAGAGAAACTCTAGTCAAAGGCTTTCTATATCATTTCTAATTTGGTCCTGAGAATCAAAGTAAGCACACATAATTTACAATAACAAAAGAATCACTGGTAGCGTATCAAGCTTCTTTAACAATAAAACCCGAATTGCATTAAGCTTCTTGGTCTCCCATTGGTAATTTTAAGAACTTGGAAGAAAACCAAGTTTGTCTTCTCGGTTCTCAAGCCAGAGAAAACTTGGCCTCTTGGCAGACTTCCAACTCAGGCAGCAGATTTCAACAGGCACATACAGACAGGAAATTCTATCTTTAATGTGAAATTATTTTATTTTAGTCCAAAGATAAAAAAGAGGGAATTGCAAATTTTCTGCTTTATATGCTAAATCTAAGTTGACTAGTTTTAGAGAGCTTAATGGGTTTGAAAAATGAGACACAATAAACTGCAAACTGCTTCCTAACCAGGCCTAGCTTGGATTTAAATGGAAGTCACCTGGTGAAATTTTACTTATTTATTCCTTCATCCCATTTCTATGCCACCCATCTCACCTAAGTGAAATGGTAATTACCTTTTACCTAGGTAATGCTTCTTGTAGATTTCAATTAAGGCCAAATTCCTTACTCTATTAAGAGTGTCTGGTGGCTCAGCAGACTAAAAGCATTGTGATTAACACCAGCTGTCTGCAATTACTGTAAATTGGAATCTCACCAGGCTCAAGGTTGACTCAGCCTTCCATCCTTTCTAAGGTAGGTAAAGTGAGGACCCAGATTGTGGGGGCAATAAGCTGACTTTGTATAAATATACAAAAGTATGAAGGCTATTGCTTAATGCATTGTAAGCCACCCTGAGTCTCTGGAGAAGGGTGGCATATAAATCAATTTAAAAAAAAAAAAAGTGTCATCCACACAGTCTATTCTTGTCATGATATAGAAAAGGACAGCTGTCATCTCCTTTGTCCAAAGTTGTCTTGGGGTGGCTCTGTCTCCACATTCTTTGGAACAGGTTTCAGAGTGACTCAGGATTATCAACTCCGAAAACCTGTGGTACTGTATATATTTGTGTCCTTGGACAAGCAATTTGGCACAGGCATTATCACAGCCATGTTATCATGACTTTTCAGATCCCAATTCAGCCAACCAACCGAAGCAGCTTGGGCTGGGAAAATCCCAGCACTGTAGCTATTTTATCCAGAAGTTTCAGAATTGATAATCCTGAGTCACACTGAAACCTTTTTCAAAAGTGTGTATATGGAAGAGAAGGAGGAACAGCATAATCAAGACTTGCAAGATTTTGTTATAACAACCAATCTCAATAAAAGTTCTAGTCTTTTGGTAGAGTTGGTTTTCTCTTCTGGTCTGCAGTGCCAGGCAGGCCCCATGACAGACCCAGTGCTCATAGTCTTCTTGAGCCAAGACAATTGCCAGAGCTGGGGATGGAGGATAACATTTGGTGGAGTGCCATTGTTGTGCTAGAGAATGGCGCCTCTTTCTACAGATTTCTGCTAAGATCTGGCTAAGATGTCTGTCTGTCCTTCTCTGCTATATCAGGATGTCCATCGATTGCAGGATGATGTCACTCATTCTGTGTTCATTTGGCTCTTTTTTCTCCCTTTTCTCTCCACAGGTTCCTACCCCCAAATAGAAGGCGTTGTGAGAAGGAAGCAGCCATCCCGTCCTGGCTCCCCATGTCCCTTGTGCGGGGGAAGGGAGGGCTGGTGGGTGCTCATACTGGGAGGTGGCTGGTGGAGCCCTCCCAACCCCCCAGGATGAATGTAGATGTTTGTGCTGTTTATATATACATATATATTATATATATATGAGAAACTATAACTAGAGGTAGACCGCTCCCTCTCCCACTGCCCCAATGCCTCATGCATAACACACTTCTCCACATCATTGCCCTCCCCAGGACAGTTTCTTGACCTTTGGCCTCTCCAGGCCTATCTCCTACACTCTCCAGCCAAAATGGATTGTCAGATCTCCTCCGGAAGTACCCTTTCTCTCGCCATTCACTTTGAACCCCATCCCATGCTTTCTGTATAGTGGAAGGCATCCCAGGACTTCAGTTTTCCTTTGACCCTCATCTGATGCCAAGCTTTCCTCACTCTCTCCTCTGCATGTCTCTAAAATGGGCCGGAAGATGGCTGGAAGGGGATGAGGTGGAGGGCAAATGGGTTGTTCTTTTGAGTGTGCAAATGCCAGGCAGGTTTGGGGTTTAAGAGGTTTGGGGGTTCAATCCTCTAGCAGCACTTTAAAGTTTTTTTTTTTAAACATACCCTCCATTCCTGACTTCACCCCATTGATCTATGGGGTAGGATAGAGGGCAAATATATTTGGGGGAAATTATCCCCTGCTTTCCTTCCAGGTGAGTCCAGGTAGCTATAATGGGCTGTGAGAATAATCTTGAGGATGAGCCTCAACCAAGGCAGAAGCCAGATAAGAGAAATCTGAGTCCAAAGCAGGAATGGAATTTGAGGAAGCATCCCAGACTTTATTCTCTCTAGTTCTCTTCAGGATAAAAGGTACAGCGGAGGGGAGGAGTGAAGGCACATTCAGAGTTGCAAGACTGATCTTAGCTCTTTGAGGTAGACCTGACTAAAATACCAAAGTCGTGAACACTGAAGCTACTTTTATTTTAGCGTTACAGTAATAGAATCTTGCACCTCTGATTGTGCCTTCTCTCTCCCCCCACCACCACCCCGCCATTATTCTTTATTAACCAGGGAGGGTAGAGTCTGAGATGCTTTCCCAAATTCTAGTTTGGGCCTATGTTTCTCGTATCTGACCATTACCTTGGCTGCAGCTGTTCTTCCTCTTCCTCAAGGATATTTTCACAGCCCATTACATCAGGGGAGGAGGGATGCTAAAATGGGGAAGCCTCAGAAAGATCCACAGCATTGGGGTGCTCATTATTGTTTTGAAGGGATGTGTATTGACCATCTCTTTAGAGGGCTTTAGCCCAGTTGGGAGGGAAGAGCAAAACAGGGATGGGGGACTTATTCCTAGTGAGCTGTTGCACCAGGGGTCTATAGTTAAGGGACGGGGAGATTGCGGGGGAGGCTTCCACTATCATCCATCCATCCCTTCCCTATGCTTTTCCTAATTTGCATTCTCTCTCTCTCTCTCTCTCTCTCTCTCTCTCTCTCTCTCTCTCTCTCTCTCTCTCTCCCTCCCTCTCTCTCTCCTAAAACCTGTATTTAAGATATGGTAATTTAATCCATCCAGACACCATACTTCTCATCGGGATGGTTAACCGCTGAACCTTTTCAATCATCAGGGCTGTCTCCAGTCTAGTTCACATAGAAGCCTCCATACATGATTGCTTATGACAGGGGTATCAACCAGCCCTCAGGTTTCAGAAGCCAATGAGACCTACATGGTGGCATGTTCCAAGAGCCCTGTCTATGCAGGGCATCTATCAGCTGCCATGCTCTCAGCAATCACCATGATGGTCCAAAATTACACAAACCCAAGAGTAAGAAAGAAATCTATTCAAATGCCATCTCTGAGCTCTGCGGTTTTCAGAAAACCACCCACATGCTGGATATACCACATTCTCTCACAAACCAAGCTCCTGAAGGCTGGAAGTTATAGATCAATTGGCGGAATTTAATCAACTGCAAACATGCTGCATGTGAAATCATTCTAATCAATACAGGCTTGTACAATATGATCTGGAGTGTTTGGTATCAGGTAGTAGCTCTTAGCATAATAAACAACATTGATTCCGTGTGAGCTTGTTTCCAAATAAATATGCATTATCATTCAGATTCTTTCTCTTCCACTTGCTCTTACATTCTCTAATTCATTCTGTTAATCTGAGCCCTACCACTGCCTTCTCCCCTTTCCTTAGCCCTGTTACCTTTTCTTAAATTTATTCACCGTTTACATGGATCTCCTCACTTACTCATTTTATCCTCTCTAGGCCATCCCCTAATTCTTGCTCCTCTTTTCTCCCTTTAAAACCTCTGGCCTCCAACTGCTCCACTTTCCATACCAGCCAAAGCTTCCCCCTTCAGCCCAGACCCCTTCATTCTCCCCCTCCCCACCCCCAGTGGCACTCTGACTATATATTACTCAGTGTCTGTGTATCTGATTGTGCCGTAATTGTGCGTTTTGGTTTGTCCGGCTCTTTGCCCCGGTCGATATTGTGTGATTTTTTCTTCCATCTTTAAATGACAAAAAAAAACAAAAACACCAACCAACAAGAACAGCAACAAAACTTCAGAAAAATATGCATTATTCCCCCAAAATGCCCCCTTATCCCCTCAAAATTATAGAAAAAATGGATAAAAACCAAATAAAAACAGAAAGAAAATGAATTTAAAAGTAAATGTTTGATGTGTCTTTATTTGATGTTTTAATCATGCTGCCTAGCTACATATTTTAGTCATGTATCTTTTTGACTGATAAAAGCTCCCCACTCCCCACAGTGTATTCCAGATTTATTTATCCTTACATGTAAGTCCAAGTGATCATCAAAGGGCTTGTAACTCTCCAAATCCCAGCCACTAAAGCTGACTTGGTTAGGGGAAACTACATTATTAAACTAAGAGTTAGCATTTGAAAATGAGCACCTGTGTTCCCTTGGCTAAGCAGGATTGTCAAGGGAAAGAAAAGAAAAAATAATGCCACAGCATCTTCTTGACATGTCTGAAACCCCAAACTAAGGAAAATCTGCTTTCTAAATTGTTCTTGAATGATTTCACTTCAAGCTAAAAGTGCAATCTGTGAAATTAGTTTTTCCCAACCACTTCACATCAGTTCAGAAAAAAAAAGGAGTCATCTGCCATTGATTAGAGCCACAGAATTTTTCTTAGCCCTTTATAAACATGGCCTTTTCTTTTCTTAGTTGTTTGCTTCTTAGCATATTAACTAATGTGGGAAGGAAGATTATGGGATGAGCAGGAACCTAATATAATTGCAAAGAGCCAGAGATAGGGCAGCCAGCCAGACCTGCTGTTTTGCTAAGAGAAGGTTAATGCAGGAAATGACTAGACCAGTGGTTCTCAACCTGTGGGTCGCGACCGCTTTGGGGCTCGAACGACCTTTTCACAGGGGTCGCCTAAGACCATCGGAAAACACATATTTTCAACGGTTTTAGGAATAATTTTATGGTTGGGGGTCACCACAACATGAGGAGCTGCATTAAAGGGTCGTGGCATTAGGAAGGTTGAGAACTACTGGACTAGACTGAGTCCAAGGGAAGGGTCAAACGCATCATCAGGCTGCACCCACAAGAGATCTAAGTCCAGCCTACCTTGAATTTCTTATCTACCACCAAATTGCTTTGACACCGTTAGTAGTACAGATTCTTGCAGAGAGCTTAAGTTTATAAGCATAAGAATACTTTATTGCGGTCATAGACCAAAAAAACCAAAACATCCAAGACACATAACTGGCACACAACCAGACTGAAGTGCAAAACGGCAACAAGATCAGTGGAGAAAATCACTCTGTCAAACTCACAGTTCATGTATTTTAAATTTTTAACTCCAATCAATATGGACTATAGTCGATTAAAATTGTACATAGGTAGAAAATACTATATTGCAATTTACATAAAATCCACACATTGGCACTTTATACAACCACCAGCTTACTCAACCGCTGACGATCAATAGAGCTGACCTCAGTCAGTGGGTCCAGCCTATCCCTTCCCCCGGCTCTTACATCCCAAGACTGCAGCAAAAATTTTTGCTACCTTTAGTGTAATCTAAGAATCAGTATCTTGGAGTAAGAAGCGAAGACTAAGATTTTCAGATAATCCAGGAAATCTTTGGCAAATGGGAGAGATAAGTTCTGACCTTACCTCCCGATAATGGGGCATGTAAATACGATGTGAGCCAACGATTCCGGAGATCGACCGTCACAAGAACAGTGGGTGAATTTCACATACCCCGAGCACCTGCTATCTAGGACATTCGAGGGGATCACATTAAAACGTGCCTTTAGAAAGGCCAACCTGTATTTAACAAAGAATAGCATAGAGAGATATTTGGGAGGGTGCATTCGGGGAGTAATACCAAGAGAAAACAGAGAACATACTCCCGCACCAAGTGCCAGATTCTGTTGTTTTTCAATATCATCCAATCGCTGGAATATCAGCGATTTGGCTGCATCTGGGCCAAGCACAAGGGCTTCAATAGGAGGAATACCTATCTTCATAAGTTTGGTGTAAATATTGCGGGCCCAAGAACTGTGGAAATCGTCCCGCCATAAGCACTGGCCTAAATAGTAGTCTGGAAGTCTGATCCACAGGGTCAGCCAGTAGCCAATAGCACACTTCCACAGAACAGTAGTGAGAGATGGTGTGCCCAGTTCCAAGCGGATTGCAGCATTACTCACACGGGGGGACTCCCATTAGACGGCGTAAGAATTGGCTTTGAACTGACTTGAGGAGAGAAATATTTGTTTGAACCCAAAGGGGGGTGCCGTATGTAATGGCAGCTATCACCTTTGCCCTATATACTTTTAATACTGAGGAAATATGTTGGGCTCCCTCCATGTAAAAGAATTGCAGAAGGGCATGCGTAGTGGCCTTGGCCTTGGTGTGGAGGGACTTGACCTGTGCAAGCCACATGGCATTAGATTGGAAAAGAATGCCTAAATATTGGAATCTATGGACCTGTTCCACTGGTATGCCATCGAGCTTCCATTGATAGTTTTTCCTGCTTCTTGAGAAAATCATAATCTTAGACTTAGAATGGTTGATAGACACTTGGTTGGCGCAACAATAGTTGGAAAGACCCACCCGAGAGAATGAAAGAATCACAGCATCGTCCGCATAGAGCAGGAGCGGACACCTGTAGTTAGCTAATCTGGGGGCATGGATATAATCCAGTTGGACCATTAATGCCCTTCTCCAATCACTAATGTATACATTGAAAAGAAGGGAGTTTAAGCTTTTTTCAGTACCATTGCAACTTTGAATGGTCATTAAACAGTTGAAAGTTGAAAGACTACCTGTATGTACTTATAGCCTGCCAGTAATTAATTGGCCCTTCTGCTATCATTAAGGTAGCAGGCCTGCGAGAGGGGGGAATCTTGCGCTGCGAGATTCCCCCCTCTCGCAGGCCTGGCCTTCTATGTTATCGAGGGCCCACCTTAATGACGGATCTTGGGACCCCGAGAGGTGGCATGTCGCAAAAAGGGGATTGAGGGGTTTTTTAAAGACATTTTTAAATAGACTTTTAAGGGGTTCTGAGGGGTGGGGAGGTTACGTGGGTTTGGGGGAAAAGCCATGGGGGTTGGAGACTAGTCCGGCTGCTATTAATGGTGCCATAGGGGGTACGGACTCTGGGGGAAAGGGGACTGTTAAAATGCCCTCTAATGAGGGCTTCTCTATTAATACGCTGAGTGGGAGGGGCAGGTATGGCGGGAGCAGGGGGCCGTATCATGTGGTGGGGACACGTGCTCGCTATCTCCGAGTGATTGCATGCTCCGGTCCCCCTTAGCTCTTCCCGTTCCCCAGGCTGCTTAGAGTCTCAGGGCCCGAGTCTCCGGCTGATGTTGTGTAATGCCAGGTCCGTAGTAAATAAAGCCCCCCTCATTTGTGATCTTATTCAGGAGGGGGGAGCGGACCTGGCAGGTATCACGGAGACCTGGTTGGGCCATGAGGAGGGAGTTCCCCTCGTGGAGATGTGCCCATCAGGCTTCCATGCATTTCATCAGCCGAGAGCTCAGGGCAGGGGTGGGGGGGTGGCGGTCATTTTAAGAGAAGGTCTTAATCCGAGGGAGACCACTGTACCTCAGATAGCTGGATGTGAGTCCCTTTTTGTGAAGTGGGGTCGTGGGGTGCAGATGGGTCTGTTGATCATGTACCTGGCTCCCTGCCACGTGACAATGACCCTGCCCGAACTCCTCAATGTTATAGCCAAGGTGGCGGCTGATACCCCCAGACTTGTGGTCATGGGGGATTTCAACCTGCCATCCATCGGTGAAACATCTGAGGTAGCTCGGGAGTTCATGGCTTCCATGATGGCCATGGACCTGACCCAAGTAATTCACGGCCCTACTCATATGGGGGGACACACTCTGGACTTAGTTTTTATCTCTGGTCAGTGGTTGAGTGGCCTTGATACAGGGGATGTAGATATTGAACCCTTGTCATGGTCTGACCACTCGCTCCTTCGACTTGACTTTCTGACCGCCACACCCCGTCGCAGGGAGGCAGAGCTGACCAGGTGGTTCCGCCCCAGGTGCCTGATGGACCCTGATAGGTTCCAGATGGAGCTTGGGCCATTTCCTGAGACTCTAGCTCATGACTCGGCTGATGACCTGGTGGCCGCCTGGGATAGGGCGGCTGCCGGGGCTTTGGACCGGGTCGTGCCTTTGCGGCCTCTGACCCGGCACCGAACTCACTTAGCTCCTTGGTTCTCCGAGGAGCTGAGAGAGATGAGCGCCGGAAAAGATGCCTAGAGAGCGGTTGGAGGGCCAGTCGTTCCGAATCTGACTTGACACTGGTAAGGTCTCATATTAAGACCTACCTAGTGGCGATCAAAGCGGCGAAATCTAGCTATTTTGCCGCTCTTATCGCATCATCAGATAACCGCCCAGCCGCCCTGTTTAGGGTGACCCGCTCCCTTCTCCATCTGGGAGCGCGGGAGGACCCCTTGCAGGGCCGAGCTGAGGATTTTGTACAGTATCTGGATGATAAAATAACTCAAATTCAGGAAGACTTGGCCACCGACTGGGTTAGTTCAGATGAGATGACTGAGGCAGGCCATGAGAGTGTTATCTGGGAGGAGTTCGATCCTGTGGCTCCCGAGGACGTGGACAGGATCTTGGGACGGCTGAATGCGACCACATGTTTATTGGACCCGTGTTCCTCCTGGTTGGTGCTGGCTTCCCGGGAGGTTACACGAGGCTGGTTCCAGGGGATTATCAACGCTTCTTTGAGTGAGGGTGTCCTGCCAGCTGCCTTGAAAGAGGCGGTGGTGAGGCCTCTCCTCAAGAAGCCATCCCTGGATCCGGCTGTTTTGGCTAACTATCGTCCAGTCTCCAACCTTCGCTTTATTGCAAAGGTTGTTGAGAGTGTGGTGGCGCGACAGCTTCCCCAGTACCTGGATGAAGCTGTCTATTTGGATCCGCTCCAGTCCGGCTTCAGACCTGGGTACAGCACGGAAACGGCATTGGTCGCGTTGGTGGATGATCTCTGGAGGGCCCGGGATAGGGGTTATTCCTCTATCCTGGTCCTATTAGACCTCTCAGCGGCTTTTGATACCATCGACCATGGTATCATGTTGCGCCGGCTGGAGGGACTGGGAGTGGGGGGCACTGTTTTGCGGTGGTTCTCCTCCTATCTCTCCGACTGGTTGCAATCCGTGTTGACAGGGGGGCAGCGGTCGACCCCAAGACGCCTTGTTTGTGGGGTGCCACAAGGGTTGGTCCTCTCGCCCCTCCTGTTCAACATTTATGTGAAGCCGCTGGGTGAGATCATCCGTGGTTTTGGGGTGGAGTTCCATCAGTACGCTGATGATACTCAGCTGTACATTTCCACCCCAGACCATCCCAACGATGCCTTGGAAGTGATGTCCCAGTGCCTGGAGGCTGTGCGGGTCTGGATGGGGAGAAACAGGCTTCGACTCAACCCTTCCAAGACCAAGTGGCTGTGGCTGCCGGCGTCCCGGTATAGCCAGCTGACGCCATAGCTGGTTATTGGGGGCAAATCATTGGCCCCCACGGAGAGGGCCCACAACTTGGGTGTCCTCCTGGATGCACGGCTGTCTTTAGAAGGGCACATGACAGCCGTGGCCAGGGGGGCTTTTTGTCAGGTTCGCCTGATATGCCAGTTGCGCCCCTTTCTGGACCGGGACTCCCTACGCACGGTCACTCAACCACTCGTCACCTCTCGTCTGGACTATTGTAACGCTCTCTACATGGGGCTCCCCTTGGGGTACACCCGGAGGCTCCAACTGGTGCAGAATGCGGCCGCGACGGGGCGCTCCCATGTGACTCCTCTCCTGCGCGAGCTGCATTGGCTTCCGGTGGACTTCTGGGTGCGCTTCAAGGTGTTGGTGATCACCTTTAAAGCGCTCCATGGCTTAGGGCCGGGGTACTTACGGGACTGCCTTCTGCCACCAATAGCCTCCCACTGGCCGGTTCGCTCCCACAGAGAGGGCCTCCTCAGGGTGCCGTCGGCCAGACAATGCCAGCTGGCGACCCCCAGGAGGAGAGCCTTCTCTGTGGTGGCACCTACCCTTTGGAACAATCTACCCCCAGAGATACGAGTGATCTCCGACCTCCGGACTTTTCGTATTATTATTTTAACTCCATTTTTTTAACTGTAAATGTTATGTATAGATGTTTTTATTTTGGCTGTTCACCGCCCTGAGTCCGAAAGGAGAAGGGCGGTATAGAAGTTTGAATAATAAATAAATAAATAAATAAATCAAATAAGAAAAATAGAGAAGCCCAAGCAAATACAGGTAGTCCTTGACTGACAGCCAGATTTGAGACCATAATTTCTGTTGTTAAGTAAAGTATTTATTAAATGAGTTACACCTAATTTTATGACCTTTTCACTAGTTGTTAAGTGAATCACAGCAGTTGTTAAATGAATCGTGGTCATTAGGTGAATCCAGCTTCTCCCATTGACTGCTTGTCTGAAGCCAGCTGGAAAGATTGCAAATGGTGATTGCATGACCCCCGGGACCTTGCAACCATTGTAAATACATGCTGGTTGCCAAACACCCAAGTTTTGATTAAATGACCATGTTAGTTAAGAACAGTTAAGTGTGAGGACTGATTATAAGCCACTTTTTTCAGTGCTGGTATAACTTCAAAAGGTCACTAAACAAATGATCGTAAGTTAAGGACTACCTCTAAGGCATTTTTGCATTTTCTGACCAAGGGACTTATGTTCTCCTTTTTGTTGCACAGTTTTGCCAACAGGACTCAGAGCAACCCTGGAGACTGTGAGTTAAGGACTGATGTATAAGGAAAAGCAATGAAAGATCACCAGAGTAAAAATATCTTTAAAGCTTTGGCATCTGAGAGTCAAAAGTTTTTAACACCCCACAACTAAGTTTCTGTTCACTGCTCTGGTTCTGGGAAATGCCACCCAGCCGCGATAACTTTCCTAACCAGTATGTTATCATGAGTGACAAGCTGTACCCTGTTGATTCACAAGAGGAACATCTTAAATCTTCCCTTGTGTCATGCAGAAAAGATGTTGAGAAAATAATTATTAAATGTGCAGGATTCCCACTCAATAAAATGTAACATATATTGTATACTTGTCCTGGAGGACATTTTATTAGAAGAAAGGGAGCCTGTTATAACTGGTAAAATAGCATGTAAGAGTAGGTATGTTCCATTTTAAATGGTTTCCTTCTTGCTAGTGTGGCTTCTCTTCATTTGTTGATCATTCAGAGAACAATTCCTCTGCCAAATTGCTTGTTCAGGGCAAGAACTACTTCCTTAATCTCAAACTCCAGAAAGTTATAGGTCAGAACATGCACAGGCAGATCCACCTCAAGCAACTTTTGGTGAAGGACAAGGTGGCCTTACTTCCTTTCCACCTCATGACAGGAGCTGCTTGGAGAGGTGACAAAACAGAGCATCACTGCTAGATAAAAAGCAGGCTTGCTTGAGGAGCGCAAGATGAAACATGTAGCATATCTCTCTCTGTAGTGCAGGGATGGGGAACTATGGCTCTTTTATGACCTGTGGACTTCAACTCCACTTGAGTTGAAGTTCACAGGTCATAAAGGGGCCATAGTTCCCCATACCTGCTGTAGAGAATGCTATCTTCGGTGTGGGATGCTATCTTGTTGTGTAGCACATGCTCTGCTCAAACTTTGCTCCAGTTAAGTCCACATAAATCTAGTACCAGGGTCTCCAAACTTGGCAACTTTAAGACTTGTGGACTTCAACTCCCAGAATTCTGCTGGATGGTGAATTCTGGAAGTTATAGTTACAAATCTTAAAGTTGCTAAGTTTGAAACCGCTGACCTAGTACATGGCAGCCTATAGCTAAGGTAGGTTCTCAGCACTTGAGGACATGAGGGAGAAAATTTCAGAATAGGTCTATAAATCTTACCTTTCACTGCGATAATCTCAATTGGAAAAGTCAATCACAAACGTTTCCTAAAGAAAACAAATTTCTCTAGTCCACAGAGAAACTCTTGACATAAATGGGATTTGTACTACTTCCTGTTTTATCCTCACATGGCAATTGAAAGGTAGGTGAGAAGTGATGATCCCATCTAACTAACTGAACATCATAACTAAATATAGATTTGGGTATATATCTCTCCTGATTTTCTTAGCAAATTTGTTGTGTTCCTACAATTGTGTGAATAATTTCTTCAAGCAGGAAGTTTGTTGAAAATCAGCTTTAGTATTTCAGCATTTCCCCATAGTTATTTCACAGTTGTCATACCATAGTATTTTAGTGAATGAAGGAAAAAGTTTGGCAAGTATTGCTGTACTGTATTAAGAAAACTCCATACACAAGTTTACTTGAAATATGTACTTTCATTCATTTATTTTCTCCAGCAGTTAGTACACTAAAAATAAAGTACCATATGCAATTTTCATACTACACAATAATTCTAAAGAATTCTAAAGAATTACCAATTTTTGAGATACATAGAGTCAAACAAACCCTTAAGTTAACTAAGAATTGATAATTCATTTCAAAACCCATAGATTATTATCCATCCAGATACATTCATCTATTAAATCATATTCTATTAAAAAGTCAGAACAAATTGGAGTGTCACTATATAATTTGAAGAAAGTTTCACAGGTGAAGAACTGTTTCCCCTCCCCCCCCCATGGTGTACAATTCAATCTATGATAGTTAAAAAGAAGGCAACTTTGCATGATTTTGGGACCAATTTATTGTATAAGCCCGTGATGGCGAACCTGTGGCACGCGGAATAATAATTCCTACTGATGTCTTAGGCCGCATCCAAGGAGGTGTATCCTACACATTTGGAGAAGATAGCAACGAAGCTGCATCTTCCAGCATGAGAGAGGGAGAAAAGTTTCTTTTAAGAAAACCTCTGCCAATTTTTAATAATTTTTTTAAAGAAAGTAAATTTTACTTTTTTTACTAGGTGTAAAAAAAAAATATGTGGCCAATTTAATTAGGGGACAATTTTAAACTAACCAATTCACCAATTGTACCTTTCAGTCTCTGACTTCTTTTTTTACGTAACTGTGCATATATCAAATAAAGGGATTTTAAAAATAAAAAAATAAGAGAATAACAAAACAGTCCATCAAATGTAACTGATAATTAAGAGATAAACAAATAAGCAACAGGAAGTACTTCCTAGAACAACACATTTTGTTTACTTAGAATTTTTTTTCACAAGTTATTGCAAGCATGTGGGAGTTTAAATAAGTACTGTGCTAGGAAACTACTTCCTTATGCCAAAATTATTTAGAAATGCTACTTCCGTATTCATCAATACTTATTCATCACAATGAATAAGAAACTACATGGAAAAGAAACTACAAACTAACGATGTCAACAAAATATAAAGAAAACCTTTACAAAATGTTCTACAGATGGCATTTGCCACCAGCAAGAATGGCAAAGATGTTCCAAAACATATCGCCAGAGTGCTGGAAATGTAAACAAATACCGGGTTCCTATTACCATATGTGGTGGACCTGTCCAATGGCGAAAAAATATTGGTTAAAGATAAGGTGATTTGAAGAAATGACAACACAATAAATAGATCTAAAACCAGAATTGTTCTTACTTGGTATATTACTGGGAAAATACAATAAAAGAATTATATATTTAATATTATATGTGATAATGGTGAGAATTATGTACGCACAAAATTGGAAAAATGAAAATATGAAAATGTAATAATGAAAATGAAAATGAAAAGATGAAAATGTAATAAAGAAAATATTAGACTATGCCGAAATGGATAGATTAACAATGAAAATTAAGGATAAAGAGGAAACAGAATACTATTTAACTTGGGACCTATTTTATAAATGGTTAAAAATAGAAGCAGAAGTTAGTAATTTATAATTAAGGATGATTAATAAAATAAATGCAAATGCAAATAAAAGTAAATATATATATAATCAAAAATACCATAAGCAATATTATTACTGGATTATATTTGATTGTAGATTAAATTTTATAGGGCGATTAGAAGGGAAGATTATATTGTAAGTATTATGAGAATAACGGTTATAATTATGGGGTATATAAAATTATGTGTATTCAAGAGATTTGATACAGATAGCACACTGCCAAATGGAAATGTTATGTATAACAAAGGAAAATATATAATAATAATAATAATAATTTAAAAAGGCATTCAATAATTGAAGAACAGACACTTAACAACCTTACTTCAGGATACATTGGGGGGAGGGGAGTTGGTATTTGTATCCAGAGCAAATATAAACAATCCAAATCCTCAAAATTTGAGGATTTTTAACGTAAAGACTGTTAACAACACACCTACATTTCAAATGTCATTCTCCATAAAAACTTCTACCCCAATTTAACATAGCTTCAATAAATAATGGAACTCTAGTGGCAGATTTGTTATCTAAAGCTTGTTCTTCTTATCACCAATAATTTATTTTCCTTCAGAGCACATAAAAAGGATTCCTGAAGTTTCCTTCCAAATATTTTCAAAATCCAGATCTGTCTCAAAGTAAATTTAAATATATGTCTTCAGGAGAATCCCTTTCCTTTAAAATTTATTTATTTATTTATTTATTTATTTATTTATTTATTTATTTATTTATTTATTTATTTATTTATTTTTTATTTATTTATTTATTTATTTATTTATTAGTTCAATTTTATATGCCGCCCTTCTCCGGAGACTCAGGGCAGCTTTCAATGCTTTAAGCAATAGCCTTCATACTTTTGTATATACCTGCTTAGTAGGGCTTTTTGGCCCCCCTAAGCGGTGTTCTATTTTATACAAAGTCAGCTTATTGCCCCCACAAACCGGGTCCTTATTTTACCTACCTCGGAAGGATGGAAGGCTGAGTCAACCTTGAGCCTGGTGAGAATTGAACTCGCAGTAATTGCAGGCAGTTGGCAGCTAAGTGCTACTTTAACAGCAGTTTAAGGCTGCGCCACCAAGGCTCTTGGAAAAGTTGACTAAGAAACTGAAACACACATCTTTAAATTTTAGCCTTATGGCAACTATGTACATTATGCTCAAAAGTAATGATGAAAATTTGTAGTAGAATTAGACAAAACCCCGTAAATGTGCAAATGAAAAGGAATTTCTAGGATCACGTGGCATTTCAGATTTGAAGAGCAAAATTTCATTGGGACCTTACACAGCATGTGTTGGCCACTTATTAAAGCAGCTGCATCTTCTCCCAGGATCAGACAGTTGCCACATGATCCCAAGTGTCACCCTCTTCAAGTCCAGATCAGGTAGCAGAGCCCACAAGATTTATTGGCACTCTAATTTATTGATATAGGTATTAGTATTAAAATCCTGAAAGTTAACTGCATTTTCCTTCCCTGTCTCTCTCCGTTATACCAAAGAAAGTTTAGGCAGAACCAGATTGAGTTTCTTTCTAGTGTTCTCTTCCTGTTCCAGGCTTAAATCATGTTTTTCTAACTGCCACAGCATATCTTCTCCATGGTCCTTGCTGTGGTTTTCTACATCCAGGAAAGAAAAAGAGCTTGGTTTGTCAAGAACAAGTTTATAAGGTATGGTTTACTCAAGAAATCATCATTTAAAAATCATGGTTCAATATAATGGAAGACAGGCAGTGATAGGATAATTTTCCCCCGCAAGAGATCAGAACCTGTTTGAGTGGTGGAAATCCATAGGTTTAATTTCCCCCCACTTCTGGGCCCCATAGGTTGCCCAATGCTTCAGCACATTGGCCTTAGCAAGAAACACGAGCAGAAGAGTAAGCACATCTCCTTCAGCTGTGTGGGCTCTCGATGGTTCCTCTCCATAGAAGTACTGGTACAGATTTCCCAGATTATAGCTCAGGTTTGGCTCTCTAAGCACGTCCTTCAAAGCCTGCAGTGTGTCAAGGCATCCTGTATCTGAAGGTAGGTCAGTGCCTATTTGCAACAGTTCTTTACGCAGCAGGGGAAAGTCGAAGCGGAGACCATTGTGGGCCACTAAGCAAATGGGGTGAGCTTGCCGGTCTAAAAATCCTTTCAGGGTCTCCATCAAAGAACGGTTGATTTCCGGCTTGCAGTTCTGTTCTAGCTCTTGGTTGCTGAGCCCAGTTATAATCTGTGCACCCACAGTAAAAGGTTTCTGGGGGTTGATGCAGAGGATCAGCTTGTCTATGATGCGAGGGAGCTGTAGTTCTTTTGTCTGTGGAGAAGGCTGCAGGGAAGATTGGTGAACAGCGAAGAGGCACAGCTCCGCTATGCATGGTTGGTCCCTGGGCAACCCGGTGGACTCAATATCAAGGAAAACAAACGTTTGGTAGTAGTTCCAAGGTTCAGTCATGGCTGGCACAAAAAAGGCAAAGCGTGTTAGAATCACTGTTAGCAACAACAATTAAGTGGCTTTATCAAGCATTGCTTCATCCACCAAGAACTGTCTGGGTTGTATTCCCAAGTGCCATAAAGTGTCCCTGACTACTATCATCATCATCTGAAAAGACACGCCTTGCACTCAGATGTTCATATTAATGAATAATGCTCCACAGTCTGACACACAAAAGAGGAAAGTCATTGTTCAATTGTACAAGTGAGATTTCCCTTTAGGAACAAATCATGGTTTAATGTTGCTAATGGTCTTCCTGTAAGGTAGGAGAAACTCATATCCATATTGCATTTTGACAAAACAGTCCATGTTGCCTAGTATGACCTTAATATTCTTTGCTCTAAACCAAGATGCCCAGAATTTTGTTATTGGTTCCTGTTATTGCCTTTCGTCCAGGACTCACGGTGACGGACACACAGCACTTCCTCTATCAATTTTCCCCCATAACAACAACTCTGTGAAGTGGGTTAGACTGAGGGAGAGACACTGGCCTCAAATCACCCAGAGGGCTTTCATGCCTGAAGTCAGCCTCAAACTGGGTTCAACTCTATAACCACAAATCCAGGATGTCAATCGCTATATGACATGAATGTCTTCTCTGGACTAGAACTTGAGGTTGTTTTTAAAACTGCATACATAGCCAGATAAATGTTCTTCCTCCTCTACATTTCATAAAGCAACTGAATGTTGCTGCTTCATGATAAACCTTTCATCATGCTCTGCCTACACAAGAGTTATGAAGTGACTTGTTTTGCAGTTCTGAAAATTTTTTTTGAGTAATTTTATTTCCAAGGCTCTGCATACCAATGAGTAGGCATCTATTTTTAAAAAATTACAGAAGGAAAATGTACCAAATGGCATTACTCTACTTTGTGTTTCCTAAAGCTGAGGTGAGATTTTGAAAGTTCTGTGTGTGTTTTTTTTTTCAAACTTTGCATCATAGTTTTTGTATGTTTTTTGTAACAGGAAATCATGACACAAGTTGTGATCAAAGGGGCTTCTAAGGCCATGAAAAAGAGGTTGTAATAATTTGCAGGCCAGGTTGCAAGTTGTCTTCTCCTGTCTTGAAGATACAGGATGCACCTCAGAGTCCAAATATTCCCCTCTACAGGCATTATAGGATGAGCAGATGCAAAGAAAAATGTTAGGTTATGATTCTATATAGTGAATAACAAAAATGCTGGGGTTACAAATAAGTGGAGTGGATAAAGCTTAGGAAACAAGAAATTTATAAAATTACAGGACAGAGAAATAAATTCTCTTCCTCTCTCATATTACCAGAATTCTATTAATATACCGTAATTTAGAACACAGAACATGGAATGATAGGGCTGGAAGATCCTGTATCATTCTGGACAAATGGCTGCCCAGTCTATTCTTGAAAACAGTTTTGGAGCACTCAAAACTTCCAGAGGTGAGCTGTTCCACTAATTAATTGTTCTCACTCTAGAAGACTGGTCATTTAGGTTGACCAATGTAAGTTTCACAATCAATAGCTTACAATATGCCATTGTCAATTGCCAATGACTCAAAGAGGAAATATGAGCACTCCTTTGAATAGAAAGGCAGACAATAAATAAATAAATCTTGTTCTAAACAAGATAAAACTGGATTCTAAATGGTAAGGCAAACAATAAGTGAGAAGTCCTCAGGTTCATGTTGTACTCTTACAATTACTATAGCTAGAACATCAGTTTGTAAGAATGGTCTAGAAAAGCGTTTTCAACTCAAAAAGACTATTTCCATTATCCTGTTACTCTCCCAATCAGGGGAAATAATGTGAATTCCTTTAATGTGACATCTGCCAGCAATGCCCCTTTGGGTTCTTAAGTAGGCCAGACAGGGTAAACTCTGTGCAAAAGAATTAATGGACACAGGTTTCGCATCGACTCAAAACCAGAACCATGTTATATCAGAGCATTTAGCTCTCCTGGATCCTCCCTAGCAGACCTCATAGTGGCTAGTTTACAAAAGCGGGACTTTAACAGCACCATCAAGTGAGAAATGGTTGAATTCACATCAAAACGTTTCTAGGCAACCTTAGAAGGTCTCCACAAATACAATGAGTTTGTAACACTTCACGCTTGTTAACGGGTGAGATATTTGCAACCCCTCTCGCATATATCCTGCACCTACATAACCATCTATTTCTCCCCCTCCCCCCCAATTTATTTTTTTTTATTTCATTTGTCAAGAACACATTAGGTAATAAGTATAAACGTAGATTGGATACATAAAATAGATACAAATAGAGGAAAGATTAGGACAGGGACGGTAGGCACGCTGGTGCTCTTATGCAAGCCCCTTACAGACCTCTTAGGAATGGGGTGAGGTCAACAGTAGACAGTCTTAGGTTAAAATTTTGGGGGTTGTGGGATGAAATCACAGAGTCAGGTAGTGCATTCCAGGCATTGACCACTCTGTTGCCGAAGTCATATTTTGCAATCTACAAAAAACAAATCCCACATCACCCTCGCACTCTCTGCCATCCGATGAACTGAGCTGCAGTTCGCCAAAGCGGATGCTTTTAATACAGTGTTGTCAGTCGTAATAGGTGTCATCCGACTCCTCCTGATTTTTACCCCCACAATATCCTCCTGCAATAACTGGGGAAGAGTGTCCGATGGCTTGAGACAACAACGCCCGTCAGCGCCACTTCGGTCCTTCGCTTTTCAAACTCACGGAAAGGGGCAAAATGAAAAGGGGAAGCGTCTTTTTCCTCTCTCCTGAATAAGACAAAACATGTCCCCGGCTCACATGCTGGAAATGGACAGGAGAGAGGCGTTATATATCTCACCTCACCGCGATTCTCCAGGCGCAGAAGCAGCAAGGCTTGAACTCCCGGCTCGCTCGCTCGCTCGCTCTCTAGAGAAACCGAAAGCTGCATGCCCGGGCAAGTTCTGGACAAGCTCCTCCTGTCCAGTGGGAGGGGCGAAGGAGATGGGAAGGGCAGTCTTTCCCAGCCCAGAGTCTGATGGGAGATGTAGTCTTTTCTGCTCAATGGAAGGCGTTCTTACAATTCGGCCTCCCTTTGTCCGCCGAAAGCTTCTGGAGGGGATGCGGCTTCTCCTGTTTCCTGGCGTCAAATCGCAAGGGCCCATTTTGAGAACTAGACTGGGCTCATGGAGGATGCAACTAATACTGTAGTGTCGAAGCTCCGTTCGCAATATCTGGCTGGATTCATAGCCGGTGCCGGCAGAGGAAGGCCACGAGAAGAGAAACGTTTAGGGCTGCCTACTTACCGTATCTGGTCCATAAAATTCTGGACGATCATCAAATGACAGCAAGGAGCTAAAGGTTTCTTTGTGTCTTTGCTGCCATCGCGTGTCTTTACAGAGTGTTACGCTCAGATACTTAAAACTTCCTGATACAGATTGAAGGCCCTGAACTGTGCAAACAGGGCTTGCCTTTCCTGTGCTCCCAAGTCATCTGGTAACTCTATCAGCACTTACTTTTCTTTAGAAAGTAATATAAACTTTCCCCATGTTGTCTGGACATTCTGGGAGATACAGTCCCAACATACTGAGTTGGGGAAGATTCATTAAATTGATTAGGTGTAATGTGTGAATAAATCAATATTTGCTAGACAAGTTGCTTATATACTAACCTGATACAAGCAAAGAACAGCTGAAATATTTCAGTCACACCCAAAACCATGAGGAAAACTTCCCATTAATTATACCATACATATTATTTTAGCCCAAGATTTTACATATTACACATTTCACTTGCTCTATCACCTCCAAATTATTCTCTTCAGGCTTATCGCTTATAAGATTTGGGAAAATGCATTATAAGCTGGATAGGTCAAAATAAAACAAAATCATGCAAATCTAAATACATTTATTAAGAAATTAATCTTGCTGAGGCCAGTGAAGCTTATTCTCTTCAAGTAGATTGCAAGATTTGAACTTATTTGCTGGTAGACATAAAGGAATGTGTTATAAAGTAGAGCTGTTAGAATCAATTTCAAACAGGTCCTTCAGAGTTTAATTGAAGATAATTATATGACTGCCAGATTTATATACTGGTGCACCCCAAAGTATTGCACAACTTTCAGGATCTCCAGCACTATTGGCAATCTTGCATCAGTACAGCCCAAATTCTTTTGAATCCATCCTTATTTCATGATTTCTCATCAAGTAATTAAGAGCCTTGATGGTACAGTGGTCTAAGCACCCTGTTATTAACACAGCTGCCTGCAATTACTGCTGGTTCGAATCTCTCCAAGGCTCAAGGTTGACTCAGCTTTCCATCCTTTCTAAGGTAGGTGAAATGAGGACCCAGTTTGTGGGGGCAATAAGCTGACTTTGTATAAAATATACAAAAGTATGAAGGCTATTGCTTAACGCATTGTAAGCCGCCCTGAGTCTCCGGAGAAGGGCAGCACATAAATCGAATTTTTTTAAAAAAATGCATCAACCTAAGAAAAGCTTCCCCAAATGTTTGCATGTTGTATTAAACTGGAGGAAACTGTAAAGTTGAACACTCCCCTATTTTAGCAAGTAAGATTGAAGACATAAGTTTAAGTAATACTTAAAAAGTAAAGGTTCCCCTCGCACATATGTGCTAGTTGTTCCCGACTCTAGGGGGCGGTGCTCATCTCCGTTTCAAAGCCGAAGAGCCAGCACTGTCCAAAGGCGTCTCCATGGTCTTGTGGCCGGCATGACTAAATGGCAAAAGCGCACGGAACACTGTTACCTTCCCACCAAAGGTGGTCCCTATTTTTCTACTTGCATTTTTTACGTGCCTTAGAACTGCTACGTTGGCAGAAGCTGGGACAAGTAATGGGAGCTCACCCCGTTACCTGGCACTAGGGATTCGAACCGCTGAACTGCCGACCTTTCGATCTAGCTCAGCGTCTTAGCCACTGAGCCACTGCGTCCCCTAAGTAATGCTTACTTTAACACAAATAAACAAAATATAAACTGAGGTGTTGAACATTGACTAGGTTGGCTCATTATATTAAAACAGAATCATTTTGGATAGTGAAATGGGTGGCATATACATTTAATAAATAAAAATAAATAAATTAGCCTTCCTAAACCTTGCCCCTCTTCAATGGTGGCAGTGGCAAGCCACCATTTAGGATTAGAAGAGGAATGGGAATACTCTCCCCTTTTCATCTTGCAGGAGAAAAGTGAGTAAAAGAAGTAACTTAGATATTCAAAATCACTGCGTTTAACCCTCACACTCAAAGTATGGTATCCATCTTCATTGGAACACTGATGGGATTATCAAATGGCTCAAAAATTGCTAACTTGGCAATGACTTAACTATTTTTTCCTAGCTGAAGTAAAAACGTTAAATATTAACAGAAAAGTGATAATTTTTCTTGAACTCACATCTACCGCCCATTTAATGATTTCGCAAATAATGTTCAAAGAAGAGGAAGAGGCCAAAAGATTAAAGACAAAAGCAAAAGGCAAACCAAGACAGAGGATGGCCTCCTAGCAAGTACCCTGTTCGGCTTGATATACCCCTTCAGGGCTTTTGACAACATCAGTCATTTTACATTCTTTGTACTGCTCTCAATCTTGAGTTGCAGTTATGAGGAAATGTGGGAAATCTAAAAAGTGTAAGATCAGACCCACCCACCCAACTTTTTGAAGCAGTGCCACCTCACACAAAAATATTAGCCAGGCAGAGCCATTTGAGTAAGGAGCGGTCAACCAGAAGATAATTTGCCCCAAATCTGTTCAGATTTGGAACCAATCCTAATCGCAAATCTTGGTATTTTATAACCCTGTCCAATTCCATGTTTTCAATGTTACTGTCTCTTGGGAAAAAAATCCTCAATAAACCCAACATGGTTGTGTCCAACCACAGTAATGTCTGGTGTGCTATGAATCAAGTATCCATCAGCATGTTTAAAATCCCAGAAAGTTTCACTGTTATTTGTCTGTGATTTAATATTTCCAGAAAATGGCTGAATCATATTTTTAACATTTGTGTTAAAAAAATTTTATCAACACCCATCCAGTGGCATATACAGATAGTCCTCAACTTACAATCACAATTTGAAGCAAAATTTCTATTGCCAAGCAAGGTTATTGTTAAGTGAATTGTGCCTGATTTTACAATTTTTTTTTTGCCATGGTTAATTTAATCAATGTAGTTGTGATTCATGTGGTTTTTAAGTGAATCTGGCTTCCTCCACTGACCTTGCTTGTTGGAAGCCACCAGGAAGATTGCAAATGGCAATTCAAATGACGTATATTTACAATGATTGCAGGACACTGCAATCATTTTAAATACATGCCAATTGTCAAGCACCTAAATTTTGTTCACTTGACTGTGGTGGGCTGCTGTGATGGTTGTAAATACAAGAATCAGTTGTAAGGCTTTTTTATCAGTGTTTTAACTTTGAACAGTTGCTAAACAATTGGTTGTAAGGTCTATCTGTAACTCTGGGTGGCTAACAACAACAATAAAAACACAAGCAATAAAAGCCACATAAAAATAAATGCCTCAATCATGCCTTTTAATCAGTCTGTATGATTGGGCTGCATTATTTCAGGTCAGTTATATTATTATGATTGGTCACATGGTCAGCCAGATGTAAGACTTGATTTGGCATTTTTGTCCACCTTTTGAGTCCTTCCCAAGAACCTGGGATATGATGTTGTTTAATAATAGAAAGGTACTGTAGCAGGATGTAAGGTGTTCCAAATAAAGTTACATTTTGTAATTGACTATTGGTAATTTTCTCAATGCTGATTGTATACAACTGCTGCTCCAGATCTTTTAAAATTGCACCCAAAGCACTTATTATTGTCTATTGAAATGGACATATAATATTAGAACCATCATTAAAATGGCACAACAAAGAATGTTCTTCCTGTGTCAACTCAGAAACCTCAGACTGCCCCAGGAGCTGTTGATACAGTTCTACAGAGGAATTCTTGAGTCTGCCATTTCTATTTCTGTAACTGTCTGGTTTGGTACAGCAACCAAACAGGATAGGTACAGACTTCAACAGATAGTTAGGACTGCAGAAAAAACAATTGCAACCAGCCTGTCTTCCATTGAGGACCTGTATACTATACTGCACAAGCCAGAAAGAGGGCTGAAAAATATATACAAACCGCTCACATCCTGGACATAAACTGTTTCAACTCCTCCCCTCGGGGCGCCACTGCAGGAATTTGCATGTCAAAACAACTAGACACAAAGACGTTTTTTCTCCTCATGCCATCCCTCTACTAAATACCTACCAGTAATTCCCACAGCACTGCCTTATGCCTAAGGATATTTACCCATGTAGCAGGGCTGCATTACTATACCTTATCTTTCGTATTACCTTCTATTGGTATTTTACGATTACCGGTATTACTTTGTTGTTTGTATGTACACTGAGAGCTTATGCACCGGAGACAAAATATTTGTGTGTCCAGTCATACTTGGCCAATAAAATAATGTTCTATTACAATCGGCGCTGTCCTTGCTCTCTTTTGCCACCGACGTTCTACTTCTATTATGGATGGCCAGACAGTTAGCCAGATGTTTAGACGACTGGATTTGGCATTTGTATCCACTTATGGAGTCCTTCCCAAGGATCTGGAATAGGCAGAGCTGGATCTCTGGCGGTGTTAATTATTATTACCATCATTACATCCGAGGGATTCCGCCTCGCCTATAACGTCCCCTTCCTCCGTTTCCTGAGCCTGGAAGGCGGCAAACGCGCGTCGTTAATTTGCGCTACCAGTGCCAAGAAGTGAAAAGATCTGAAACGCAAAAGGCCGGTAACGAGAGCCAGCGAGAAAAGGAAACCCGCCCCGAACCCGCCCGGCAGCTACAGAGGAGGAGGAGGAGGGTGTGCGCGGCGCTGAGATCCAGAGCCTGTCGGGCCCTCCCTCCCCGCGCAGCCTGACTCACTTCCCTTACGGTGCCCAGCCCAGTGCGCCCGGAATAGCAGGTAGGAACGAGCCCCCGCTGCCCTCTGTGCCCCCACCCTGCCTTCTTCCCGCGGAGGGGCTTCCCTGCTCCTTTTCCTTGCAGCCTGGCCGCTAGGAGAACTTCTGCCCGGCCCCACCCGGCCCTCTTTAAAGCTTTCTTTTCGGTTGCAAAGCCAGCTTCGTTTCCCCTCTGAAGCTGGACTGGAGAAAGGGCTCCGTCGCTTTTTTTTTTTCCTCCCTTTCCCTTCGCCAACTGGATGTATCGTGGCGGGGAGTAGAGAGAATCGTCTGATCCGCGTATTACGAAAGAAGGTTGGGCCGTAGGATCAGGGCATGGAAGGCATCGCCCACGCCGAGCCTGCCCGGGGCAGCAACTGCACGTCTCTCGTTTAGTAGAGGGCGGGCCCCGATGAAGGATTTGAAGGGGGATTAAGGACCGACCGGGCGACAGGATAACCTTCTGCCTCCTCCGTTTGGCCCTTTTAGACGTGTCTCCCGCCGCTTTGGCCCTCCGTCGGCAAGGCAGAGCCGAGCCCGGAGCGCCCCGGGCTTTTGAAAGTTGGCAGCTGTCAAGCTTTGACTCTTCCGCCCGTCCCTCTGACCCTCGCGCATTTGCTGTACCATCAGAGGATGGGGTAGTGTTGGAGGGTCTGGAGCTCGACCAAACTGCTTTCCTTGCAAGAGGACTGCAGGTAGTGGCTGATGGGATAGGTTTTCGGGTTCCTTAGCTGACCCTGAAGTATGCTTTGGGCGGGGTTACTTTCTTCCCGCTGCTAAATTTACTCAGGAGCTCAGTTTACACGCTGGCTTGACTTTTCCTTCTTTTCCCGCGTGAATCTGCTTCTTCCATTCAACGCGATCTAGACTTCAGTTCACCCCGTTTATAGTTGGAAAGAAAGCATAATCAAGGGCTTGTTTCTGTGCAGCTTAATTCAGGCATGCAAGCTGCTGATTGGTAAAGCCCCCCCCTCCCCCCTGCGTTATAAATAACTCAAAGCAGTGAGCATATCTAATGCTCTTTTTCCCCACAACAGCAACCTCGTGAGACAAGTTCGGCTGAGAGAGACTAACTGGCCCAAAGTCATCCAGCCAGATTTCTAGACTTGTGTCATAACCACTAGACCAAACTGACTCTCTTGGTTATCTCTCCCTTGTCCCTATTTAACTGTTCCCAAATTAAAAAGGAACACAGGACTTCTACTGTTGGTTATTACACACTGAAACTCCTAATTAGCACAATGTTTCTCTGTGATCATTTGCTTACCTAAATTATTTTTTAAAATGTTATTTAATCTTAGGCATAGGAAGCATGCAACTGTAATAATAGGTTTCATTGTTATGAAATAAATGTGTTCCAAAGCCCTATCTATCCCAAATTGTTAGGCGAAAAAAGAATTACAGTATTCCGTCTGCATTTTGATTTTTTGGGGGGAGGGGGAATTCAAGGGAAAGCCAAGGCACACCCAGGCATCTGAGACAAAACAAATTTGCAAACTACGTCTAATAGTGATTCAGGCCCCAGCTCTGAATGTTTTTCCATTTCTTCTTCATAAGATAGAACCTGAATTTTGAAAACAGAATTTCAGACAAATCTAATAAGTACAATAATTACTTGAAGTTTTGCTTTTTGTCTTGTTGGTTTTTTTCAGTTATGTTGGGTTTTAGGAGAATTTGAATTGGACAAAGACCCAGAATAAGAAGTGATTGAATATGTTGATGTAATTTACAGCTGTTCGACATACCATGATAAAAACAATGCATAACTTTGTACAACATGTGGATTCTAATCAGACACAATCCCTTGTAATACCTATCTAGAATGCATGAATTCCATTTGGGGCTTGTACTGATTAAATAAGCTCTGAAGATTTTGCGGGGAATTTGTTTAAATGGCCTCTTGTGACTGAAAAGAAATTTTTCTGTATTCATGCTCAGGCAAAGAATATGGTGAAAAATTTAAGGAGTGGCTTATAATTCTTTTGTCTGACACCCTCCCCCCAGGTTCTTTTGTCAAAGTTATAATCTCGCAAAAATGCAAAAAGCTTGTTGCTTTTTAAAGATTTATGAAGGCCTATATGTTTATGTACTAGATCAATGGTTCTCAACCTGTGGGTCAGGACCCCTTTGGGGGACGAACAACCCTTTTACAGGGGTCGCCTAAGACCATTAGAAAACACATATTTTCAATGGTTTTAGGAATAATTTTATGGTTGGGGGTCACCACAACATGAGGAACTGTATTAAAGGGTCGCGGCATTAGAAAGGTTGAGAACCACTGTACTAGATTGAATATTATTAGCTGCATTAAGAGTTATCCAAAGTTTGCAGGTATTGAAGTTGGGCAGCAATAATAAATTCAAATGAATAAAATAAATCTGTACACATAAGTGTAGAAGGAAATGATACACAAAAATGCAGACTGTAGCATTAAATAAAACCTGACTAAAATAAGTACACATGATAAAATATTTGTTGCTGACAGTAATCCTAAAGGTGCATTCATTGTAAGTTACGTGTAATGGAATAACATCTTTATCCTGATTCAGAGGGAGTCACCAAATGGGTTTCTTTGATTTTATTTTTTCATCAAGAGGAGTAGGAAGAACATAATCCTCTTTTCCCATACTCGGCAACTGTGCTTTGGGAAACTATGTGCCCCTCCTGGAGGCTTTAGCAATCCTGTGTTAGTAAATGTCTAGCACTGAATTAGATCCACCCACCACTGCCTTGCCTGGCTTAATCCAACATTGCCCAACTTTTCACAGACATGGCCAGTTTTGTAGAACTGTAAGGCAGTGGTGAAATCCAATTTTTTTTAGTACCGTTTATGTGGGCGTGGCTTGGTGGACCTGACATTGCTTGGTGGGTGTGGCTTGGTGGCATGTCAGAAGGATATTGCAAAATCTCCATTCCCACCCTACTCCAGGGGAAGGATATTGCAAAATCCCCATTCCTGGGGGAAGGATATTGCAAAATCTCCATTCCCACTCCACTCTGGGGCCAGCCAGAGGTGGCATTGCTGGTTCTCTGAACTACTCAAAATTTCCGCTACCTGTTCTCCAGAACCTGTCAGAAACTGCTGGATTTCACCCCTGCTGTAAGAGGTTGAGAACATTAGCTCTTGTTGAGGCAACATTGCCTTTACTGTTATTGCTCAGCTCCTCTTGTTATAACAGACCACATTGTCCTTAGTCCTTTCCTATTCTGGGAGATATAGTCACTTCCAAATATTGACTTCATTTATGTTGGGTTTTGCTTCCCCATCTCATTTCTTCCCTTCATATGTAACTCGTTTAGGAACAGCTTGATTACATTTTATCCCCTTCGGGAAAAAACAAAACAAAATATGTGCTTCTACTGAAATAATTCTCTGCAGAGAACCTGTAGCAATGTTGGTACTGAAGCTACTTATGCTTTTAAGATAAAGTATTTTAGTGGTTGGTGTGATCATGTGTAAGAGATCTTCATTTAGTTTTAAAAGTAGTGTTTTCTGATTGCACAATTAATTGTTATTTAGGGATATTGGCTGCAACTTATTTCTCCCCACCCTGATTCTGCATTTTCTAGGTAATACCATGGATGAATATAAAGGCATGACAGACAAGGAACTTATCGCACGATTGAAAAAATACAGCATCCCCCATGGGCCAGTTGTTGGTATGTGTTGTGACAATGTTTTTACCCAGAGCAGAAAAAATAAGTACAGGTAGTCCTCGACTTATGATCTTAATTGGGCTTGCAATTTTGGCTCTAAATTGTGATGGTTGCAAAGTGACCATGCCTGATTTTATTACCTTTTTTGTGGTGGTGATTAAGTGAACCCATTGTTTGCTATGCGGTGGGTTGTGTTGGAAAGAAGTAAAGGCCAGGTTCTGGCAAAAACTTCATAAATGGCAGTCATGTGACCACAGAGTACTACAAACAGCCATAAATGTGAGTGGCCCCAAATATCAGAACTTTGCATAACTCCCTTTTTCAGGATCCTTTGTAACTTCAAATTGTCAATAAGTGATCTGTTATAATATGAGGACTGCCTGTAAATATGCCTTGGAATTTGGAAGTGGGAAGTAGCAAGCTAAGAGAGGAAGCAAAATAAGCAAAAAAGATGAAGTTTTATAGCAAAGGTGATTTATTTTCCCCAAACTTTATGTGCAAGCCCCCTTTTCCAAAATGTAATTTTTAATGAGCTGGGTGGGAAATTTACTAAAATATTGAAGATTCGATGTAAGATTGCCCTTAATTAATTGTAGTTAATTAACATTGCATCAAGTTCTGTTATGGATTGCACCAGCAGAGGCTAAACCAATTTCATTGTATACTTGAGGTACAATGACAATAAAGGCTATTATTATTCATTTTCCTCTAATCACTTATTTTCCTCGGGATCCTTTCCCTTTTGGAGCATAGCCAGGCCCACCCTTCAGCACAGAACTGAAAGCCAAGAATACTTCTTAGTTCATAAAAATTGTGCATCTGGCTTTTACAGCAGAAGGGATAAGTGTATAAGAGAAGATTCTATTTGCCCCCTCCCTCTTGCCCTCCTCCAGTTTTTCACTAATTTCACAGTGAACTGCCTGAAGTGATGGAGCATATGGGGATAAAATTCTGCCTCTCTGCTGAGGGGAAACATGCATAAATAACAAATGTGGATACGTTCATTGAGTCTTAAGAAGAAGAAAAGTCAAAAGAGTCTTAAAATGCTTAAAGGGAGTGCTGCACACCTAACCAGGAATTGCTTTCCTGTGAAATATACAACCCATATTTATCTTGGACAAGTGTGGTTTGGGCGTGTATTCACAACAGATCAGGGGTGAAATCCAGCAGGTTCTGACAGGTTCCGGAGATCCGGTAGCGGAAATTTTGAGTAGTTCAGAGAATTGGCAAATACCACGTCTGGCTGGCCCCAGAGTCGGGTGGGAATAGGGATTTTGCAATATCCTTCCCCCAGGAGTGGGGAGGGAATGGGGATTTTACAGTATCCTTCCCCTGGAGTGGGGAGGGAATGGAGATTTTTCAGTATCCTTTCCCTGCCACGCCCACCAAGCACCAAGCCCACAGAACCGGTAGTAAAAAAATTTGGATTTCACCACTGCAACAGATTAACGTACTCTCTGAAAGATATTTAGGACAGGTTAAGCAATGAGCTTTCCTTTGGGAGTTGGCAAGACTTCGAAGCAAAATCAGTAAAGATATCTGGAAGTATTAATAGAAGAGTAGAAGGAACATATGGAGAAGGCTGAAAGGTTGTATATTGTTCTCTGCTTAGCTATAACCCAAGCCTGGTTTCTGTTTCCCAGGATCTACCCGGAAACTTTATGAAAAGAAAATCTATGAATATGAGACTGAGCGGACTCAATATCCTTCGCCTGGAGGATCTGTGTCCCACACAGGTAAGAAGAAACTGACCCAAGGGAGAAAGGCCTCCCTGCCAGGCACTAACCTCTTTTCTCACCCATACAGAGCCAGCCACCAGCCAAAGCTACGTAAAAGAGACCTTTGTGAGTCCACGGAAAAGGGAAGACTTCAGTTATGGACGAGAAGGTGAGTGAAATGAATTGCTAAGACAGGAGTAAAAGACAGACCTGGACTAAGAATCAAAAGATGTTAGTTAGAAGGATGAGCAACCCAAGAAAGAAACAAGCAAACAGGTGAAAATTAGCGGGGCAATGGCATGTGTGTTCTTGATGCTCTAAGGAAATGAACAATCCAAGTTAAATTAAAAAGGGAAAATCTCCGTTGATTTGAGATCAACATTTGGGTGACTACGTGGGTGTATATCCATGCTGTCTTCATGACAACAGTAGGGAAATAGTTTGCCATTGCTTTCCTTGGAGAATGTTTTGCAACTTTTCAGTCTAGTCTACAGCCCAGGTATGTTGTAATAATACTAAACAGACCCAACCTTTTTTAGTTTCCCAGCCTAGAAAAGGTGACCCAAGTACTGACTTCCTATTGAGGCTGGATCAAATTTAAATACCTCCTCATTCATTCTACCCTGCAGCTCTTGGCTCCACAAGAACTTACTTCAAAGAATATGTCCCAACAAGACAGGAATACTATTCTGAGTACAGAGATGAAGGTAGGTGTGAGAGGAAAGTCTTTGACTGAAGGAAGATGGATTATGGGTCGTGGACATGGGATGAGGATATTGAAAAGCTGGGAGTTTTTCATTTGGGAAGAAGATATATTTTATTGGTATTTTTATAGCAAGAGAAATGCATGCATTCTCTCACCAAAAAAATGACATAATTAATGTCAAACTATGCTCAGTCTTGTTCATATTTGGAACTCAACCCCCAAAACAAGGATTTCTATATACTGGTAAACCTGGTTTGGTTAAGCCTAAAATCACAAATAGATTGATGGGATTTTATTTTAAAATCAGAGATTGTGTGCAATCAATGCTATATTTGTCCCATAAGGTTGATTTTTGAGCTTTTGGGGGCATTTTGACATCAAGGTTAACTTTGTTGTCACTGACACTGCCAAAATTAATACCCTACATCACAAACAGGTACATTTTAAGAACATGAGGATAGATCCCTTTTGCTTTCTATGATGTTTGCCTTTTTCCAGGCAAAAGTCACTTCCACCCTATTTTCATAACAAATTGTGATTTTTTTTTAAAAAAAAATCTATATAACATATACTTAATTCAGTGCTAATTTTCATAACACCTGAACATTCATACACATTTTTGTATATATTGCCCTTAACATTTGTGTTTTTGCAAAATACTCTTTCCATGTGTTTATACCTTTTGGAATGCTATTTTTCCTTAACACATTTTATAAGCATTTTTTGGAGGGGAGATTTATACTCAGATGTACAAAAATTAAAGAACACTAAACAACATTAAAGAAGGTCTTCCACTTTCTCTATTAGTTTGGAGTTAGTCATTTGATTTGTTTGTCTTTACTTACTTACTATAACCTAATGTAATTCATACAAGTTAATATCGACAGGAATACAAACGTCTCCACAGTCCATAGATTGGCTAGATCAGGGGTCTGCAACCTTAAACACTCAAAGAGCCATTTAGACCCATTTCACACAGAAAAGAATACACCAGGAGCCACAAAACACTTCCCGTGTCTGACTATTTCTTGAGCAGCCACAAAACTAGCATATGTAGTTGAATTAAATGTTCCGTTTTCTTCTGAAACTTTTCTTTTCTTGGATTTATCCATGGTTGGCCTACCAAGGGTTGAACAGCTCAATAAATCGTGGGCTGGTGGGTGTCGCACATTGGCGGTTGTGACACATATTTTGAATGACAGGGAGCCGCAGCAGAGGGGTGAAAGAGCCACATGCGGCTCCAGAGCTGCAGGTTGCTGATCCCTGGGCTAGATGTAGAGGTCTACAATATTTTAGCAGGAATTCTGTTCTGATTCACTATTCTTTGAAATATTTATAATGTTGCTTTGGTAATTATGATGAAAGTTATCATTTATTTTTTAAAATGTCAGAATTTCTGGAATGTTGTGTTCTTATCTCAGGAATGAATTCTGCAAGGACAGGTGGTCCTTGCTTAATGACTACTTGTTCAGTGACTGTTCAAACTTAAGATGGTGCTGAACAAATGATGGTTATGACTGGTCTTTGGACTAATGATCACCATTTGTGATCTTTCCTGGCTTCCTACAAGCAAATGGAGAAGACAGCAGGGGTTAGCAAATAGTGGCCACGTAATGTCCTTGTTTAACAAGGATTACCTTTAATTGTGTTATGTCATATGCAACAGAATGCCAAACAGATCCAAAAACATTTGCAGATACTGTTTGTCCCTTTGCAACATGTTCTCAACTTAAATAGCTTAATTTGATTTTTACTATAAATACATGTACACACGTATGTTCCAGAAAGAGGAAGAGCTTTTGCTTCAAGTAATTTTTTTCCTGTGATTTCCTAGATCCCAGTCCCACGAAGTCGAATCTGAGTTATAATTACAGTTTGCCCCACTATGAAGAGCATTCTTCATATACATCAGAAGGTAGGAAGAAAAGTGCAAAATGGGCTTTGAAAATTCACAAACCCTGTAAGATTAGAATCATAACATTTGGTCAAACTGATAATTATTGAGAAATCTGGGAACAAAAAAAAAACACCCATCCAGAGAGCACCCAATCAGAGAAATCTGATCTTGCCTTTATTATTATTTTTATATTGATATATAACAAAAATTATATGCCATACCATCAGAGTCTTTGATAAACCTGTCTCTTTTATGACAGATAGGGATGTGAACACTTCTGAGCCCTCCAGATCTTCCTATCGGAGTTACTCATCTTTATTAAGCCATACTACATCTCCGGGGACGGTGAGCGCCCGCCAACCAGTAAGTTGTTCCTCACATGCTGTCAAGACCGAAGACAACACAAAGAACTCTTAGTTGTAGGAGATGACCAGGCTGAGCCCAAGGGAGGGATCATATGTGTTATAAGTCACCAGTAGATCTAAGTCCAACCTACCTTGAATGCCTTTCTTATCTCCTGCTCATTTCCCTTGACTGCTAGTTGGTCAGATTCTTGTAGATTCTGCCTGAATCTCATGATTTCCCTGGCGCATGACATTAATTGAATCCAATCTGTTACTTGCTTATACCTAATAACAGTAACAGAGTTGGAAGGGACCTTGTAGGTCATCTAGTCCAACCCCCTGCTCACGCCAGAGACCTATACTACGGATTCGAACCACCGAACTGCTGACCTTTCTGATCGACAAGCTCAGTGTCTTAACCACTGAACCCAGAATCTTGCCAAACTAATGCTATAAGCTTCTAGCCTACTAGATATAGCTTGAGAGATTCTAGGGAGTGGCTACCTTGAGCCTCTTCCCCCTCCAGCTTGGGCTGCACAGTCTCCCCAAGGTACACATCCCATCACACATCTCTAGACAGAATAAGAAAGCTATCCAGGTGGGGTTAACATCCGAAACAATCAAGGAAAGATTCCTCCTTACAACTCTGTATAGATGGTCTTCGACTTACGACCACAGTTGGGACTAGCCCCTCTATTGCTGAGCAAGGAAGTTGTTAAGTGAGTCACACCCAATTTTACAAACATTTTCGCTACCGTTGTTAAGCAAATTACTGCAGTTAAGTGAATCATGTGATCGTTAAGCAAATCCAGTTTCCCCCATTGGTTTTGGTATTTAGAAGCCAGCTGGGAAAGCCACACATGACGAGCACGTGACCTCGGGCTGTTGCAACTGTTGCTAATAAAACTGGGTTGCCAAGCAGCCAAATTTTGATCATGTGACCAGGGAGGATGCTGCAATGGTCATAAGTGAGAGGACCGGTCATAAGTCACTATTTTCAGTACTGTTGTAATTTCACATGGTTGCTAAACAAATAGTTGTAAGTGAAGGGCTATCTGTATACTCACTACTACCCATGTTTTCTTTCAGATTGCAGAGCCATATCCCTACTCTTCCAGTGAGAAGGATACGTCAGCTGAGAAGTACCGGTAAGTAGGGTCAGTGCAGAGGCATCAGTAAGAAAAAATATTCCCAGGAACGTCTCGTGGAATGGATTATTTGCTTTGTGGTTAGATGCCTTTCTGTGGTTCCTTCGGAAAATGCATGATTTGATGACCTTGAAGGTAGCAGGTGATGTTAAGTCCAGATAGAGCTACCTCAAAGAGTTGCCTAAAGAAGTTCTGTGCCCACGTACTCCTGTGCACCAAAATAATTTGTAAACTTTGAGTTGGAAATGCTGCACAGCCTTATCTATAATGGGGAATCCTCTCAGTGTTGCCAAATATTTCTGATTCTAAAGAAAAGTTGATGTTAAAGCTCCCATCAGCTGAGATGGTTTTCCCCAGTTTGGTTCCATCTTGATATATCAGGGCTACCATTCTCAGAATAGCTGCCAGCTGTCAGTGTTAGAAGTTGCAGTCCGAGCACATTTTGACAGAACCAGTCCAATAAAGGCTATTATGCTAAAGTAAGCCTTCTATCTCAGGCAGTGAGTTTTGAGCATTGTCAGGATTTTTATTTTTTGGATTTTTATTAAAGTTTATTATAAGATACAAAGAGAAACAAAAATTGAGGAACCTTAAAGAGACAAGCGCAGAAAGAGGTAAAAAAGGAAAAAATAGTGTGTTCTGATTTTTTTTTCAGTATAGTAGCATACAAAACAAAAATAAAGGTAGTCCTCAATTTATAACCACAATTGATCCCCAAATTTATGTTGTTAAGTGAGACGTTTGTTAAGTGAGTTTTGTCCTATTTTATGACCTTTCTTGCCTCAGTTGTTAAGTGAATCATTGCAGTTGATAAATTATCTGGCTTCCCTATTCAGTTTATTTGACAGGAGGTTGCAAAAGTTGATCACATGACTTTGAGACACAGCAATGGTCATAAATATGAATCAGTTGCCAAGCGTCTGAATTTTGATCACATGATCATGGCAGAGGCTGCAAAGATCGTAACCATGAAAAACGGTCATAAGTCACTTTTTTTCAGTGCCATTGTAACTTTGAACAGTCACTAAATGAACTGTTGTAAGTCAAGGACTACTTGTATACTCAGTCTTTTGCTTTACATTTTAAAATGTTTGAAGCCATTTCTATAACAACAAAGTCATTCTGATCATCAAAACCTAAAACTAAAGTTTCATTTTTTTCCAGTTTTGGTTCAAAAACCAGAAACGGTTTCTAAATGAAAACACCAGTTAGATAAATTCTCTTTAATTCACACAATCAATTTTGCCATCTCCACACAATCAATTTTGCCAACTCCATCATCTTTATCATCCATTGTGGGAATTAGTCTGTCTTTCTATCCTTGTGCATCTAAGATTCTTGCTGTTGTCAACATATATAGTAGCACCAGAATTATCAGCATTAGTGCAATTATCAAAATGAGAATCTTTTGCAATCTTCGTGAAAAATGTGAAAGGCAAGGTAGCATCAACATGGAGATCAGGTGAAAGTAAGAGAAATTTCGTATCATGCCAGATAGAAAATCTAATCTAGGAGGCCTTAAATCGCAGTGCCTTCAGTTGATAAGGTTCTTCTGCACAGCACTCACTGAGATGAACTGCATCCCTGCATTTCATTTCCATGGAGTTTTATCTTGTCAGCAATGGTTTACTTCGTGTTAATTAAGGTGAAAAGACAAAGCGTTTGTTTTTGTCTTTTGATAGTCATCCAAATGTTTTAGATTTTCTCAATATAACAACAAATTACTAGTTAGTCTTTAGCATGAAACAGTTTGCTCATTCTCTTTCTCTCTTTAACCTAATTTCCCAGCATCACTGGAAGGCTTTATTTTAGGAAAACAAATTTTTGGCTCTGTGTAGTCATTATTAAGGAACCTCAAAAGAGAGAAATATTCCCTGGATTTAGGGAAAGTCAAAGGATTTGACTTTGCAGACTCTGTTTACTTGGAATTTAAAATGGTTGCCTATCACCACCAAAGCAGTGGGGGGAAATCTTAACATGCATTCTCAGTAAATCCAAGACTACCCTCTTATTTTAAAAATACATTTATTGGACAAAAGGGCTTCTTACTCCATTTGGAAAAGTATTTTGCATTTTGGGAGTGTGTCATGGGAGCTCTCAGTAGTGATTGCCATGGAAAGAGTAAATAGGAGGAGGTTATTTACAGAAGCAATATGAGTAACAGTGTAGTGATAATAACAATATAACAGAGTTCAAGGGACCTTGAAGATCTTCTAGTCCAACCCCCTGCTCAAGCAGGAGACCTTATACCAGTGATGGCTAACCTTTTTGCCATCGCGTGCCAGGAGGGGGGGTGGGGGAGGTTCGCACATGCCCACACCCATAATTCTATTCGCCCCGCCCTGCGCATGCGTGCACAACCCCCCCTCCCGCCTGCTCCTGGCATGCGTTGGCCAGGTAGGCTCGTTTTTCTTTTTCACCTGACTCCAGATCCTCTCTATGCATCTGGGGAGGGCGAAAACAGCTTTCCCCACTCCCTCGGAGGCTCTCCGGAGGCCTGAAACGGCCCATTTCCCAACTCCCAGTGGGACAGGAAGTGACTTTTTTGCTGTCCCCAGCCTCCAGAGCCTCTCTAGGAGTCTGTTAAACAGCCTGTTTCCCTACTTCTGGTGGGCCCAGAAGGCCCGAAAATCAGCTGGCCGGCGCGCACATGCGCACCAGAGCTGAGCTGGGGTGCCCACTGATATGGCTACATGTGCCACTTGTGCACGTGTGCCATAGGTTCACCATCATGGCCCTATACAATTTGAGACAAGTGGCTGTCCAGTCTCTTCTTAAAAACCTCAGTGATGGAGCACCCACAGTTTCTGGAGGCAGGCTGTTCCACTGGTTGATTGCTCTCACTTGTCAGGAAATTTCCCCTTGTTGCCACAATACCACATACAGGTAGTCATCAATTTAAAGCCACAATTGAGCCCAACATTTCTGTTGTTAAGTGAAACATTCGTTAAGTGAGTTTTGCTCCATTTTACGACTTTTCTTGCCATAGTTGTTAAGTGAATCACTGCAGTTGATAAGTTAGTAACCTGGTTGTTAAATGAACTTTGCTTGTGAGAAAGTCGCAAAAGGGGATCACATGACCCTGGGACACTGCAACCATCACAAATATGAATCCATTGCCAAGCATTTGAATTTTGGTCACATGATCATAGGAATGCTGCAAAGGTCGTAACTGTGAAAAATGGCCATATGTCACATTTTTCAGTGCCATTGTGACTTTGAACAGTCACTAAATGAACTGTTGTAAGTCAAGGACTACTGTTGTGGCCCGCCAGCGGCCTGCGCAGATTGTTGCTGATCCCGACGATGAGGAGACTGATGTGGTGCTGCGCCAGCAGCCTGTGCAGCCATCGCTTGAGTCGGACAGCGAGGAGGCTGAAGAAGATGTGGTGCCAGAGGCAGGGATTCAGTCAGGGCCTTCAGAACCTCCAGAGGCTCCTTTAAGTGAAGAGGATGAAGAGGAGGAGCCTCTTCTCAATGCACAGGCACACAGAGCTGCCAAAAGGCAGGAGTGGTTCCTCAGGAGGAGGTCTCCTCGAGAGTAAGGCTTGGAGCTAATTGGCCACGCCCTTAGCCTATTTAAGAAAGAACACAGCTTGTAACAAGCTGCAGGAAACAACTTTAGTTCACTAATCATTGCGTTGGGATTTCTCTGCAACCTTGCTTCTGGGCTTTCTGCAAACTCCAGTAAGACTCTGACTATCTTATCTGTGGAATTCTGGCAGGCTGTTAAGAACGCTTATTAACAGCCAGCATTTGCTAAAACTGCATTATTTGAGTAAACTAAGTTTTGTTCAGAGTTTGTGTGTGCTGTGTTCTTTGGGATCCGTAGCTGGGGCAGAACAACTACCTGTAGTGCCACATTGCCACAGTGGGCAGGGCCAATCACAGGACACCCATTTTCCAGAAGGCAAAAGGAGTGAAGGTGTTCTCTGACACTTCCTCTAACGATCCAGAGTGCTCTCTATCCCTGTTGATCTTTCTCTGACCTGGGGAGCTGCATTTGGGGACGAAGCAATGGACCACAGCTATCTTTCTGATTGCCAAGAATGCCTATGGGATTCCCAAGGGATTCTTGTAAATCAAAAAGAAAATGTCACTTTTTCCTTGCTTAACATTGTGAATATTCAGAAATAATTAAAGCTATGTGGAGGCAAGTGGGTACCCAGGTGTATGTAAGTAGGCAAATTGATCCCCATGGGAATGCAATGAATTCCTATCTCTGAGATGAGAGCAGAAGAGGCTGAATGCCCTGCTGTATTGGTATGTGGGAATGACCTTGGGAGACAGGAGGAAAAACTGCAGCCTAGACATAATTCGATAAAATTTGAGCTTGAAGTAGGAGGGATGGTGACAGTATCTCAGAAGGAACCCTCCTTCTCCTTTTCAGGAGAGAAAAAGTAAGGAATGGGAGTACTTTCAGACTTGAAAGATGTTAATATAACCTTACAATAAATGTAGAGTTGGTACTCCTGGTGTGCTTCTTGTCTGGCTAACCTGAAAGGCTGACATCAATCTTCTGAGATTCTTTTGCCCCCTCTCCTCCATTAGGCTCAAATGTCATTTGAGGCTGCAGCTCTTCCTTCTGCCTCCCAAGGTCATTCCCACATACCAGTCATTATACCTTCCTATAACAATTCTTGTGGATGAGAGTATTTTCCAGTAAAAGAAAGCAAGCAAATATTGTCATTTTTAGCAGCAGACTTAAATATGAGCAATATGAGCAAGCCTATATTAGGACTATTAAACGTCTAGAGTTGACTGCGTATTTATATTATGATAGCGATTTCTTAGGGCTTCTGCCAGAAAATTATATTACAGTGAAAAAGAATTCATAATGTGGACTGCATTAAAGAGATTCTCCAAGAGCTTAATAAAATTTATGTAGGACATCTCTTCATACCTTAAGAACCAAGTTTTAACATAGATTGTATCAGGGAGATTTAACTGGCCACGGGGCCAAGAAGGATTGGACATGCCTTGAGCTCTAGTTAAAGAAGATGCTGGCATGTGCACTTACATTTCTGTTTTGGGTTTATGTTTGCAGAGACAGCAGTTCCTACCAGAGCGTTTTCCAACGAAAATCATCTGGCTTGTCTTCGCTGCAGGTGCAGCCCCGCCGTGCCATACATCCAGAACGCCAGGCCCAGGTGGCGGAGAAGGCTGTGGGGAGCAGTGGAGAAACCAAGCGATACCTCCCCCTCTGGCTCCAGCTCCTGGTGTTTGGGCTGCTGGCTGCCTTCCTGGCCTTCATCTACTTCTTACAGGGAGGGGCTGATGATAACCCCTTTGTCAAGTACATTAGTCAGTAAAGTCTTGGCTTTTATTACTAAGATGGCTCCCCAAGAGCCTAGGCCAGTCTTAGCTGACCTGGTTCCCTTCAGATTGGTTGGGGCTGTAATTTCCAGAAATCACAGCCCATTGGCTGACATGCTGTGATTTGCAGTCCTAACCCAGCCAGAAGGCACCAAAATGGCCAGGTGTGGCCTAGAATTTTGTGTGGGTTTTTTTTTGGGGGGGGGGGGAATGCTTTTTTGACAGTAAGTGCCTTCTTGTCAGTTAATAGAAAAAAAAGGAAGTGGTATATTGAGGGCCAGGGATGGAAAGGTTTCTACCAACTTTCCAGAGATAAAGCTGCTCTCCATACTTGGGGGCATCCCCTTCCTGAAACCAGCTAACATGGGGCATTTTTATCTGCTGATTTTATAAGCTCGTCTTTATATCAAGAGAATGGGTGGCTTCTTATGAGGGGGTGGGCGGGCATGGAGGGAAGAAATGTAGCCTTTCAACTACTTTGTTTTAAATATACAAATGTATGGAATATCTAAATAAACCTTCCCATTTTTTAAGGTTGTCTTATTTCATTATTTTACCTCAGTCTAGATAATCACCATTTCTATGTAGACATTGCTCACCCTCCCATAATTCCAAATATTTTTAAGGTCAAATAGCTGAAGGGTTTCTCCATAGTTTATATCATTTTTATTTGGCCAGTCATGTAAATAAAGACGATATTAAACCAGAAGTTTTTTTTAATGTGTATGTTTTTTTTTTTAATTCTTTCATAGACCACAAAAAAAAAAAAAAAAAGAAATGGAATTCACACACTTGACCAACCTTTTTCCTTTCTATTTTCACAAATGGGAGTGGAGACAAAGTTCACATCCTTCTGAGATTCCCTCCCCAAATCTGGAAGAACAGGAGGAAGGAGTTGCATTCCCATGTGATGCTACACCAAGTTTATAAACCAAGCTTGTTGAATAAGCCCCTCACCTCAACATGAACACATTGCAGCTTGGTGTTATGTGTTTAACCACCTGATGAAGCATTCGTGGTAGAAGGGGCATGTGTGGGAGGCAGTCATGTATTATTGGCAAGGGAATGTTTTGATGGGACTGAGGGAAGACTAGAGGCCTTGAGGGAACTCAGAGGATGTGAAGCTGCAGCCTGTAGGGCTACAGGAGGGTGCTTGACTGGGAACTGAGAGGGCTTCCTGTTGGGGTGATGAAGGCGTGGGAAAGGAACAGATATCAAGGAAGGGGATGCATGCTGGGGAGAGGGATCCCGTTGCTGTGTACTTCGTAATTTCTCCCGGACCTTTACGAACTCTGGTTGGCTCCCACCGGGATCTCCTGTTGCTTCCTGCTGTTGATGCTGCAGATAAGAAAGAATACTATCAGATATCCTTGAAAGGTCCACCTGCAAGGCATTTCCTGTCGCTGCCTATAAGAACTGTAGTAGAGAGACCATCCTGGTGGCTTGGCCCTTACCTGTTCCCGTCTCTGCTGCCAGCGCAGAAGCTCCTGCTCAAGAGGGGATGGTTTCAAGCCACTCTCTGTCCCATCCCGGCGCCGGTTCCGATGCTCTAGAACCTGGAGCAGCTCTGGCTTTGATCGAAGGCTCAGGCCTCTGAGAAGGGAAATTGACACAATACGGGGATTTCATTCATCCTAACCTGCACAGATAAATGGTTGTGACAAGCATCCACCTTCACTGAGCCCATCAACAAGATAATATATACATGAAATCAGGAAAACCCGCATAAAAGCAGACAACGGTTGTTTCCTTTTAACAATAAACATCCTCAGTCAGGCTGTTTGCCTACTAATGTAACACTTTAGACTGGGAACTGTGCAGAAAAGTGCTATAGCAACCAGAACAAAGAGAAGAAAATTGTGTGTGAGTGTGTGTGTGTACTGTACATACTGTATAAAGCTTCAATAAAGGATTCCCATATTTCAGCATAATCACTCCATATATTGTCTAAGTCGGTGAACAACTCATTCAGAATTCTCAAAATCATCAGATGTAAAGAATGATTGGCAATAAGGTCATATTTAAAAAATACATAATTATCTCTCACAAAACAATGATTCACAAGGTTTTTTTGGTGGGAGCTGAAAACCATTGTCCATCTAAGCTGAAGCTGAGCATGCTAAGAAAACAAGAAATGTTCCTAGATGTATCAACAAACATTGGGTTTGGTTTTATATCAATTTATGGTTCCAGCCCTTTAAAAATACACAAAGTGGATATGTAGATAATGTTAATTTTATAACTTAACAGTAAATAGATCTGGTACTGAAACTGGTGGAATAACATAAATTTCCCTTCCTACTATGTATATTCCATTTTTCTTTAAGACAAGAAACAATAATTATTGTCTGGCTTCCTGAGTCCAAAATGCTTTAAACCTGCTATGGATTGTGAGGAAATTTGCTGTGTATTTTGGCGTTCTTACAAATTGGACTGCAATTGGTACGTGTACATTTAATGTTTGAGTAAAGCTACCATTCAAAGACCAAGATTTATTTCTGAATAAACAGAGCCGAGGTCTGAAGTGCCTTAAAGGTATTCAAGAACTGGTCATCTTACATGGATTTTTTTCCTTCAATCACATGCACTCAAATCTCACCTTGTTGTCGCTAAAATTGCAAACCTATCAACCTATCTTCAGGTATCTAAGCCACTCATTTGCAACATGATGTCAACTCCCTTGAATTGTCCTGATGGTTCCTTAGATTTGTCCAATTTCTTAAAAACAAGAAGCAAGTGGCATTCTGTTGCCTTCATCCAGAATGAGTTTTCGACTAACTTAATCTAGCCTACAGTGGAGTCTCCAACTTTGATGCTGGCTTCAGAATTTTCAGAGTTGATAGCTTACTGCTCCATCCATTACCTACCACCACCAGTCTACCTCCATTGCCAGCCTCCTTTTGGGTTTGTAAGAGTGTCTACCTGATACTCTAGAGCAGGGGTCTCCAACCTTGGCAACTTTAAGCCTGGCGGAATTAACTCCCAGAAGTCAGCAAAGCTGGCTGTGGAATTCTGGGAGTTGAAGTCCGCCAGGCTTAAAGTTGCCAAGATTGGAGACCCCTGCTCTAGAATGATACCACCACCAAGTGGATGAATTAACTTGTAAATAAAAGGACACCCCAAAGGCGATTTTCCAAAGACAACTGGACGACTTTTTCTTCACAAACTGAAGAAGATTCTTGGATGAGAAGTGAAATGTTTTCAGAGAAAAAAACTGAGGAGGTCCAATTGTCTTTGGAAAAGCACCTTTGGGACAACAATTACCTGGTTGGTTGACAATCTCCACAGAAAAAAAAAAAGACAGCTCCTTGTCTTTTTTTTTCTCCTTATAGCATTAACAAGCAGGCAGAGCTGATGAAAGTCTGTGGTTGCAGATGGTTCCTGCTGCCTCTACTAAACAAGTCCACTGATGGTCAACAAAGGAAGAGAAAAAGGGAGCAGGAGGATAGAGAGGCCTGTTATTTACACCAAATGGGGTTTATGAGGGTGGGAAGAAAACAAAATGCCCTACCACCATTGCTTTACATTTTAGCTCTTGTTTATCTACTGCTGGGTTCAGTGACTGAACAAGGTTGAAGCAAAATAACGGAGAAATAATATGTTATTCTGCCTTAAGAGGGAAGGGATATATAAGAATTTGGCTGTGTTTGTCTCCCTCCCTCAACAGAGAAGTAGCAGAACAGACATCCATGTAAAAGTGTCCTTTCTATTTAGACCTCAAGAAATAGGCCAGCAAAGGAGGCTTGAAAAACCTGCTGTTGATCGGAGGCCAGCAAAGGAAAGAAAGGTGACTCCCGCTGTGTCTCATGGGCTGGGAATGTGAGTCAAGTTACAATTCATGTAATCCTATGCACGTCCAGTCAGAAGTAAGTCCAGACTGTGTTGGGGTGTGTGTGTCTTACTCCCAGGGTGGAGGTTATAGGGTTGGCACTGGGAGGATCTTGTGGGTAGAAAGGGCACTATTTGGCCTATATGGGCATCCTGAATATGAAGTTAACACTTTGGAGAGGATGAAACGGCATTCATAGATAGAAACAGGCATATATACTGTACAATTAAAGGACCTACTAGACACATATATTTGTTGTTAGTTGCGAAGTTGTGTCCATCCCATCGCAACCCCATGGATAACGTTCCTCCAGGCACATATATTATTAATGCTATATTAACACAAATGTGCATGCATACACACACACACACACACAATACACAAATGTGGATAAGGAATGTGGATAACCCCTGTTCATTGCTGCTTTTCTCACACAATCTCATTTTTTCTATCAATGTAGGGGGTGGGGTGGGAACTGAAAACACAAGGTAAAATATATTCACCTGAAACAAGGGATCAATTTGAATACATTTAGGCATCAGTGATACTTCAGTGATTGGGACAATCGTTTTGCAGAACCTTTTGATGTAATGGTTAAGGTTTAAAGGTTTAAGGTTTATGGATTAAAAACCAGGATATTGAGTTCCTCCGTTATGCACAGGTGTTGGTTAGATGATTTTGAGCCAGCTAACCCTATTTATCCTGCAATTACCTAAGGAAAATGGTTTTTGTCTGTTTCACCTCTGCCAAAATATTTGCTCTGCTATCTTATACCAGGGGTCAGCAACCTTAAACACTCAAAGAGCCACAAAGGCCCTAACCAGAAGCTCCCCGTTCAATTCTAGAGCCAACCGGAAGTCCAGTTCCCCCCACCATAGTGTCTCCTCCTAGCACGGCTTTTTCCTCTATCTATCCTAACTGACAGCCCTATCAATTGTGGAGCTGACTGGCGACAGGGAGCCTCAGTAGAGGGCTCCAGAGCTGCAGGTTGCTGACTCCTGCCTTATACCATGGTTTCTAAGACTCCCTCTTGCAGAAAGTACATTGTTATTGTTTTTATTTTAATAGGCTCCGTGGATGCCCTGATATTTTGGTGATATCTTAGGAGAGAGCATTTCATCTTCAAATAATAACTGCATGGTGGCTTGGAGTGGTCTGATCAGCTTACACAAGAGCATACCAGGTTTCTTACTTTGAAAAGTACTTCCCCATGAGGTACATATTTGGTACATCTTCTCCATTGCTAAGGAGGAAAAAAAGTTACATGCATCTCCTCCTCAAAACTCAGACCATTGACTCCTAAACAAGTTGAAATATTTATGTATAAAATGTAGCATTTTAAAGAGTAGCAACCTTGCTCTGGCAAAAGGTGGCAGAATGGATATATGGATGATAGTTCATGAAAATATATGGCTATAAAACTGAACATATTTTTTTTGGTCTTCAACATGCAAGCTTCACTGATGTTTTTGCTTCAGCCAACTAACGTGGCTTCCCAGCAGTACATGGTAAGAGGTATACAGCATTTTGGCCTAATGTTAAACTAAAGCAGTTCTGAACTGTTTAGGGATATCTCTACAAGAGTGACAAGGAAAGTGAGGCTTTGGTAATCGTGGGGGGCAATTCCTCTGTGTCACCTGCACAATGTCTTAAATTAAAGAGTAAACAGAATTGGAGGAGCAAGACACAAATGGAATTTTCTGAGCAGCAAAATGCCACCTTTTTAGAATAATTAAAATAGATTTCTTCCAGCAAGGGTATCAAGCTTTCTCCCAACAATAAACTATAATTTATTTCAGAGGGAAAGTACCCAATCTGCAAAAGTCTTAGGGGATACATCAACAAAGGTCCCCAGAAGCCAGAGCTTCCAGAGAGAAGTTATTCTGTCCAGCTTCTGAAAAGCTTATGTAGCAATAGCAGCCTGGAGCTGCAAGCCATACTTGCGATGGGTGAACAGCAACTCCCGGTGTAGGTGCTGCTGGTTTCCAGCGGTTTTGCTGGGGTTTGTGACCCGCAAAGTGGTGACAGGCTGAGCCTCAGCACCCCTGGATGTGGTTTCTGAGCGAGTAGCTAGAAGGAAGGGAGAAGCGGAATTGAGTTCACTGGGCTGTAGAAGTGAGAGACTACTTCTAGACTCCCCTCCCCATACACACACCTTAACAAGCCCTCACCATAAATAATGGATTTCATGCTGTGGAATGGGGGATGCAAAGCCAGGACCTGAGATTTGGCCTAAGTCCTAATGAGGGGGAGGAAATGGGGGACAGGGCTCTTCCTGGGAGAGGACAGGTCAACCTTTCCTCATTTGGATGGCTTCATTCTCACTTTTTTTTTCCCACCATGCTTCTTTTTAAAATTAGGACCACACCTGAGTCACCTATTTGGTTTTAGTTCCTTAAATACCTGTACATCTTCTGGTTAACTAAAAAATTGGATTTAAAGCATGTGTATTTCTCAAACCTTAGTGTCAGTATCCCTTGGTGCATGGTGCTCTTACATGATATTTTCCATTTTAATCAATCAAACTGCTATATTTCTTTATTAGAAAATATATTTAATGCTTATGTTTTTGATTTCTGTTTTAGAAGTACATTACTATATTTATCTAAGCTGTGAGTGAAATTAGGTTCCCTGCTACTGAAGAGTGGAAAAAATTATAGTGTCTTAAATACCCAAGAGACATGAATATTATTTAAAAGCAGAAGTATTCATTTCAGTTTCACTTCTGCTAAATGAATCTTGGTAATGTTAAAAATTTTATTTAGGTAGAGGTGAAGGGGTAAGGAAATAAATTAACACATCCCCACTTAAAATGTTTTCTTAAACTTCCCTCAAGACGTACTTTGATACTCTTTAAAAAAAACAATTACGAACTTTTTAGCCACTAAACTGTACTTATATCATTCCATCCTCTTAGCTACTTCCTTGCAACAGCATCCACCTCACCAATCCACAGCTGGTTGTTCTCACCAGACCCTTCCAGGCGTGTCCAGTTGCCGGCCGTGTCCTGCTGCCATGTCACACTGCTTGTCTGTTCCACCCGGGATCCAGGCAAATGGAGGTTTGGAAGCTCCCTAGCTCCCATCTCCCCCACAAAGAGATTGGGTGGCCCAGATGCTGCCATCCCAACCAAGTGAAACAATTACATGGTCTCCAATTGTCTCTCCTGCTGCGTCTTTCTGGTCTGCCACCCCCAGCATGTGCTGGGGGAGCAGAAAGCCAGCAAGAGTGAAACAAGATCCCACTCTAGGCAACCGAGCAGAAACAGAGCCAGGATTGCTAAAGATGATCAGTCCAGAAACCTGCCTCAGGCCTCTTGCTGCAAGGGCAAGATCACAGCTAAGACTGATGGCAGGTAGATAGCTATTGTTGAATACAAAGTGACCACTGGGGATCAATAGGTGGTGTCCACCAAGTTGGAAGGGTCTTTTTCCAAGAGGGGAACTAGCATCTTTTAATTTGATTTGATATGGTCAAATGACTTAATAAAACTTCTATTATTTTCAGTTCATCCTTAAAGCTTTTCTAGAGCTACTGTGCTAAGTACAATGCACAGCTTCGTATTGTGAGCTCCGTCTTTGATCACCTCTTTGATTCTATACGTCACAGCAGGCAATAAAGCTTGCAGTATTGAGTTCAAGATGGTAGGTTCAGTTTTACTTTAGTTTTTAGATCCAAACAGTGCAAGCTTCCTTATTTTGTTGCAAAAGAACAAAAATCCACAGGAAGCAATGGAAAAAAATAAACAAGAAAGCTATTGACTTTTTTGGTATAAAGTGTATCAGGATGGGAGAAGACTGTTTTGAGTTGGATCAGGACTCAGCCAAAGAGATATATATGTTTTTGCTAGAAGCATAGGTGCAAGATGCTTTTATTCAAAATAATTTGAGACTTTAAAACATAAACCCATTTAAGACAGCAGTCATGACTGCATAACAACTAACAAGCACCCTTCTAACTTTGCTAACTGGATGCAGGATCAAATCCACCTACTTGAAAAGCTATCAATTGACTTACTATGCCTTTACTATTTAGTAGTCACAGGTTTGTACAAAGAGTTGGGCTCTGGCGAATGATATAGCATGCAATGATTTCCTAATCATCTTGCACTGCCTACGAGCAATCTTGCCATGAAACAAATTACTAAGATCTAGAGATAGATAATCATAAGTTATAAATGGAATACAAAGTGAAGATATCGTAATTCCAAATGAGATTTTAATAGGGTTTAAGAATAAAACCTTTCTCCCCAGTATATGGATATTGCTTGTAAATTATACATATAACCAGTAGGTGGCATTACAATCCTATATAGGTCTTCATTATAGGCCTGTAGACACTCTGAAAATGTATGTAGAGTATGTAAAGCATTGTATGATTTTTATAAGATGATGTACTGTTGGTATTTAACACTGAACCAATTGTCAAGAATGTATAAAGGTACTTCATATGAAAGTTGTAAATGTAAAGAAGGAACTTTTTATCACTTATGATGGACATGTAACAGAGCAAAGAAGTACTGGAGCAGAATTCATATCGTAATACAGAAAATTCTTAAATGAATATAACGATATAACCAGATTTTTCTTTTGGGCTTGATGGATAAAGAACTTGAAAATGAATTGGATTTTTGATGTTATATATGTTGACAGCAGCAAGAATACTTTATGCACAAAAATGGAAGGATGTTTTCATTCCCAAAATGGACGAATGGCTGCAAAAGCTGATGGAATTAGCCATGGGTGATGAAATTGACTGCTTTGACCAAAGAAAAGAATACAATTAATTTTTTTTCTACTTTGAAACAGTTTTTGGACTTTGTGCTTGTGGTGTTAAAGGGGATCTTTGATTTTACATTTTGCTGATTAGATAGGTTTGTTGTTATAGAAATGGCTAGTATATATTATGTAAAAGTAAAAAATCAAGGTTATATGTTAGGACCTTTTTCTACTGTGCCAAAAGGACTCAAAAGTCAATGCTTTTCTTTCTTTTCCATTTTACTCTACATTTTCCCTCCTCCCCTTTCCCTCCCCTAATTTCCCATTGTTTTCAATTTTTTGTATTTTTGTATTTTATATTTTGATAAAAATTTAAATTGGCAGAAAGACGACGACCACGATAGCAAGCCAAACTTAGCTCCTGCTCTCATTCCTTAACTTCACACCACAAATCAGTCATGGATTTCACACTGCTTTTTTATTAACATTATAAAATTCCAGTAATCAGCTAAAAATACCATCCCCTCTATAGCACCTCCTATCCCTCCCATTTCAATGGGAAGACAGGACAGGAAACACCCCCCACCCCACTGCCCCATTTTCCCACCCTGTTCTCCGCTCCAAGCAAAAAAAGACCTTACAGTTGGGGAGGGAATGTAAACTTCAAACACTACAAAATATATGTATTTCTACAAGGGACGAGAACTTTGTGTACCGATCTACAAAACCAAGGTCTTCCACCTAGCATATACTAAGCATATTTGTCTAGGTCTAGGAGAAGCACCCAAACCTAAGAGAGAACCAACAAACAGATTCCGGGCCAATTCAAAGCCCCTTCTCTCTGTGTACATGGAAATTCCAAATTCTGCAGCACAGCTGGCAACAAGGGCAGACAATGCTCCATTAATGGGCCTGTTCAAACTTTTGCAGTCTCGCTGGGAAGCTGCTGATGTTCCAACAAAGAACAATGGGCCAGACTTGCTAGATCTCGGTGTGAGCCACAAAGGTCTTAAATCCATAAGCAAAAATGAATGCCAAAGAGCAATAATTAAAGCTTAGCAGGCCCCTTGCTTTGTAAATCTGACATGTAACCACAGACCACAGGTTTGATTCTAATGCGAAGAACCATATAAGATTTTAAATCCATCCCATCACTGCCCTAAAGTTAGGAGCACGAACACCTGCAAACATCTCCCCAATTAGTCCCTAGCGGATATGTGCCATCTCTTCCAGGAAGGGAGTCTTCATGCAGCCAGTGCAGAGTTGATCCATCCAAAGGGGAGCCTCGTGTTGCAAGGGGGTACGTCTTGGGTAAAAGGTGTATTTGAGATCATAATTGAGCAAACAGCTGAGGGAGGCCATGTAGACATCCGAAAAACGGCACAGGCGGCGAGAGAAGTATGTGGGATTGTGGCACGTGCGAAAGATACTGCCAAACTGCGGGTTGAAGAGGTTCTTGGTGAGTGCCCTGAAAGAGCATGCAGGAGGAGAAAGAAAAAGAAAGAGTTATCAGACAATCAGGATTGCTGGAATTTCATTCTCCAGAGATGACTCAGTTGGCAAGGTGGAGTATCTGAATAAAATACTACAAAGATTATATTAAAGAATTTTCTAAGAATCGAGGTTGGAATTTAACATAAATATTTAAGATGCAAGATTTTACTGTGCATTATTTTTATACCTTGAAGCTGTAACTGTAGATTAGGTATTCTCAGGGTCTCTAGGGTGGACATAGCCAATAATAGCATATCCAGCATCAGAAGGTTGAGTTCCACCAAGTTTCTATTTATCAAGCAACTAATTTTCCTATTTTATTCCTAGCAAATATATGTGTATGAGTATGTGTTCCTATTTTATTCTGAGCATACATGTGTACGAAATTGGAACTGCAACTGGCATCATTTCTATTTTCTAACAATCTTGCAGTGTGGCCAGTGGTTGTTTTCCAAATTAAGATGACAGAAGGTTGCATTTTATCTCGCAATATATAGCTTCTTCTTAAAAGAAAATACTGGAGGGCACTAAGGTTATACATTGCCTGCCCTCAGATCCAAATTGTATTTTAATTTCTAGAATTGATCTAACATTATTTTATGGTTATGAAGATTACTAAGGTCTTACATCAAAGGTGGCTTTGTTTGACTATTTAATGCGTGCTTTACAAAAAAAGCGAGCTGAGATGAAATTTATGTTTCCCTCCCTATTCTCCAATCCCCATCAACTCAGGATTTCTCTTCTGGAGCTCAAGCAGGATTCCATTACACCTGAATATTCAAAACACCAAGTTGCTGCAGAATAGGATTGAGGTACGGAGTGACAAAGCTTATAAAACATATTATTCCTCTCCACAGCCAAGTAAAATAGAATCAAAGACATCTTTTACCTTACATAACTGCAGATAGAACATTTCCATTTATCTCCATCAATTCTGCACTGTTATTTTTACAGTACATCAGAGAATTCCATTTCATATTACCCTGTTTCCCCCAAAATAAGACATCCCCTGATAATAAGCCCAATCGGGCTTTTGAGCGCATGGCAATAAGACCAAGCGATTGTATCATTAAACTTGGATATTTTGTGATAAGGAATTTTCTGTATTATAGTTTTTAAGTTCCTTTGCTTTATTATTAGACAATCTGAGCTAGGTTTTTTTTCCATGCAACTCAGAGGTTAAAACAATACGAAGCCCTACTATAATCTAAAAGAGTTTATGTCATGCCTAGAGCATACAGTCCCAAGGAGAGGGCAAGTCTACAGACATAAACTCCTACCTTTATTAAATGGGATATGATTCTCAACAGCAAAGCCTGTGCTTGCAATTCTTTCATGGAATTGTCAGTGTCTGTGCGTGCCAAGGTGCACATGTGCAAAAGGAAGCTATTGCTCATACCAAAATAACTACTCTCAGCATAAGGCAGGAGCAGAGCTGTTGAAACTGCCAATCATGCCTGGGATTTTCTTTAATGTATATTTATTTTAAACTATCTGTGACATTTCAACTAGCTCCAAGCATCAAAGGACAGCAGGAACAGAACATAGTTTTTAAACAAATAGCAACTCCCCAGGCTTCCGAACAGCACTAAGGGAACTCACAAATGATGTTATCAATACCATTTAAGAAGCTATATTAAAGTGAACAGGCAGAAAAGAATTCCCAAAACAGTATGAAGGTCATTCTCTCTGCTGTGGAATCTTTGTATAGAAGCCAGAACACTATTTTCAAAAAAGGATCTGTTGCCTCTCTTGTCACTTTTTCACTTTTACATCAAAGGTGGCTTTGTTTGACTATTTAATGCGTGCTTTACAAAAAAAGCGAGCTGAGATGAAATTTATGTTTCCCTCCCTATTCTCCAATCCCCATCAACTCAGGATTTCTCTTCTGGAGCTCAAGCAGGATTCCATGTCTAGCCACTTACGGCTTGGCTTTGTAATAGAATCTGGCAAAGGATAAGTCATAAGAGCCACCCTGATGTAGTGATTAAGGCATCAGGCTCAAAACCAGGCACTGTGGGTTCTAGTCTTGCC